CGCGTCCCCCGTACTTAATCTTCCCGGTTTTCCCGGCCCTTCCCCCCCCCCCCCCAACTTAGCACACTACATCATATGGCCTTTATTGCTCTCAACATCTCGACAGACATGGTAGCATCTCTTCCCTCAAGAGAATCCAACTAGCCACACCAGTACTTCGTCATGTCATTGACGTCAATAGCCTGTCCCCAACCTACCGGTTCTTCTTGTCTACAGCACTTCCTAGTGCTATTGACCTCAAGGTTCCTGGATTCTCTGGCCGTTTTCCCCCCTCCCTTAATCAACACAACACCATATGGTCCTAATCACTCCCCACTGCTCCCATTGGTCCGTTCTCCCTAACCACCCCCCCTGCCTACTTCGTATATAAGCAGCAACTTTCACATCCTATCACCACAGCTACTGCTCTCCGCATTCCAAGCCATTCAACTGCTCTGAAGATGGAGGCGCTACGTTCCTCCAAAACGTCGGCCAAAATGAAGAATACACGGTGCCTAAACCCAGAAGACGACTTTCTTCATTGTCATCGCCGTGAAAACCTCAAAACCTACAAATTAGATTAAGCATAGATCCCACTCTATATAGGCCTTCTGTGAAGATACATTTTCCTGTGCAGTTTCAAGTCACATCTAATATATTCCTATTTATTTCCTAGCATGTTATCCAGTTCTACAGAATGCCATGCCGCGTCAGACACAAAAGACTACTCACTTATTTCTTACCTACTACATATCTCATATTCATGCAATGCTTGACACCATGTTGCTACTGTAACCTCAAATTGTGTAATTCTGGAGTTTTGACTCACTGTTACAAAGCTTTATTTATATCTAGAGAAAGAAAATATTAATCTCTCTCTTAAAGTAATGATCATGTTCTTCAGAACTGTAAAGTGCACTACACCAAAAGCAAGAAGCCTTTAGTGACACACCCAGAGGATAGTAATCTCCTGTGCATTTAATACATAATTCAAATTCAGAGGTACATCAATAACACTGATAGCTGTTGTTACTTAGCTGCGGTGAAACGAAATTGTTCCACAGTTAGTTTTTACTTTCAGACATGCTCACCACAACTGTGGCTGATGTCTGTCAGATATAACATGCATGCAAATGGTTTACTAATTATGGTGAGTAAGCTGAATTTCAGCATCTCACAGTGATAACTATGAGGAATACTATCTTCTGGGATATCTCAGAAAATGGTACTTTTTATGATGACTAACCCTTTTCAGTAGGAGATCCTAAAGTTAGGCTGGACATTGATGAACTAAGGTTCATATTGCTTGAAACACTCAACATGGAAGGGTACTGGGCCAGTTCCACTTCCTCTTCCTCAATAGGTAAGCAGGTCTCCACCATGGCTTCCAAACAGTTGACAAACAGCTCTGCACTCTCTGCTGTGCAGTTGCACTGGAGCACACAAACGTTACGTCAGTCAGTGTGCTCTATCAACTTGTTCACCATTTTAAACTTTATGTACTGGATTTCTTGCACCTTTTTGAAAATAAATCTGTTCCTTTTCAAATAATTACAGATCATTTTATTATATTTTAGCATCCTGTTGCATTGAGGCATTATCCTTATTATTAAAGTACATGTCAATAATGCAACAATATAAAAGACATCAACAATATGTCAGTCACTAAAAATGTATTTTAATACTGTATGATGTTAAAATCATTAAAATGTCAATAGGACACTAAAAGTATTGTAACATATTTGCGCTATGCAGGACACCCCCCCCCCCCCCANCCCCCCCCCCCCGCCACTGCTACGGTAATAGGCCAGTCAACACTCTGTCCCCCTCCCCCCATGGTGACATAACAGCACGTCCCACAATGACGTAACAGGGAACACCGCGGTTACTACGCAGCAATAAACAACTCTCGGCAGCGTTCCCCAGCAATGCCTGTAAAGACAGCGTTTACACAACAGTGAAGCGATGTGGGTTTTCCACTGTCCGACTGTGGGTTTATAAAAGTTACTAGAGAGCGTAACCAGTCAGTTGCAGTCTAGCATTCGCCAGAGTGATTGGAAGCAGGAGAAGTAATTGTGATACTACAGACAGCAGTAGTGGTGTAACTGCGAACTGTGTAATTGTAAGAGGGAGTGGAATAAATTCGCTATATCCAAGGCGGCATAAATTTATTTGTTGCATGACATTTATACATGACATTATACATTAAAAGTGATTATCAAAATTTCTGAAATGTCTCTAGTTTTACATGTAATTTTCTAGTTTTACGACATGTTTCGGCCTCACATGGGCCATCAGCAGGTGATTTTTCTCTTTGGGGAGACCACTGTACTGTTCACTTGTCCACTGTGCTTCCCCAAAAGAAAAATCACCTGCTGATGGCCCATGTGAGGCCGAACATTTTGTAAAACTAAAAAAAGACACATTATCGCACACATCCCTAACATCAACATTTCACACGCACAGTGTCCAGCTCTACATCAGTTACCTCTTTCAAAAGATGAACATTCTGATGAACATGTTAAAGTTTTAAGCATAAACAATTACCTTTGTAAAAGGACCTGCAAACCTCCAGAGACCTCCAAAGCCACAACTCTGCAAATAGTGGAGTTGCTGCTGGGTTGTATCTTCGCTGGAAATCATGTTCTGTATGATGGCCTGCACGGCATTCAAGATCACATGGTCATGACAGGCTGACAGCACACTGTTTATTTTGGCACCCAGCAGACTGTGACTGCATTAGACACACCCATACACTTGTTAATTTTAACACAGTAAAATATGAAACACAGAATCAATTCCAATATCAGAATTCCAGTTACATTTAATTTACGAACATTTGAATATATTGTGACATGGAAACTGAAAGCCCAGAATACAGAGCCAGAAAAATTGTTTTCTGTTGGATAACGGCTCAATAAACATATTGGAGCGATGTATACATATACGACCACAGAGCAATTATTGGAAAAGGGGTTTTGTATGCAGGTGACCCAAAGCCCAAAGGAACAAGTTAGTTAGAGACCCTGTGTGGAGGCATGTTCGAATACTTCCACCGTAGTCCTGCATGTTGTAGTGGAAGACAAAAAGGAAACCCAGTGCCTGGGTATATAACTGGGCCACCTTGTTCCTGGGGGACATAAATATGGGGACCTGGTCCTTCAGGTTGGGGAGGTCTCAAATCTGAGACAGTAAAATATGGTCATGAGTCCCATGGAACTTTGACCCAAGAATGACTGTGCTGACAAGGGCCAGTGGCAATTGTAAATGACAAACCCATCCTCTAATTAGAGAGGATGCCCACATCAACAAACCGACAACTATCAGACAGTAACAAAAATGTGTTCTTTGTCGCCAAATGGGACTTTACATGAAGACAGACTGCCTGACTGATCGTTGGTCGTAACATAACTTTGACAATTTTTCCTTGCATTTAGTTAGTTGCTGTCAAGATTTAGTTGCGAGCCAGCTGCTATCCAGTGACGACATCAGCACAGAAGCAGAGAGGAATATCCATTATTAGGAGCGGTTACCTAGCAATGTGTGAAGACATAGAAGACTTAATGTCTCAAGTAGTCATTTGCTGAATATGAAGATCCATACATCTGTGAAAGTGTTATAGTCACCTGTAGTTACGAATTATAAGTGTTCAATAAATCCAATTTTCAATCCAAACCCTGTATCTTGTCACTAACACACTTGCAATATGAATGAAACTATTGTCTATCTACCTACTTTAATATTTCAATAATTCAGTCATACACCAAACAAAAAACAACACTTCATGTTATAAGGTAAAAATGGAAAAAATGGAAGAAAATGAAAGTAGATGTCCAGATTTCACCACAAAAAATTAAAAGAAAAGCATCACATTGGAATCAGTGCCATCAATTTCTACAGCCCACGAATATGCCAAAAAGGCAATTCAACATCCCATCAAAAACCCAGTTTATTACTTTACTTCCCCACATAAACCTACTGCTTTTTCACTTCTCATAAGGAAAACAGCGCCAGCATACAAAACAAAAGAGAGTTTTCACTTTTTGATGCTGTTTCATTACAGTCATCAAGGAACCCTGGCAACAGCGCTAAGCAGGCATGACTGCTGAAACTACCGATAGCAGAATGAGTCATTAGCGCTGATAAATGCATGCCATCAGGTGGTCTGATCTTGTGACTGCAGTAAGTTGCATTAATAGTCAGTATCTGTTAGAGGTGTCGATAGGCGGTCAACGTTTATACTGGAATGAAGTTCACTACTGAACAGCATGTGTTTATTATCTAAACTTTTGGAAGAAAAAAAACTTACTTANGTGTCTCTAATCTAAATATCACATTATTAGATAACTTACATGACAGGGAAAACTTTGGGGAACACAACAGAAGCTTCTGCCAAATACTGATACAGGATACGTGTCTCATTTTCATCTGTTGAGTATTTCACAAGAGTGGCCAACACAGTAAGTACTAATGCTTGTGTTGAGAAATCAGTTAGCACATCAGGATCCAGGAGAACATTGTTTTCATTAGACACCGACACACGGGCACTACGATCCTGCAGACATAAGAACAATATATAACATACTTTAGCAGAATACAAGGCACAGGTGCACTCTGTATTTGAAAAGATAACCTTACATAACACATGAAAATTAATTTGAAAGAAAAATGTAATTAACATTAATGATAACATAGAAATTGTGTGACTTTGTAATGATTTTTAAGTTATACAAGACTATGATGAAAAACACAATTCAGGCTTATGGAGGCAACAGATGTTCCCATCCCTTCACCACTGAGAAATATCTTATTTTATATGTGAACATAGCATATTATCATGTGCATGTGTCTCTCTCCCCTTGCCTTAGTAACTTTCATAAATAAAACGACAGGTTCACCATGTCATTACATGCCACTCCATCTCTAACTTCCTGTTATCAACAATTCTGCTCTGAGACAAACACAAGCACCAGTGTGCACTTCTTAAATTTTGTGGCAACAGTCTGAAAAATATACATCTCTGTGCTAACAAAGTTCTTTTGTATAATCTAAATGAAGATGGCAGCACCATAAGATCTATATTTAGCTTTTGGTTTTATGGTAATAATGGACCATTAAGGTCAGGCATGTGAAATTTTGTGGAAATAGATCATACCCATACCTACAAATATACATACATCAAACTTTATTTATATGTCAACACTTACAATATGGCAACACGCAAAACTTTGATATTATATCAGGATATTTAACAGTCAGACTTAAGACTAAGTATCAGAGAAAATTACACACACAACTGTATCACTAAATTTTACAGTATAATTATGCATTCATAGTTCTTCATGATACATAGCAGGAACGTGCGTATCATATATTCTCCCTGGAATTTTTCTTTTAAATGGTGCACAGTGAAATGGACGTGGTCATGAAAATATTGCAGAAGATACTAAACCTTTTATAAAAACAGTATCAACAGCCTAATCACATGGTACCAGCTTTTGTACAGCACTATCTGAATATTTTTCAAATCATTAAACACCTTTTGCAAAACACTAGCCTAGACATTCTTCTGCACTCTGTCATATATACTGAAGATTATTTGGGCTATTTAACAATGTTTTCTCAGCTGCACAGGTTTAAGTGTTAAACTGCAAACTGACTGATGATAATGGACTGGAAAGAATGTGAAATAAAGCACTATAGAGGTATAGTCATACCTGCGCATAACTAATTAAGCACTACATCATGAAGGAGTATGAGGAGTGGATGTATTAACCAAAGTTTTCTTGACCTTGGCACCACTTGCAGGCGAGTGGTCTGCTTCACGCTCCAGCAGCTTTACTCCAGGGGGAAAGAGCATCCTGTACCCATTGGATAGGAGGATGGGTGAGCCTAGAACTGATCTGGCAAACTTTAAGAAGAGAAAATCAAACTTTGGCTCCTCGGTTTTCCAGCCCATAGCCAGTTGCTATACCGAATGCAGTTCTGGAGGACAGGTCTGTGGTTTGGAAGTGGTCCACTTGCCCGCCGACACCCAGCTTGAAGTTGCCAGGACACTTGGAAATAAAGCAGTAGTGGCCTATTTTATCCCACCCCAGAATTTGCTTGAAGATGTAATAAGAGAAGCAACAAAACAATCTCAGTCAGGATAGCTAGACTCCAGGCCAAAATTTGAACCAAGAACTAAATATAAAAGATTCCTTCCCATTCAAACACATATGGTCTGTTGTGTTGTTCTGTTCACAGAGTAAACAACAATTAGACACATGAAAATGATGTAAAGCAGAAGTTACATTTACTCGTCAGGTTGTAGCAAACACATCACTAAAGAGCTAATGTTACTTCTAGAAGGAAGAAGGTGTTTTGTCTTTTGCTGTGTCTACTTGTTGAACTCAGCATTAAAAGCAATATTGCATCTGATTAAACTCATATATCCTCTCACTTTGTCCTTGTCCCAGTTCTGGATCCTAACATCCTCTGGACACAACTGTACAATACACATTCAGAGTGAATTTAATAGCTATTCTATTAAGTTTAAATAATATTCTGTAATATTTAATCCATTTCAACTAAAGCAGTACAGTTTTCAAAAAATAAAGTACACATAAACATAGTCAAGCATACTTACAGACAATACAGTGCATAATAAATGTCTTATACAACATACATTCACATTCTGTTAAAATATGTGAATATTAACATGCACAAGTGAATGCAAACAAGCCAGGATATTTTGGTGGACACTATGGGATTCAAACTGCAAAGTATTAAGAAATGGTCACCCATTACATGAAAATCCAATTGATAAGACTGTATTTTGTTGGGTGTTCCAAAAATATACAAAGTTCAATAAACTAATTTTAAAAATACCCCTCTTTCAGTACTTGTAATGAATTTTAGTAGCAACAAAAACACGCCTACCCATGAATGTTTCCAGCCAACTATCAAACAGTGCTCTTATGTGTTTACTTCCCTTTACTATTACCCATATGCATACCAGTAGCAGTACCTGTTTCTTCATGTCAGATATGGCTGCTTTCCATGTCATATCACAATATAGAGCAGCTAACATGTTAGGGAAGGAGTAACACTCAAATATCATATTCACTGCCAATTTATTTTTGGTTGACTTTTTTATTCTTTAGTAAGCATCCAAAGCAATGAAATAAACAGTTCCCTGGGACCACACTGAATAATCCATTATCACATTTTTATGAAACACTATAATAAGCCTTTTTGGCAAAGAATGTATGACAGTACATGATGACGGAAATGGCCCAATAAAAATCATGGCTTCTTAAGAAATAATAGAGCATACTACCAACCTTAAAACAGAATTATGAAGTTCATCCATCGGGAAATGTTTAGAGCATACAGTATATTTCATATAAGCATATGGTGTCTATGACCTGCCACTTCCTGTCATAAAGGTGACAACAACAACCAAATTTTGTATTATGGTATTTAAGCACAAAGATCAGAAGAAATCAGCAATTAGTGTATTAAAAAAAATTAAGAATGAGAATTCAAATCACATTCACAAGCTAAAAATCAACACTTCCATATCAGCACAACAGCCTCAACTATCATACATGGCTTGAACAGCAAATAGTAAATTTTGAAGTATCACTGAGTGCTCTCTATTTGATCTGCGTAGGGAAACAGGAAACTTACAGAATACTGACAGGAAAGCTTTTGCGGGAAGTCTAGCAACCAAAATAAGAAACACGAATTCACACTGTTGGATTTGAGGTTCTCATGGCGGCAGTGACTGTGAAGATTTCTGTCTTCTAATGGTGTGTGGTTTCGAGACAGCCCAACATTTTGGAGGAACATACTGCCTCTATCTTCAGGGCTGAAGAGTAAGCCATGCAAGAAATTAGATGTGCTGGCTGTTACTCTTAAAACATCAAGATGGTGGCAGTATGTTCCACTAAAATGTCAGGTTCTCTCCAAACCATATGGCACTACAACCCAAAAGACAGTAATCTCCAAGAATTCATACTGGCTGACTTCTATTACTCTGTAACATGTAAGACATTCCACATCATGTCTTTGTTAAACTGGTTTTCATAATTACCTGGGAACAAAGTCAGATATCTGTGAACATAACATAACCAAGCATGATAATCTGAAATTCCATTTCCTTTGCTTTATCACTGAACTACAGACCTCTGCTTCTCTGTTATGTCATTCGTGAATTTTGGAAATTACAATAACAAATTAGTTACTATAAAACATTACAAACTGAAAGCTACAACATAACCTATAAGCGTCAGTGAAACCCTAAAGACCTGTACAGTACCACAATTTACAGGTCTTACTCCAAAAAAACACACTGATAGACATGCATACTATACTGTGTTTGCTATAATACTCTATACTGGGGCACAAAGTTTACCATTAAGCATGAGTTTGTGTAGTGATGAAATAGGAAAACTGTGACTCTACAACTGAACTAAGAGCCATCATGCAATATAATGATTATCATAACATGCACACTAGTAAAAATCCAACAATATTGCATGCATTTACGAACAGAAAACTGGAAGTACTACCTTATTTGTAAACATTCAGTGATGTTAAAATGCTATGAGATGTAACAGAAATAATATACAATAAAGCAATGAAAATAAAGAACAGAGCCCAGAGAAATACATAAGCCAGTATAGGATCTCTTAAAATAGCACACAGTATTAAAGAGATCAAGGGCCAGTTTTCTCCTCTGTTTCTGTGGGCCCATAAACAGCAAATGCCCTGCCACCTCCCCCTTTCCCCATAATAATTACACCAGCATTAACTTTTTAAACAAACTGTATACAAATTACTCAACCTGTCATGATTCTTTCAGCTACTTTGCGTTAGCCAGGCCAGCTTAGTTAGTATACTGCCTAGGCTACAGGCTGGACAACTGAGGAATCAGTGTTTTATTCCTGAGTGGAGCAAGAGATTCTTTCCTCTCCATGAGGTCCAGGCTGGCTCTAGGGCTCAGCCAGCCTCCTATCCAACAGGTACCAGGGGCTCCTTCCACAAGAGTAAAGCAACCTGGGAATGAAGCTGGCTGCACACCTGCATCTAGTGTAAAGATTACAAATGCTTCCCCACACAACTTCATGGTGTGGTGCTCAATTAAGCACAGGGATGACGGCATAATCCCATTAATTACACAAAAAAATAAAACAATTCTTAATGGTCTTTAAACTGAAAACATAAAAGAATTTATATATATGGACTTTATATGCAATCCTGTGTTCCATTACTTTTTTTTAACTATATCTATACACATCAGATTTGCCTAAACATAATATTATCAAATAATATTTCCAAAATAAGAAGTCAGCAAACAAATGAACTACTCCCCTCTACAGCCACAGGAAACATTACTGCCTACCTTGACATCTGACTCATCACCCGAGTTTGGCTCTTTAGTTGTTGGAACGGAGAATGAGCGCTGCGTTCGGAAGAGAACTCGTGCACTTGACTAAGTTGTACCAATGGTGATTAGTTGATTGATCAGTCAGTTGGATGGATTCCACCAACACAAATGCAACAAGCAGGGGGTAGAAACAGATGGAGAGAGAAAGATAGTAAAAACTTATTGGAAGTCAGGCAAAAACACAACAGACCAAGAAAACTGAGGAAGCTGTGACAATATCGGCAGTGTCGCCACTGTTACTGATTAGCAAGCCGAACTAGTAAATATTGCATCTCTTTAGCAGCAGACCACTGAAACAAGAAATACTGCCAACATAACTTCACCTGAAGATCATATTCTGTGAAGTAGTTGTAAATAATCCCCACCTCCAGCAGTACTACTAGATTAATTCACTTTTTAAGTATGAGAGCTATTCGGAAAGTAACCTCCAGTGAGCTGTTAACAAAATAAGCATGAGAAGACAAATTTATTATATATAAAAAATACATACATACTTAAACTACTTCTCAATATAGTCACTGCTAAAACTGAGCCATTTGTCATGTCGGGTAATAAGTTTTGTATGCTTGTGTCAGAGAAGTCTGCCTCCTGTGAGATCAGCCACATTTTGACACCTTCCATCAACTCCTCAGTATTGTTGAAAAGCTGTGATCTCAACCAGGTTTTCAGGTAGATGAACAGATGGTAGATGCTTGGAGTGAGATCAGGGCTATAAGGAGGGTGCCCAAACACCTCCCAGCTGAAATGCTCCAGAAGTGTTCAAGTGTGAGCAGCTCTATGCATATGCACATTATCATAAAGGAGCATTACAAGTACACTGAATGTCAGCATTCCACATATTTTGTTCTGAGTGACCCTATGCAGTTTTTTTTTTCATAACACACTTTTGATGTTATTGTGGTCCCTTGCTGCATGAATTCCACCATCAGAACTCCCTTTCCTGTCCCAAAAAGCAGCTGCCTTCAGTTTATGGCAGTAGTTTGTTTAAACTTTTACAGCTTGCTTGATGAATATGTGTGCATCCATTGTTTTGACTGCTCTTTGGTTTCAGCATTCATAAACGAAACCCATGTTTTATATTACCTGTTTCTCATATGATGTGATTAAGAAATTCATTGCAATCTTTTTGGTATTGCTCTAAAAAAGTCAAAGCCAAAGCCGTTCTCTGCATTTTGTGTGCACCCGTGAGCATTTTAAGAACTCATCTTGTGCAAAACTTGTGACAGTCTAGCCTGACTGTGATAATCTTGTAGAGAGGAGTGAGTGGAATCTGTGAAAATTCATATAAAGGTTCTGAAACTGTGAAACACTGTCTTTCACAGATTTTTTGGCCAATACTTCAAACAAGATCACTCACTCACTACAGATGGCCAGCTGAACACTTCACTCTTCATCATGAACATTTGTTCGCCAATCCTTGAACACTCTACATCCCTGTCTTACAGTTCCTTCACTCACTCTATTCTGGCCGTAAACCAAGCATAATTCACGATGGATTTCTACAGCACTAGTGTTTTAGCATGAAGCAAATGGATAACAGTGTAAATTTCCCAGCTGGCAGGATTATCAATCACAGGTCACATCATAACATATTCTGTAGAGACAAGAGCAAACACTATGTGACCAGTTATGTGATGGTTTACAAAGCAATGAGTCATGTGGCACTACCTTGCATGCAGAAGTCCATCCCCACTCCTATATTAGTTGCTCAAAACAAAAGCAGGTTACTTTCCTAATAGTTCTCATGTGTATTCAGCAAGTGTTTGGATATAAAAGAGATTTTGCAATAAATTATTGGAAGAATATGCCAAAGTGCAGGTCTCTTTCTTCAGTTAGATGAAGAACAGGTTACGGTCAAATAATATACCATTATTAGAACATCAATACACTTAAGAGCTGAGCAGTTATCTCACATGTCAAACTTCATGTTCACATTAAAGTAGCATAATGTCAACCTATTTGCTTTTCTTCTGACAGTACATTTGAAAACATGAAGAGTTAAATTTTAGCTGAAGCTATTTGGCAAATCATACAATTCAAGAAAAGGAAGAATAATTTCAGAGCAAGGAAAAACTTAAATGTCATAACTTATATGGTGTGCTGAAATTAACATTTGCCTTTACATCTCCTGCTCCACTCTACAAAGAAAAATTCATTCATTTATTCAATTATTTATGGAGCTGAACTCTTCTTGAGAAGCTGCCAATTGTGCAGCGACTTCCCAGCATTTTATGGAACCTGAAGGATCATTAACATGTTCACAGGAACCCTCCACTGGTCCCTATCCTCAGCCATATCACTCCAATCCATACCATCCCATTACATCTCTCTAAGCCACATTTCAATACTGTCCGCCAACCTACGTCTTGGCTTTCCTAGTGGTCTCTTTCCTTCTGGCTTTCTGCCCGATATCTTTTTTTTGTGTTCATTCTCTCCTCCCATTTGTGCTAAATGCCCTGTCCATCTAATTACCCAAATTCAATCTCCTCTTAATTTCCTTTTGAATCAAGTTTTCATATGATACTGTCACCCTAAAATATCTGAACTGTGACACATTTTCAAAACATCTGTTGGCTATCTTTATGTCATGATTTTGCCCTGCAGTTTGGTGATGAGACAGCAACATATACTTAGTTCTCTGTGTATTTCTATACCAACCTCCTTACCAGCATCAATTAAGGTTTGTGTGTTTTTCTTTACTCTGTCTATATTATCACCCAGTAGATTCACATCATCAGCATAGACCAAGAGCTGATGTGTCCCATTTAATTTCAGTCCAACCTGGTCTTTCTGGACCTTCCTAATGGCATATTCTAAAGCAAAGTTGAAAAGCAGTGGCAATAAAGCATCTCCTTGTTTTAGAACATTCTGGACAGGAAAATAATCAGACAAATGTCTGCCTATATGGACTTCACTATATGTTTAATTTAAACACATTTTAATCAGCCTACTTAGTTTCATGGGTACCTCAAACTCTGTGAGAAAACTGTAAAATACTTCCCTCCTAACTGAATCATAGGTTTTCTTGAAGCCTACGAATAGCTGATGTACTGTCTCATTGTACTCACATTTCTTCTCCAATATCTGACGAAGGCAAAAGATCTGATGAGTAGTTAATCTGTTATGTTAAAACCCACACTGATGATCCCCCGTAATTTCATCTAAGTATGGACTTAACCTTGAGAGAAGAATATCAGAAAAAATGTTGTATGAAGTTGATAGCAGTGATATTCCATGATAATTACTACAGTCAGTTTCATCACCCTTCTTGTGAACTAGTATAATAATAGACTCCTTCCACTGATTAGGCAATTTTTCCTTATTCCAAATAGAATTAATTAGCTTATGGATCTCAGAACATAATATTTCACCTCCTGCTTGAATCAGTTCTGCCAGAATTTGGCAAAGAATAGCAACACTAATAATAAAAGGGCATATTTTTAATGTATCTTTAGATATCCTATGGTGTAATAATTATTAACAACAATGCTTGTATCAGGAGATAAAATTGTAAAGAAAAATAGAAAAACATATTATAAGCATAAGAAGTCGAGCTATATGCAGAATTAAATAGAAGTTACGAATCTAAGGGAATCACTATGCAAAGAACCTGGTGTTAAAATAACAAGCAATATTACATATCACCTTTGATAACCAAACACTAGGCAGGCTCGAAGAACTAGACTCGATATCATGTGCACAGCAATCCTTGGAAAAGAGAGAGAGATCAGTGGCAATCATGTCATTCCAATGCAAGTGAAGGAATCTTGGATCAGCATACACCATGGGATGGATCAGTTCTTACTTTTCCTATGGAGGCAGCACCAGCCTCCACACCAGACTTGGGGGCTGGAACGGATGAAGATCGTTGAGTTCGGAATAAGGGCCTTGCACCCGAAGGTCCCCCTGGGGGAGCTGAGGGTGGGGCTTGAGGGCACAGGTCCAAGCTGTGCCACCCCTTACTGTTACTAGTCTCCCCCCCACATGCAGCCGACTGAACCTATACACATGGTCAATTAATTAATAAAAAAAAATTGTACATGGTCAGGGAATCTAAACGTATTTCATATCAAATTAACTACTGTGTTCTCTAAAAACCACTTTTGAATCTTAGATGCCATTCCACATTTCAGAAAAGGACAACTGTGGCCACCAGAGACACGCTGTCTACAGGAAAATTTAATTCAAAACCTATCTACTTCCACTACCTTTTGTAATTTCTACATCTCCCTTGGTTGCCAAAGAAGTGTTCTTCACTGGAGAATTTTGACAAAGACCATTATATTTATTCATACTTTAGCTAGAACCCCATGAAGTGTGATCATTAATTTCCTCATTCATTTGAAACACTTTTGCATTTGTTTATCATGTACAGGCTGCACTACTTACATTTAGAGAGAAGCCACAATTAAATTACACTATATTTATACAAGGATTAATCAAACAGTATCGTGACTGAACCTGTGAAAATTAAGATACTGTACTTATATGGATAGGATGTTAATCCCACTCAAAGCAAGCTCCTTCAGCACATACACTGCTGGAAGCATCTGTCAAACTCAGAGTTTTGGAATCATCAACAATTTCTTTGGTGCACTGTATTCAATTGCTTCTACATCATAATATCTTTTGCCTTTCAAGATTTTTTAATTTAGAGGTCACATCAAGGTCACAGAGAGCCACAACTGACCTGTAGAGGAGCTGACTCACTTGCAAAATACTGATTTTAGGTGAATATTTATGCACATGAGCTAAATGATTATGTACACTGTTGTGGTGAATTTATCACTTGCCAAATTCACACTTTTTAAGCCCTTCACGATGTACTGCATCACATAAATATCAGCTGATATCTTTCAGACCTTCATATAAAATTTAATGCATATGCCTTGTTCTGTACTCTTGTATATCATTAAATCCACACATGATGACAAAACCTTCCAACTTCACTGGTTGACCATGACTGTCTAGAGCATGGAATGAATTCTAAACACATCTGGACATGCCCTAACATGTTGGAACATGTTCATCACAGCTGTGTCCCTGCAAACTGCAGTTTATCTTAATTCAGTCTCGATATTCTTTGATCCAGCCTAACATACTATTCCTTTCAATAAAAGATCTATTAGCATTTTTACAACAGATTAAATACAGTTAAATAAAAACAACCATTCTCTCCATTTTGGTAAAAGAAAAATTGAATTATTCACTAAAGGTACTGTGTGACCATTAACTAAATAAACTCAACAAAATGGGCGATTTCCAGAAAAAATAGAAGCAAATTCACACAATAAACACAACCAACAGCAGTTAGTTACTGTTCCTTGGCATCTAGACTAAAACTGAATAGACTAATATTTCTTGTTTGGGAGAATGTATAATTATTTTAAAGTTTCACTGATTTGTAAACAGAAAGCAGGAAGATTCTAAAGGGTTCTGATGATGGTGGATGACACACAAAATTACTGGGGTTTTGGACTTTTTCCATCATCCGGAATTTTAGGTAATAGAGGACATGACATTTCGGAAACTGATAACTTGTTTCCGTCTTCTGGTGAGAAAGGAAGACACCTACTCTGTTGGGCCCCTTAGAAAGAGCTAATCTCAATCACTCACTGGGACCTGTTATTATTATTATTATTTCTTCCTTATTCCATTACATCTCTAGTAGGCAAAAGCCTTAGATACAGACACCTATTTCTGCTCTGCTCATGAAGAGAAGTGTGAGTGCAGTAAGAAATAGCACGAACAATCAGTTCCTAGGAACAGACCATCTCACATATCGCTTGCCAATTTGCTAGCCAACAATATGATATTTTGCTGTACTGTATACTGCTGTGTGCATACAACAAACCATGGAAATACACAAATATGACTATTACACAGTACTATAACTGAACCAGGAATTCTCATGCAACACTGTACTTATCATGTTCTTCTGTTTTGATATCCTTTATATCCCTACACTTGTAAACGTTCAGTCTTTTCATCCATCATACTTATTTATCTTACCAAATTTTTACCTCTCCTAATAGATGAAAGCTGAAGATGGAGTTCAACGATGACATAATAACAGCGATAAGAATAAACATGAGGTGTTGAAAGAAATGTTCAACAAATATTTAAAGAATTATTGCAGAATTATCTAGAGAGAATGGGACTATGAACAATTGCAAAATTCTTTAAATTTAAACCTCAGGACTGCTTAAACCAGTGAGGTGAGCTGCAATCTTTGGAGATGCTTAGCTGACAATTTCCCATGCTTTGTTTTTAAATACCATAACTGATTATCTTGCCTCTGCACATAACTTCTGCAATATTTATAAATTACATACACATGGGAGGAGCATTTGCCAGAGCAAAGATCTGAAAGACAGTAATGAACCACACTAACATAAATTCTAACCACAATGTGACATTTGTAAATGAACAGTCTGCTAAATCTCTTCAAAGTCTATGGTCTACAAAATACATTGAAATGTCAGTAATGCAACATTTAGAGAACCAATGCTGTTACAATGCTGTTGTATATGACAGCTCCTGAAATACAATACTGTTGCACTGCATACCAACACAGCCTGTTAAATAGTTACACGTACATGATTTATTTCACCGTCTTCTAGTGCATACACTTATCTACTTCACTCCTCTCACTCGCACTACATGTTTCAGCACAAAAGTGCCATCCTCAGGTGCTTATTTGCTTAACGTTAAACTAGTTCATTACATGCCTTGTCGCCTTCATATTAAAATAATTAAAATNAGTCACAGGAGCAAGACACAACAAAAAGCACAATAAACACATGAAAATAGAAAGAGTGCTCCAACAGAAGAGGATAAACGTGACTTGAGTAGTGAATACGACGTAGGAAAAATCCTGAACAATTTTATATTTTAATATTTAATTTTTAACATTTATCAATATATATGATAAATATATATTTTAATTATTTTAATATGAAGACGACAAGGCATGTAATGAACTAGTTTAACGTTAAGCAAATAAGCACCTGAGGATGGCACTTTTGTGCCGAAACATGTAGTGCGAGTGAGAGGAGTGAAGTAGATAAGTGTATGCACTAGAAGACGGTGAAATAAATCATGGACTTGAATCAGTGCAACAGGATGCTAAAATATAACAGTTACATGTATTTTGTTGCATCCTTCTTTCTATGCCTCTCCAAGTCTCTGTCCTGACTTCACTTAATTCGTATGTTTTACCTTGCCAGGATTTAGTTTAAAGAGTTTGGCATTAATCTTTTCCTTTCATTATTATATATCTCAGAGGGCAGTAATTCTATTTTGACTCACCTGATGTTGAGCTTGTTGCTGAGTGTGGTGCTTCTTCTGTCTCGCCAGTGCTATTGCCGTTTGGTCTAAAAGATCCCATGACTTCTGTCTCCTATTGGTTGGGGTACCCACCCCACTGGCTTCCTGCTGGGGCTGCTGATTGCTTTGACCATTACTCCCTTCACTTCTCTGGGAAGGGCTTGCTGACATAACACTCATAGCATGTGAAACATTAGTGGCAGGAGGCTATAACACACCAATTCCAAACAGGATCAGAAGGGATGTACTCCATAATGCAGTGCACAAAATCTCCCAACATCCTTTGTCACTTGTTAATCTTATTTATGGCCTCATCTACAGTACACTTTATCAGTCAACATGGCTAAAAATCAAAATGGGTCACAAATGTTACACATCATTCATACTGAATGTTGCCAAAAAATTCATTGGTTTCTGATTATATGAAAAAGTCAATTCTTGGCCCTTTTCCAAAATAGCTCTGTTATGGATCAATATGATTGAAAATAAGAACTGCCTGACAACATTTCATGATCCCATGCCAAATTTTACAGAAATCTGTGTAACAGTTTAGAGAAAGGAATTAAGTTACAGAGAGATACGAGTATGAAGTTCATACAAGGCAATTTTATTTACTTTGCAAAGAATGCCTAATAAAGTGTTACATTACTAATATGACCTACTTCCTATTACTGCAGCTGCTGATGAAGACAACAATTAGTTGTTGGTATTTCTTGCATGTGCATATATGCTTGTGTGTGTGTGCACACATATATGTTCCTGTTTTCCAGAAGGGGCATTCTTGAAAATGTATCTATATCATACAATTCTCCACTTTTCACTAACTACTAGGAAACACATGGAGATGCACTCTTATGGGAAGCTTTGTCAATCATTGTAATAAAAACACTGTTCTCTCCATGTTCTTTTAGATGCATTACTTACACTTAAACTTAATGCAGATATCTCATGTAAGGAGAACACACTACAGAATCCTAAATAAAATTGGAACAGCAACCATGCTTCCAGTAAAGTGGCTTCCGTAGTCTAGAGGTAACGTTCCCACCTCGTGACTCATGGTACGCGGGTTCAAACCCGGCAGAGGTCGTCGAATTTTTAAGGGCCGAAAAATTCAGGGAACAAGTCCTCCGGGAGGGACTTTAAGTCGTGTGTCCCGTGACGTAGCTTTACGGCACGTAAAAGAACCTCATATCTCCAAAGGAGGTCACTGAGCCAACTTCAAGGACGTTTCCCGCCCAACAAGTAGTCTCTAACACCTCTGACAGATGGGGGAAGCATTATAGATACCGCTAAGCTAGTGGAGGCCGAACTCGCTAGCTCGGTCGGGACTGATGGTATGCACCAATATCGGTAGGATATAGAGACTGGTAGAATATCATAGAGGGAATCACAATGGACCAATACTGGTCTAAGTGCATGGGGAAACCCACCCTCTCCAATAACTAACTAACTATGCCTCCAGTAATCTCGCTATGTCACTGATGCATTCACACAAACTAGTGAATGGCTACATATCCTGCTGTCACTGACATTTGGCTGAATCTGCTGTTGTTCTGCACTTTGTGCTAGAACAATGGGCAATTATTCTGGCCCATACCATGAATTTTAAAGCCATTTAATAATTACCATAAGGGCAAAATCCCATTATCCAATTTTTTTTGTATTACAGCAGCAAAACTCTATACATATTCATAGCTATTCTCCTTCATAACATTTTAGTATTATGACAGTAGCAATACATGATTTTGTCAGTGATGAATCACATTCTTTTTATTTTATTAGGATTTTTTGTCTTTTTAATTTCAACTCAATAGGCAAAAATTATGAACTATACAAATATGCAATTTCCATACACCACAACTTCAAACACTGAAAATAACAAAAATTCCACATACTTATAAATGTCATAATTATTTTATTACATATCAAAAACATCCAGGCATCAGACTACTTTGTATATAAAATGCCAAAGATTCAAGTTGTTAAATCAACACAGTATAGCTGTGACCTCCAAGAGTCAAGAGCACACCGATTCAAAGTTACCACCCCCTCTCCCCCTCCCTTATTAACACAAAATTCTTTCCCCAAAGGTTGCTTTTGTCCTGGCATAATTGCTGAAAGCCGAGCCACACTGCTGGGCAACAGCACAATACAAGCGTCTCCACAACAGTAGTGATGTCACACAACAATGAAGCAATTCTGGGAAGTGGTGTTTTCTGTGTGTCTGTCGCAACTGCCACACCATAATGTAACATAGCAGCTGCAACATAATGTGTTCTCTGTTAGGTGCATCCCAATGTTATATCATGAGGGTCATCAGGACCAGTCAGTCTAAAGAGTCTTGAGGCGGCACAATTAAGTCGTGTGGAGTTCGAGTTTGAAGGCAGGCAGTCCAAGCCTGAGATAGCTGCCCCTGCTGGAGGTGTGGGAGGTGGTGAGCCCCTATTGTTGCAAGTCATTGAGTAGAAATGCTGAGTCAGTTGTGAGACAGACGCCAGCAAAAAATTGCAATCATCCAGTCTGTTAAGACATTAGCCTGGGAGCAGAGGAACGTCCACTGCTGGAAGATGTTACCCAGCAGCACAGTGAAGACTGTGACTGGGAACACTAGGCTGTGTGTGGTTTTGATTTGTGAAGTGTTAGTAATGAGAGTCAGGAGTCTAGAGTCGGCAGTTATGGAGGGCAGTTCTTTAGCCATAAGGGCATGAAAAATCGTCTTTGTTAGAAGACTGTAACCAGGCAATGACTGGCTGAGTAGTGAGACAGTGAGGACCAGAGCTGTGGAACATGGTAGCCAAGGAATCTACACTGTTGGAAGCCATTACCAGGCAACAACTTGTGAAGACATGGCAGAACAAGAAGACTTAGTGCATTCTGCAGTGAAATGGAGTATGTGTGAATTAGTGACAGCACTAATGTACTTGTAGTTAAAAGTTTTAAAATTCCAATAAATCAGATTACTACTCCAAGCGCCATATATATATAGTCACCCAACTGCATGACGACATTTACTTGTTTTAATTATTTACAACTCACTATAATTATTAACTTAAAATTACTTTCTGAATACTCACATGGGGCATAACATTGAGGTGGCTATCAACAGCAAAATTCTCACCAGAACCTGACTCTGGAATCATTCTCGCTATGGAATGTTTGACATGACAACGACTTCTCACTTCCTCCGATACAGATACCAATGCTGAAACAACCAAATATGTTAAAACTCCCTGTAAAGCTGACAGTCACTCAGCTGGTCAAGACATTCCCTGCCAGACTCTAGAATTTGGTGATCCATTTGGTGATTCATATTTTTGAACCAAAATTGTGTATGCATTACTCGTCTCCTCATTTCCTTTATTTGATGGCCTTAGTGGTATCTGGTGAAGACTATAAAGTATGACTCTCCTTATTCTGTTTATTTTCTGCACCCTCTGCTTACCTCATGAACATTCTGTTTTGAAAAACCTTCAATCTAAAATGTCCCTTTGGATGAGGCCAAGTTTCACAACGATACAAGACAATATAAAACAAGGCAAAACTATACTATCCAATGGCACAATAATAGTTAAAAAGTGGGTAATTGTACCTCATAAGCCCTGATCTAAGCTGATTATGTTACTGTGAGTGGGTCCACTCGGCACGGTGGCCATTGATTGGCCTATTGTAGCCCGCTCCAGGTGATCCTGATGAAGAATTTGTTGGAATGAAGATTGGCAGGGGAACCCAAAGTACTCGGAGAAAGCCTGCCCGAGCGGCACTCTGTCCACCACAAATCCCACGTGACCAGATCCAGGATCGAACCCGGGCTGCCGCAGTGGGAAGCCAGTGACTAACCGCTTGAGATATGGCGCAGCCCAAGCAGTAATAAAAGTACAAAGCATAAGGAAAATTTGGAATTATTTTTGCTAGTGAAAAGAATTGGATAGGTTTCAACAGCTGAATTTTCTTGGGCTTCAACATCCATACTGGAAGGAAGAGATTTTAATATATAAGAATAATAACATAAAGCCCCCAGAGGTGTCTCCTCTTGTCATGGTGGTGGGGCTTGCATGACTGTGACCTGAAGAGCTATGCCGGCATAACTACCAGTAGGGTCACCCATGCCAGAAAAGAGTCCAGAATAAGAGAGACACTCTGCTCCTCCAGGTTTGGGGTTGGGCATGAGGCTAACAACCTCATCCTGTAAAAAGTATTTTGTTCACAAACCTAACAGCCAGCCTTGGGTCATCATGCGCGGTTCCATTCCTATGGCAGCACGCACTGGTTGTGGAGACTGGTTGTAGAGGAGGCCAAGGCTCACCCAGGGCTGTAGCGCTGAGTGGCAGGTAGGTAATAACATAAAGAACAAAGGACAATACAAAGCCAGGACCTGAATTCACTTATATCACTATATATAAATATAGTACCCATTTTATGTGAATACCTGCTAAGTATGCTACACTCTCTGGTGTCACTTCAAATTTATCTCGTTTGTGTGGTTTGGCTATGATGCCAAGCAGCATAGATACGATTCTTGTTGTACGGGACACAGTTGTTGGTGTTGGATGCCGAAGACCTTTCAGTAAATGTCCAACCAATGCAAAATGGAAGTTGGCTGCAAAGGAAAAAATGAGGGGAAATTCAATCAACAGACATCAGAATCAGACTGATTGCATACACAGACTGCTGGATAATTCATACTGTTACGTTCTTATGATTAAATATGGATGGCATTTGGATTTGTAATTGCATTTATTGGACACTTACAGATTGTAACCACAAGTAACTACAGCGCTATCGCTAATTAACACATTCTGCAATTAACTACAGTAGGCACTAAGTCTTCTCAGTCTGCTGTGTCCTCACCAGTCATTGCCTGGTAGCGGCTTCCAATGGCACATTCCCCTTACTCTGGGTTCCCAGACTATTTCCATGCATCATCAGCTACCATCTTCTAACAGCAACAGCTCACAAGGACTGCACTGCAACAGTTCTCTAACTCACTCACTCACCAAACAACTTGCTCCATTCCACTCACTAACTGAACTCAACTCGGTTGGTCGAGTGATATGGCCTCAGAGCAGACCCAACAGAGAAAACCACTCATCTGTTGATGTGGTATCACATGTTCCATTGCAGCGGCACTGTCTGCCTGGCACTTCACTGTGTGGCAACACCGCTTTCGCACAGTACTTCTATTGTTGCGTGACATCACCACGGATGTGATGTGTTCCTCTGTTGCACGTGCAATCATAGTTACGCTAATAACTTGTTTACAATGCCATAACCTAGCAACGGCTCTCTACATGCCACAATATGTACATTACAGTACCTTCAGTGCAAGAGCTGCTTCACAAGGCTTTGCAGTACCTTTGATCAGTCTTTTCAGTATGGTTGGTTTCTAGTGCCTCTAGACAGGTCAGTTTGAGCTTTCTAACCTCTGTTCAGCTACGCAAGATAATGGAAAGGAAGCAATGGGAACAACCACAGGGCAGACTGTTATCCACAATGATAGGGTGATCATAAGTATAATGTTTGTCACAAGTGTTTACAGTTTAATGGGGGCTATGAAGTGTGAAGGGGCGTGGTATTCTTCACATTTCTCTTTGGTGGAGATGAGGTCACTCTAAGAGTAGGAAAATTTACATACAGATATGACTGGTGATTAAACTCTGAGTGAATGTCCACTGTCACATCCCAAGACCACCAGGGCTCCGATATTCACAATAATATTGTTAATCGTGCACTTCCTCAATATCAAAATATCTGTGGCATGAAGACAATTTCCTGCTTCTGTTGCTCTTTTACGAGACAGTGGAAGGACAAAAAGTTGGTCTTTGCACTGTACCAGACCTTAGAGCTTGTAGTTCATTTACCATTGACCAATGTCAGTGGCCAGTGCTTCAATGGAAAGCTTAAATTTTAGGCATTAAGATAAGTAAACAATCATCTTAATATGTTCAACAAGAAAGAAGGAAGAGGAGATTTAGTTTTAAAGTATAGTGGTAATTACATAATCACTTGCTTAAACATCAAAATACTTTATATTTTACTCACAGGGTATATTTATAGACTTCATATTATCCTCAGATTAGACTGAATTATTCCCCTAACAGTATTGCCCAACTGATCTCTGTGTCAAAGATTGCTTTCTGAGGTATACACTATTCTGTTATATGTTATTTAGATGAACACAATGCTTCAAAGAGGTAAAAGAGATGAACACTGATGCACCTTTCTATGCATGGAACCTGCATTTTTATACAAGAAATTTTCACTACATATTACAATCTCTACCATCTCACACACTTGACCGCACTGAAAATCAGAGTAAAATCTATCACAAAGATTGTGTGTTATGTATGTTTAAGAGATACACATTTTAGTGTGTACTGCTGCTAAAAGCTTCATGGGTGTTAATGTGGATTCCTAAGAGACCATTGTATTTACTGTAGCTGCCAGCTTTCAAACATCTATCAAAACAGATAACAGTCAGCATTACTAAGCTTGACAGTTCAACATCAGTGGGGGGGCAGACACACGGCTCGTGTGATGTCATTTATATTTACAATCAAAAGGCTCTTCTTATAAATGTGAATCCATGTCATTAATTAATTTTAATTTTTCAACCAGTGGTTAATAGATAAACCCTTGAGATCCTTTCAGTGGAAATGCTGTTATTATCATAGCAATTTGTCAAGATCTATTAATGTTCACTTCATTAAATTCTAAATGTTCATTCAACATAACAGAAAGCAGTGATTTTCTTCTTCTGGAAAGAAAGTGTGACAAAGTGGATGGAGCCAGAGTTTACACTTCTGGAGGAGCAACACACCAATGATTTAAGTTAAAACAAAGAGTTTATCCTTTTTCAGTCTCTGTTATAGACCTATTTATAATAACAGATTTTAAATTGTTTTCTATTTTTATATACCATAAAAAGATACTGTTACGTTACACTGTTGCATACAGTCAGAAAAAAATTCCCTAAAGGTTTCTATTTGTTAGCACTTCTGCAAAACAATAATAATAATTTTGGCATTTCTTATGAATATTTCTACACTCACATTTGAAGCTCAGACCCACAGCATGGTCCAGCTGTTTGAAATGCCACTCCAAGGGTTCTCTGGTTGACATCATCACCTGTGCTAGGGTCTGAAAATGTAATATTACATACCTGAAGGCTAAGAAAGTAACAGGTTATCTGTTACAGAACATACTCATGTAAAATTTGTATGGATGTTTTCATCTAATCACATCATGGGCTATGTGGTATACACTGCGACTAATACACACATATTAATCAGACTGACTGACTGACTTCTGTCTTTACCCTGTGTACTCGAATTACTGTATGCTATTCCAGAAGTTAAACTTACCTTTTCTTCAAAGGTCCCTTGAGAATCAAGTGTATGTAGATTTTGTTCCAAAAGTGCCAACCCAGATGCATACAATGCTATTTCATCAAGCTGCAGGACTGAGACTGCAACCCAGAAGAGAGCACGATGTATAGGTGATTCCTAAAAACAAAAGAATACAGACTCCATGGCTTTAGTCAGCAAGCAAGCTATACCAACTGAGCGACCACAGCTTGTCAGCAAAGTTAGTGCCAACTTTAGCAGATAGAGGGTGTTGTGTGGTCAGTGCAATGAATCCCCATGGCTGTTAATTTCGGTTTTCTAGACCAGAACCACTTCTTTTCAATTCAATTAGCACCTCAATTATCCTCATGAGGCTGAGTGGACCCCATTCCAGGCTCACTACTTCTCAGAAAATCTGGTAACACCGGGAATCAAAAGTGGGACCTTTGGATCTGTAGCCAGGAACTCTGACCACTAGGCCACAGGTGATTCCTAAGCAAGCCAAAAACAAAATGTACCTCAATGATGACAAAGCTTAAAAGAAAATTCCTTACAGTACCCAAACATGTCTCAAAACAAACACTGTGACAGTTTCTTCTTTACAGCAGAGGCAATGTCTGCTGTTGCCAATTTCTTTATCCTCCAAAAACGAACTGCATCCTTGTCTAAATTCTTACTGTTACAGTAACACATCTGGAATGGGCTGCGCCATAGCTCAAGCGGTTAGGCGCTGGCTTCCCACCGTGGCGGTCCAGGTTCGATCCCAGGTCTGGTCAAGTGGGATTTGTGGTGGACAAAGTGGCACTGGAGTGCATTTTCTCTGAGTACTTCGGTTCCCCTGCCAATCTTCATTCCAACAAATTCTCCATTATCATGATCACCTGGGGCAGGCTACTATAGACCAATCAGTGGCCGCCATGCCGAGTGGACCCAGTTGGACTCCACCCCCCACTAAGCAAATTAATTAACACATCTGGAAAGTCTTATTCCACAGAAGCTATGGTTCCTCTTGAATCACTAGTCATTAAAGAATTGGCTTTAGCGCACATTGGTAACATATGCACCACATACACGCAGTTCACATGGACAGAGCTTTCGGTGGACTACTGCTCAATGGCACGGCCATACTGGTCAGGTAGATATGTCTAACTTAAATATTCTTATGATGTGCTGTTTGCAGTTTTAAACTGCATTTTAAGTACCTACCTTTGAAGGTCAAATATTTTCTTGTTATGAGACAGAATAAAAGACAAAATCACAATATAAAAGTAATTAATACATCCTTTGAAAATGTGGCAGTAAGTTAAAATATTTGTAAAGAGCAGGGCAAAGCACACAGGTAGATGGACTGCTAAGATGATTTGCACAACTTTATAGCTGACACGAAATTTTAAAAAAATTTGTAAAAAATAAGAAAGATCTCTCCTTAGCATGAAAGTCCGCATAAACAGTACAGCAATTCAAGTGTAGCTGTACTCTCTTTATGTACTTGGGTCCATAGTCTGTTCTTCATTCAGCTACTTTAACTGTTGACAAGCAAGTCGGGCATGTGTTATAATAAATAAACTTACAGGTCGCAGTAGAGGTTGCAACCTTGTGAGACACATAACCAATGCTTCTAGCAGAACAATGTCATTGAAGCTCTCCAACGCCTTTACAAGTATCCTCAGGAGTTGTTTGATATCCTGATCTGCGATGCTTTTACCTGTCAAGAAATAAGAAATATAACTGTATCTTGCATTTCCAATTAAGATATTGTGACATGATATGACCGTTTGCTAGGCAACGGCTAAGTAAACACTAGTTTCTGTCACAACGGATAGCAGCGAATGAGTTTTTAAGAGGTCACAAGTTGATAAACACAAGATTCCCAGGAAAATCAACTGGACAACAGAGGACAATTAATGGTTTGACATGGTGTCTCCTATGTGGGGCAACCTAGCAGTTATCAGAGGCAGTAGATTCATGAATTCAAGGAGTTGTAGTACAGAGATAAAAGGAGTACCAGAGACCAGTCTGAAATCCAGACAGCAGCGAGAGATTCTTCAGACAGATTCACAAGACGGATGTCAATCAGAAGGAGTTCAATGTGTGAGCTGTTACAATCAACTGCAATTGTACATAAGTACCAATAAACCCAATAATTGAATCCAGAATTCATTATTACTCATCATGCTAACCCGGAACATGTGACAATATACAACATTTGCTCAAACAGAATTTATGAATGTATTTATATACGTAAATCCATATTTTCTACTGTACGTATAATGTTGTGGTTTAAAACAGAGGATTACTAACAAATAATTTATATACTTTACTAATAATTACATTTTCCGAATACATAAATGATGTTCAACTATAAAACCACATTTCTTTTTGAAATCTGTATTGTGGAAATCTGAACTTAAAAAGCCACCATAGATGAAATAGATACATCAGAAACATAAGAGGTTAACGGACCGGTTGAAACATAACATGAAAATGTAAATCATCCACACACACACACACACGACTTAATGTTACATAACCCATCCATTTGAATGGCATCATTATGTAGCAAACACCAACCAGGAAGATTAACATCAATACCTACATATCACAATAATCTGGTTAAAATTATCAACTATTTCTTATACAAAATAACAGTCCTTTTCATTTCACACAGTAAAATAACATACAAGATCACATTCTGATACCAATACAATTCCTTCAGGAGTTTCCTGTCTCAGTACAGATGGCTGGGAGAGCAGCATTTCTTTTGGACCATAAGCTGAATTTCTACGGGAGCTCTGGCATGCCAGAGAGTAAAATGACTTTAACATATTTGGATGATCAAACAAATTTTATGTATCCAGGAAGAAACATTATTGGATTAATTTCATTAAATATTAATTTAGTGTCTAAAGATTCAGGCTACTATGTAATGTATTCTATGAGTTATTTCATTTTTATTGCTAGTGGGGTGGGACTAAGTCCCTTGTACTGTGGCCACTTCTGGCCTGTCGTACCAGCCCCAGATGATAGGTGAGGGCGATTGTGGAGCAATTGGTGGAATGAAGATTGGTAGGGGAAACCGAAGTACTCAGAAAAAACCTGCCCCAGCACCACTTTTGTCCACCACAAATCCCACTTGACAAGACCTGGGATTGAACCCGGGCCGCCGCGGTGGGAAGCCAGCGACTAACCGCTTGAGCTATGGTGCAGCCATTCTATGAGTTAACTAAGACTTGATTAATAAAATTCTAATGTAATTATTTATTCAAATAATAAGTTCCAGTCCCTAGGTTTTCATGGTTGGAGCTTAATGTGTCACTTCAGCTTTCAGGACTGGGCTGCACTGAATATCAGTTTTCTAGTGATTTAGCAAATTCTGCAGGGGTTATCTTCAGGGTTAATGACTCTGAGAGGGGTTCAGCAACTCTTTTATAGCTTCTGCTTGTCTTGGAGGTGAAGCCATGATTGAATGTAGGGAGTATCCATGGGGTCAGTGAAGAGGTGATGAAAAATGGTTTCAGTGACCATGTGGTTAATGAAGGGAGGTGACAGAAAACGTTCTAGTAATCAGGTGGTCCTGTAATGATGTGAAGACATGCTGCCTAATGCAAGAACCATAACAGAACTACCAAACATCCTCAGATTCATTAACCCTGAAGATGGCAACTGCAAGGTTGCAGAAACACTGGAAACCTCATAACATTCGATATAGCCTAGTTCCAAAAGCTGAAGCAACATATTACATTCATACATGTAGATAACAGACAGGAACACATTTACAACCATCTTAAGTTAGCCCAAAACAAAACTGATAAAACAGAAATATCTGTATATAAAAAACTGATAATTATGACACTTTGGGCTCTATTACTTACTGATACAACCAAATACAATGAGAGCTCGTGGCTGAAGGGCAGGATTGTAGCAAAATGCAAAACTCTTTGCCAGTGCTGTCCAAGTTTGTAACCAATCACAGTCAGGAATGTCTCGCATACATGCCTGAAAGAAAGGGCACACTTAGAAAACATTAACATGACTTAAAATCCATCTGGAAACACAGGGCATAAGAAAACAAGAAACTCAGTGGATATTACATACAAGCAAGTATGGATCAGAATGACAAAAATAACAGACAAGTTAGGAAATGTATACATAATGTAACAATTCTGGTGAATTTTCTCCCTTTTGTTTAATTATCTTGAAAACATAAAACTAACGGGGCTAACTCCGAGTTAGTTCCGAGTTAGCCAGCAACTAGTCAGTTGTATTGTGGCATTTGGAGTGTAATATTTGTGATACTGCAGATAGCAGTAATCGTCAGATTGTAATTTGGGTGATTGTAAGTGCGAATGTGAAATAAAATTTGCTACATCAAATACATCGTGAAGTTATTCGTCGCGTTATACGCCCGACACGCGACACTATATTAGACATAAAAAATCAGTTTCATTTTACTCTACAACTTTTGTTCAAAACATCTTTTACTTTGATCAATAATTACAGAGCTATGCTCACATTGGTTGCAGGAAGAAATGTGGGTCCTCATGTAAAGTGTTTCACTTCAGTAAAAAATTGGAATGTGTCAACAAATTTTAGTGAATCAATCCAATATCAGACTTCATGAAAATCCAGTCGGTGATTCTTGAGCTGTCACATGCACAGAGATAGACAGAAATGTAAAATAACATGTGAATTGTGCAACTCCTCACTGATAGTACATCAAAGGAGGAAATGACCAAAACTGTATCTACCTTGATATAATAAGTGAACAATTTTCTTATAAGAAGACACTAAAATTCCAACGTGATTATCAAATTTGCTATTATAATATACCTTTAAGTATATTAATAACAAACTGTCACTGACCTCCATAATTTCTAGGAGTGCATCAGTGATGACCTCTAGAGATGTCAGTGACAGCCGCTCCCGGTCACAGTAGTTGGATCCTGAGAAACTTCGTTCCTGGCCATACCTGTATAAAGTAGATATGTTTAAACATTATAACTAGAAAATGTGAGGTCTGATCAGACTGTGTTGAGGGTGAACTCATATTTCAGATAAGTTACACTATGCATAGGCCGTGCTATAGCTCAAGCAGTTAGTCGCTGGCTTCCCACACATCAATAAGTTGTAACAAGAACAGGGACAACTCAAGATGACATCATGGCACATGAAGATCAGACCATTACTGCTTATCACAGTTCCACACAGATGCATGGTGAATTCATAACATTACAATAACTTCCTTCTGCCAGCACTCTGTCCGGGTGGCTTAGGGTTATTGTCTCTCAAGCTGACCCTGCCACACAAAATACACGATGTCACATGGTGTGGACCATCTATAGATTGTTGCAGTGCTGGATCATCATGTGTGCTCTCTAGACATGAGCCCATGTGATATGACCTCTTTCCAAAAATGAAGGAATCCCTACAAGGACAAAGATTCCAGTTGCAAGAAGAGATTAAACACACTATAAAGCAGACTATTAGGATAGATGCTGCTGATGAACTGTGGCTGCTGCCAGAGATCTAGAACATTGCAGGAGGGGGACTATACTGACAGTCCACCAGAACTTACTTAATGATCCTGTTTTCTCTGTCCAAGATGGTTAAGCATAAGACAGTAAATGTGCAACTTACCAGCGTTCACTTGGATGTCGATAACTCGCCCTGAATGCTGTGACTGCAGCTGACTTTTCCTTGCTGATTCCAAAAAGCAGATAAAACTTGGGCAAGGAAAATTCATCTAAACTAAGTCGTAAAACTCTCTGAGTTTCCTCTGTTGGAAAACAAATATTTATCTGATTAGTTAATGACTGTGTTCACAATTTTAAGAACTGCAACTTAAAAAAGTTATTAGAACTGGATTTGAATTGAACTGAAACAAATAATGAAATTACCACTAAATGAAGGTTTGCTGCAAGTACACAGTGAATGAATGATGTTGATGACAAGGCCAAGAGTTGAGGCCCTCATACTCAAAGACCCTGAACACACAAGGGCAGACACAGAATGGAACAAATATGGCAGATGGCGTGCTACATCCAGGCAGTTATTAAAGGATAACATGAGCAGGTAGCGTGCAAGTATTGCTATGTCATCCCACATCATATGTTGTTCTAGCAATGGTGTAGGAGAAGTACAAGTTTTATCCAATACCTGGAAAATTATGAATATGAATTAGTAACAGAACATCTACTTGATTTAGGGGCCTCAAAAATGAATATATATTTTTACTTTTTCTTATACATTAAATTACACAGGAAGTACAACACTATACTACGGAATTAAGACAATGACATTAATTATACTGATATTTAAAAAGTGTTTAGTCCATCAGATACAATGGAATCTCAGAATAGAATAGATGTGGACACTGAACTGACAAAGTCTTAAATGGACAGAATTTAACAGCGATATAACAGAAGTATATAAAATAATTTTTTAAATTTGGGAACACCTTAGGTTAAGAAATATAACTGTGGACTCCACTATAACAAATTAAAGTTTTAAAGTAAATATTTTATTTACAAGTAATTACAATTTTAATATGAACACAGTTAATCATCAAGAATACATTAGTACAGCTGTGACATAAAACTTAAATTCAGAAATCCTGAAGGGAACATGATAACGAAAATACCACCAGCTTACCCTACATAGTCTTCCAATCACTTTCTTGGCTACAAGCTGTACATTTGCCGAAGCCAGAGCCACGGCAGTATCTGCCATGATTTCCACCATGGGTGAGCCAAGCCCACTCTTCATTGACCGATGTATGAAGCTGTCCAGCACCATGTCAATAAGCTCAGGCACCTGTGCAACAATTTGCCTGTTTGTTATAATGAAACTATTGAAACACCTTCACCAAGATGATCACCATGGAACCAATGACTTCAGGAAAGGCCATATAACAATAATTTTCTGTAATTACTTGTAAACAGAAGATCCAGAAGTCTGGTGAGGCTTATACATGAAATACACTTCAATTCCATGACATTTTAGGCTATTACTACAATTTTAATATTCTTCATGTCATGCATAAAATGCTCTAAAATATATATTCAGTGCAAAAGTATTAATTTGCCAGAAAAGTGTGTCTTATGCATACCACTGTGCGTGCATTACATTGCCCAACACAAGAATATACGACGGCTGTTCGGAAAGTAACTTCCATTTATTTTAGAAACTGATGGGGGAGCAGGGCAGAGCTCACGCATGCGAGGTAGTGTCATGTGAATCATTGCATTGTAAACCATCATATAACTGGTCACCTAATGTTCGTTCTTGTCTCTACAGAGTGAGTTATAATGCCTCCTGTGATAGATAATCCCGCCAGCTGTGAAATTCGCGCTGTCATTCACTTTCTTCATGCTAAAAACATGAGTGCTGCCAAAATCCACTGTGAATTATGTGTGGTTTATGGCCAATATGTAATGAGTGAAGGAACTGAAAGACAATGGTGTAGAATGTTCAAAGATGGGCCAAGAGATGTTCGGGATAGAGAGCAGAGTGGTCGGCCATCTGTACTGTGTGATGATCCTGTTGAAAGTGTTGACTAAAAAGTCTGTGGAAGACAGTGCCTCACAATTTCAGAACCTTTGTGGGAACTTCCACAAATTTCATGCATGCTATGAGTTTATCACAATTTGACTAGGCTATCACAAGTTCTGTGCAAGATGGGTTCAGAAAATACTCACAGGTGTGCACAAAAAGCAGAGAATGGCTTTAGCTTCAACTTTTTTTAGAGCGATGCCATAAAGATGGCAATGAATTTCTATGTCACATCATATGGGTAAGAGGTAATGGAACCTAGGATTCATCTGTGAATGCCAAAACCATAGAGCAGTCAAAACAATGGATGAACACACATTCATCAAACAAGCTGAAAAGTTTAAACAAACGTTCTCTGCTAGAAAGCCGATGGAAACTGTTTTCTGGGACAGGAAAGTAGTGATTATGGTGGAATTCATGCAACAAGGAACCACAGTAACATCAGAAGTGTATTGAAAAACACTAAAAAACTGAGAAGGGCCACTCAGAACAAAAGGCATGGAATGCTGACATCCAGTGTATTTGAAGTGCTCCACCATGACAATGTGCATCTGCATACATCTGCCTGCACTCAAGCACTGCTTGCGCATTTTAACTGGGAGTTGCTTGACCACACTCCTTAGAGTCCTGATCTCACTCCGAGCAACTACCACCTGTTTATCTACTTGGAAACCTGGTTGGGGCCACATCACTTCAACAATACTGAGGATTTGATGGAAAGTGTTGAAATGTGGCTGAGCTCACAAGCAGCAGACTTCTTTGATGCAGGCATACAAAACCTTATTCCCTGATACAACAAGTGTCTCAAATACGGCAGTGACTATGTTGAGAAGTAGCCTAAGTATGTATATATATTTAGAATATAATTTTTTTTTTCTAATTCCTTGTTATGTTAATGGCTCACCAGAGGTTACTTTCCAAATAGCCCTCGTATACTGCTATTCATCATCCTTTCTAGATGTCCTATCACAGTTATAAGTAAAATTATATTCTTCCCCTTTTTACAGGTCTTTATTAATGCTTTATCCCACTGACCAGATACTTTACATTCTCTTTCAGGATACAGTTAGAGTTTAACCATTTATTCATTTGTTCATTCATCCATAGTGTTCTCTACATTTTATCTTAGAACATCCCAGAAGAATATTTCTCGACTGCAGAAATTGCTGATGATGGTGAAGTTGTATAAAACCTTCCTCTCTCTAGTATTTTGTGGCCTGTGTCTGATGTGAAATGCCAGTTTTGGGGTTAATCATGTCGTATGTCAAAGGTGTTCTAATATGTGGTCATTTCTTCAGAGTGAATATTCAATGTGAAGAATGTGCACTGAAACACAGAAACAGCTTCAACATACAATGTGGCTAAACCCCAAAAGCAAAAGTTACACACATAAAAAACATCCATGAAGCCATGAAGAATGTGATGCCAAAATATATGACATACTTGACCAATGGATCCCCAGATCTTGGCCTGTATTGATGGATACATCTCCACTTCCTCAATGGTCAAAAGTATGAGCTTTTTCAAAATATGTCCCATTTTCTGTTGATGCTTACTTTCATCTGAAGGTTTACAGAACCTATACACAATGAATAAAACAGCCGGCATGAAATGAAATATAACAATCCAAATCTTCACAATGATATGATACACAGGGTAAAAACCAAGCATACATTGCAATATGCCAACTAACCTCACTAAATTTGCTAACCATGGTGTCATATATTCAAGGCACAAGTGCTTGAGCTCAATATTGGAAACTCGGAACCCTTGGATGCACTCTTCTAAAAATTCAAGAGTGAGATGTGGTTCATTTGTTGCAAGCTTTTCACTCACAGATTTGATGAATATTGTGTTGTTTGATGGAATACATAAACCTGAAACAGAAAGAAACAAATTCAACAGGCTAAAATACCCGTATCAAGCACAGAATTTCTACCAAAGCTAAATACTTTTAGAAAATGGCTGTAACAATTCAGAAACATACATTTTATCAATATCCCAAGTATGCTAATGAACAAAGTAAGGATTTCAAAATCCAAGTATATTTGAGGAGTGCAGTCTTCTGGGTTATAATGCCATGTAGTTCATAAAGAGCCCAACATTCTGGAGGAATGTACTGCCTCCATCTTCAGGGTCAAAGAAAAAGCCAAGCAATAAACTAGCAGAGGCAGGTGTCAAGCTGAAGGAACCACACGTGGAAAATCTGGCCCGATATAGACCAGTTAAAGCCTAAAAGGAATTGTAAGAGAGCCAATGGAAGAGTGACCATTGCCTGTATGAAGACTCAGATGGTTTCTTGCTTGGCTCATTCTTCAACACTGATAATGAAGGCAATACATTTATCCAAAATGTTGAGGTCTCTTGAAACTATATGGCATTACAACCCAGTAGACCAAGTATATCTGTTTTTGGATTACAATCAGTCATGACTCTTCTAAAGAGATGTTACTATCAATAGTATAAAATGATTCACAGGACCATCCGGTGTGACTAATTAATAACAGTTGCATTTCATTATTTCATTTTCCTTAACCTGTTTCAGTCAAATTGACCATATTCACAAGGACTTAATCAACATTTAGGAAACCACTAATACAATGTCATTAACATAAAAAGGTTATAAAAACTAATTTACATAGTCAAGTATTTAAAAGTAAGTTATAACAACTTTTTGTTAAAACTAGAACCAATGTTTCATGTCTTGAAATTTCTTCTCATTAACCCGTTGCCGTGGTTCGTCGTGTATGTTTCGTCAGGGATTTAAATCGTCTGGGGGGGTTCGACGTGTATGTTTCGTTCAGCTGCACACCTATGTTATAACGCCCATAATAATTGATGGTTTTGCTGTAGATTGTTAGATTTTTCGCTGGCCTGTTGTCAGTAGAACAGAGTATAAATAAGACACGACTTTATCTGTGCCAAGTCATCGTTACATATGCCTGTCTTGCAGCAAAGTTCCTGTGGTTCTGGCGAGCGGTTTCTAGCTGTACTCTTATGAAGGCGTGTTTTCTTTGCTTCGAAGATATAAACAGAAGAGACGTGATGTTTACTGTTGTATATGATATCATATTACCCTGAGCTGGCCACATTGACACACTCAACTGAAATTCTTAGAATAGGGTTGTCCAGTAATTTATTCTCGCATTATCCATTGATTTCGCACAGTACAAAGGCCCAGTTCTGAGAAAAACGCCACAATTTAAGGCAGAACACTGTGGTCACCCCCTGAGACGATACGGATGTGTGTGGGGGAGGGAAAAAGAACTCATTCCTTCATGTATTATCGCTCAAGTTGACGCCATTTTATCGTACTGACCTTGGTGGTCGTTTCGAGGGATGACCATAAATATTTTTTTGAGCCAGCTAAGCTCTACTTTCGTTCACTAGATACCAGACAGTTCTTAGAATAACTTCATGAATTCTGTGGTCACCCCTACGACATCTCCTGCCGCCAAAATGGATGGAATATCAAAGGCATAGCAACAACCCCTTGTTATGATAACTCGTAACGTTGAATTTACTACAGCTGACCTGGCAACTAAACGGGTCACGGAAAGACATTTCCTTGAAGTATACCCCTCACGGGTAAGAAGGCAAGGCCGCACATATGTGTGGTTAAAAAAAAGGGCCAAAAAAAATACACAATATTGGAGCGGAGAATGGTGAATGTGAGGCACCGTTGGGTTATACGAATGCTTCAAGGCCTTCCTTCTACTAAACCAACTGCCTCCATTACCGAGATACAGGGCGCTCATATTATAAGGTAAGGTTATAAAAACCATCTTTTAAGATCATTTTAGTGAAAGTTTCATGCTTCAAGGCGTACCATTCACTGCTCAAATACTAAAAAACCTGCTTCCATTGAAGATATAAAGGGCGCTCATATTATAAGGTAAGGTTATAAAACCACCTTTTAAGATCATTTTAGTGAAAGTTTCATGTTCCTATCTCATAGAATTTAAGAACAATGATGAATAAATCATTTTCGAGCAAAATTTAAATGGCCGGCTGAATATATTACCGCAGGAGACGCAGCCGCGGAATTTAAATTACCGCGTCAAAGGGTTAAAGGAAGAAGATTGTCTATCATGGCGTGTTTCCAATGCCTGTAGAATAGGAAGCAGTAATTACAGTACTGGTATTATGCTGTGTTTCTGTCATCCTAGTTTTATGTGTAGGTGAGTTCCTTATTTTGGTCCTACCTTTAGCATCTTGGTCCCATTGTATGGTGCACTTCGTGTTGTTGTACTAATCTAAGGTATACCATGTCATGTATTTATACCCCTTGTGTGTCGTGACGTATGCGTGGGCATGTACTCATGTTTACTATGATATCGAATGTATCATTTCGATATTGGCTCTCCTTATTAAGTGTTTGTTCTTCTATTAGTTTGTTAATTTTATTGAAGTGATTAATGTGGAAATTTTCTTTTATGTTCATAAGGTTCCCTATTTTAGCATATTCTACCATTTCCATGATTCCTGTCATGGGTCCATATTGGTGTTGTTTATTTAATGTGCTGGGCAAATGCCAAGTCATCTTTACTAAAACATATGTTTCTTATATGTTCTTTGTATCTAGTTGTTAGATTCCTGCCAGTTTGGCCTATGTGCACTTTTTGACAGCTTTGGAATGTCACTTTATAAATTCCACTTTGGTCACATGGGTTCATTTTTTGCTTTTCGTTAGTAATTTGTCTGTGGTTGATGTTGTTTCATTTGCTATCTTTACGTTTGTGCCTTTGAACAGTTTTGTAACTTTCCCTATGTAAGTGAAGGAGACACATTTTTGTTCTTTTTTGGTTATGTTTTCAGAATTATTCTTCCATAGTCTGAGTCTGTTGTACAACTGTAAGATGTCTTCCTTCCTATATACATTATTTAGTGCTATATTAATGATTGTGTTTAATTCCTTGTTTTTGTTGTTTCTTTAAGGGGTAATGTGAGAAGTCTGAGTATCCAATTTCTATATGCTGCTAATTTTTGCTCTTTGGGATGGCATGAATTATTATTTATTGTGATATCTGTTGCTGTTGTTTTTTGTATATTTCCATTTCTAAATGTCCTTGGATATTAGTTAGGTTTAAATCTAGGTAAGCTAGTTGGCTGTTTACTTCCTCATTTGTTGTGAACTGTAGGGGGTTGACTATGAATATAAAATGTAACAACTTCCAATAAAAAAAGCTTCCTCTGTGCTTAATTAATTAAGAACTATGCCACGGAGACATTACTCCAACATTCTTGATCCTGGCACTAGACAAGAGGTGACTGGACATTTTTACACCCCTGGTCACTTTACCCACAGGGACAAAGCCCTGGCACCCAGTGGATAGGAGGCTGGGAAGGCCCCTGAGCTGGTCTGGATGCTGTGGAGGAGAGAAAATTTGGCCCTGCTGGGAATTAAACCTGGGCTCTGCAGCCTGCAGTCCATCACTGTACTGACTAAGCTATCCCAACTACAACACCTTCCAATATACAGAGAAATTTTAATTTTTAACATTTTTATTTCTCATAATTTTACCAACACACATGTTTAACAAAAACTTACCAGATGTCTCCAGTAACTGACCCTCTATTTTCAAACCAAATGTAGCAGTAAGTGCACAAAGGAGGTTGTAGGCTGCTGATCTGAGGTTGGGATCTGAGGATCCCAAATTTAATAGTGCCATATTTAGTAATGTTCCTGGAACATCCTTGGGTCGAATCTTCTGGTGGACTGTTACCGAGTCCTAAAAGAATTCAGAGAACAAATATAACTGTAAATTACACAATTAATAAGGCAAAGAAAACTATTAGGTATGAGAACTACTCTTTTCTTTGTTCTTCACATTAGTCATAACAAATAATTAACACGCTCCATGGAGATGAGTCCCTGTTAAGAAGCTACAAGTTGCTCACCTACTCATGAGATTCCTCTTTTACAGAATCTGAAGGTCCATCCTCAATGGGTGTTCGACAGGCCCTGAACCAAGCATGCAATTCAAACACCTGTGTATGGCTCATGGTTTCTTCCCCGAATGCTTGTCTAATCATTGCCACAGTCTCTGATGCAATTTTTTCAAGATTTGCACAAAATCTGATGCACACTCGCTGTTCCTTTGTCAAATTCATTGTGAAATCACATCAGGCCAGATACATGACTCTAAATAAAAGGACGTTAAAAATCAGCAAGTCCGCCCAGCTGCATGAAATTCTGTACACTGACTCCCAAGATATGCTAATACTACCAACTACCATTGCATCATACTAATACAACTGCTGTACATATGGCAGCACCAGTCCTGGAAATTATGGTTACCACTTCATAATTACTTTAATTCAAAAATCAAGTCAAGAAAATGAGCTTACTGGCTGTGAGAGTTCCCATCGATTCCGGATGTGTATTATGGCTTGTACAGTGTTATCACAGTCAGTCTGGACAAATGACAATGGTCCTGATCCGTTAGCTATTGTTAACGAGAACTGGTTGCTGTCTATCATACAAACTTCCTCAATTTCTGATGCATAATAAACATCGTTCAGAAGAACTGAATGAGATAACACTTTAACCTTCTCATATGAAGTTATCTGGATGGCAGTAGGACCAACCTACAAAAAAAGAAAAAATTCACACTTGGCTGGATATAATAAGCACACAGGCTAGAAGTACAATACAAACACTTATCCACATTAAGGACCTGCTGACTTACGGATGGAAAAACTAATTTTGAAAGGAATTTATATAAATATAACAGAAATCTCTTGAGCAAATAATCCTCCAAATGATGTTCACTAAAATGTGCATCAAACACTGAATAAGAATAATACAACTAAGATACAAAAGAAAGGAATGTACTGATATCTGAACTTCTTATGTTGGTGAATATAAGGATTAAGATTCTCCACGACAAAACAGTAACCACTCTTTTACCCTGAAGATGGAGACAACAGGTTCCTCTGAAACAAGCCAAATGTCAACACAACAACCTTATTGAAGAATTAGATGCAAATAGTAAGATGCAATTCAACAACTGAGACTGGTATCATGGTACGCCTGATGATAACCCCGTATAAGAGTCGAAACATGTAGCATCAATAAAAACAAATGTTGATACGGTAATGTTTACTTTGTTTTAAACACAGAATATTGTTGTATAGACTGCATAGTTTTGTATACATTTTATGTACAAAAACTTTACCCTAAAATCATTATTAAATTATTCTCATGCTATCACCCATGACTGAGTCTTCTACATAGCTGTTTTCTAAGAGCTTTCTTTCCACTGTAATTTGCACTTCCCTGCTACATGCCCAGCCCATCAAATCTTTCACTTGACTACCATTTCAATATAAGGGTATAAATCATGAAATCCTCAGTATAAAATTTTCTTTCTACCAATTATTATAATTTCTATTAAGCCCATACACTTTCCTTGGCACACTTCCAAAGACAAGTAATCAGCAATCCCCAGAAAATCATACAAAAATAATGAGCAAATCAATTTATGGCTAAGACTAATCATTAGTGTTCCATAAATTAACTACAACAATAACAGCTATGAACTTAAATGAAAATAATTTCATATACAGCAGTCCCTTTTCTTAATCCAGTGTGAACATAAGTTTAATTTTAAACAGTTAAAAATTATTCATTACCTAATGTTATAGCTTTATGTTTATGTAAATATAATAGTACATACATAGCTCCTAAAGCTTTCATTCTAGTGTTACATCTTACCTTAATGTACACTTTGGTGTCCTTGGGAGACAATTTATGTGCATTAAAGAAAACTTTAAGATCTTCATCAAGAGAAAGTGTTGCTCCAGGTAACTTCTGTTGATCTAGTTCAATAAAGTCATTTAGGCGTGCTGGAGTTTCAATGAAGATCAGTTTGCGATTTCCCTAACAAAAGAGCAAAACAGCTTTATTACTAATTAATTAATGCAAAAGCCATAATGTAATATGACATGCCTGGCCTGATGGAATTGATGAGCTTAAACTTCTTGCATATCAATGTGCCTTAATTACATTATGTACTGGTGGTAAATCCTTATGCATTAAGATATAACCCTAAACTATTAACTTCTCTTTTTATAAGCATGATACAATATGCTAATTCATATATTTTATCTCTGAACGAAAATCATGTCTAAAGATACACAACAATTTTCCAATTTACCCTATAAATAAAATGTTAAGTCAACTTCCACCACACAGTCATCCCAAGATATCTACTAAACAACCTATACATTGCCTCTAAAATGTACCTACATAAATGAAACATACTAGAGGAAGTTCATTTCAAATACATGCTACATTCCATTGAAGATGACAACTGTGTATAAAAATTACAATTCTGAATCTACCTCAGGCATGTCAAAGCATGTAATTCTTTATCATCTTTTTTTGTATCACACTATACACAATGGATGTAAATTTTTATAGGAACTAGTACCACAGCGGCCGCGCAGTCTAAGGCATAAAGTCTCTTCATTCACTGGAATGCTGGGATCATGGGTTCGAATCCCACTCAAGGCACAGATGTCTGTGTGCGTTTATTCTGTGTTTGTGTTGTCCTGTGTAGGTAGCAGCCTTGCGACCAGCTGATCTCCCATCCAAGGGAGTTCTACCAACTGTCTTAAGATTAAAAAACTGAAGTGGAACAAAATATTTCATGGATGTCCTACATGCCAAGTGGGGGCAAGAGGAAAAGAAAGAGAGTGTACCAAGCTACAAGGAGTGAAGAGAACAGTTTTCCAGCAGTTCCTATTGCAGTAAGAAATATATTTTCTGAGGTTTGTAATATCATTGCACTACTCTGACAATAAGGATATTTTTAAATTCAATTAGATTCCTTGCACACAAATGAAAAGATCTTAAAATATTGAGATCATTATATTAAGTCTGTCTCTTTTGTACTTCTGAAGTAACACATACTGTACATGCACAATCACTTGACTAATGTGATCTTTTATGGCTAGAGCATCAGTTGGGGGCCAGGCATATTAGAACAGAAAATCTAATGTATTCTTCCGATGCTCACAAAAAATGGAGAAAAACAGAGTCACAGTAGATGCCTCAACACCTCTTAGAGGCTTGTGTTCCAGTCAGGGGATTATTCAAGGACCTTATAAAAGTCCATGAGACTTTGACCTCTTTCCTAAGAGAAATGATTGGAGTATTTCATGACGTACAGAAACTTCTGGCACAGTCATATATTCAACACCTCACTGAACAACATTAACAATTCTTCAAAAATATAGGCTCATCACAGTTTCTTTAACAACATTATAATAATTTCAAGGATGTATTTAGCAATAGCTGAGCTGTCTCCCTAAATTGGGATGCATGACCAGAAATAGTCATGTACTATATCCAAGTACTAATCCAATATTTGCCAAGAACAATGAGGAGAAACACAAGGACAAATCTTAGGATGGCTAGATCCCAGCCACTCAAAACAATGGAAAGGATACACAACATAAACAAGCATTAAATGAAGTCACAAACTCAATCTACCATATTCAGTAGTCAGTGCCTGGACAACTTGCTGTTCACTGCTTTTGAAACAACTCTGACACAGATGTCTGTAGATTGTGACAGGGAATGATACAGCAAATTACAAATCTGCGAATAATACAGACTTACATTTATGTACAGCATAACAGTAACTGTATGGCTGTACACATATATGTGGAAGAAACAACATTTGTTAATTATAATTCTCCAAATGGGATATGCTTATGCTAGATACAGTGCCATCAGCTGAGAGCGAATCAAACATCATTCAGCTCATCAGGTGGCAGAGACAGATGCTCCTTGAGTCAACCTAGACTGATTAGTAGCGTATTCAACCAACCATACACATGACAATTTATCTTAACCCAATAAGCCATTAAACAGTTACTGTGAAGCAAACTTATGCATCGTGTTCTGACCAACGACTGTCAGATGACATGGTTTCAACTTACGGAGTTTTTTGGTTGTTCATGCTCATGTTTCTGAAACTCAGTCTTCTATGCAAGGCATTTCCAAGGGATCCTTTGAAAAAATATTCAAGCCTAGCAGCAATTTTCTCCAATTTCTCTTCAGCGAACACACAGCATTCCGATTTGGTCCTCTTTTTCTTCTATCCCAATAAAGACCTCATCTGCCTAACATATTGTGACGTGGATGGCCTAGCGGAATCTTCTCCTTATACAACCACTCGTCACATACGTACTGCACGTGAACACTCGGTTCTTCCAATGTGTAACTTGTATATGGCACTTTGACACAAAATGTAAAGTGACTGGCTGATTATTCAGTAGAGTAGCAGGGGCCCGAGAGTACAGCTGGTTAGCGTACACTGCATAAGCTTGTTGCATGTTAGCTGGTCAATGAATTATTGGAGAGATACTGAAAATAAATTGTAATGTATATAGAATCTCAATTCAATAAGTCTGATCATCAGCCCAAGCTGATAAGAAGAGGGTTCATCTCTCCAGCTCTAGTGATTGACTGATTTCCTGATAGCTCACAGATGATTGCACTACAGTATGATTAATACTTCCTGTACCTTCAGTGGTGCCAGTAGCTGGTCATGGAATTTGGTATATTCTCGAACCCAACTGTTACAGTTGTAAATGTATGCTGCATGAATATTTTCATACGCTGATACAGGCAGGACATGGAACCATTTCTGTAAGAATTCTGTCCTGATGACAGGGGGGAAGAAAAATGTACAGTTATTGCAAAATTCCAGAGATTATTAATCTGCTTTCATGTGTAGCAAAAGTTACCTAATGTCTAGACTCAATATACCTTTTAACCCAAAATAATTCTTAGCACTTTCAGATCCTGCTATTGCATTCTGAATTATATTCTAAGAATAACTGATCAAATTCATAATAAACCTAAATTTTTCTCCCTTTAGTCTCATTTTCTATATTGGTTCCCCTGTATCTTATTATTCACAGTGATGATGAAACAATATATTAAAGTGAAAGTGGAATAATTAACATTTCCACTTCAATTCATACCCATAACCACTACAAGATTAATTACATTTCAATTAGTTTAACTGTAATGAATATATCAGCAGAACAAGCAAACAAATGTGTAGATATTTATATCATTTCATGCAGTTTCACATCTGGAGAACATAAAAGAGAAACTTTGAGCCAGCATGTTCAGACATTACATTTTTAATTAATTTTTAGTTGTGACAGAATATCAGTGCATATGTATATATACATGCACAACACACTCATATGAGTAATAGTTTAGGTCATAGGTATGTTGTTGACAATGGACAGATATTTAATATCCGTGCAGCAGCAGTTAACTCGTTGATCCTTAAAATACCTCTCTTTCAAAGAAGACAAAAACATATTTACATATAATTACACTGAGAATTAAATGAATGGACACCATTTTCCATACAGTAACTAAACAACATTTTAATTTATCTGCATGAAAGGATGTTAGAATAAATGAATAAAAGGCGAACCAAGTGTGATAATTTTGTGTACCTTATACAATCATTCCAATGTCTTCTCTTCTTAAAAGTTTTGCATCCATTTATGACATTCTGTCCAAACATAAATTAACACATGGAGACATTTGACTTTTGCATAATAAGCAGTAATGAATTAATGTTACAATGATAAACCATAAAATAAAACTTCATTACAAAATCTTATATGAAGATTTATTCATGACATACATACTCACCAAAAAAAAAAAAACAGCTGTGACAGCAACGACACATACAACCAAAAGACAAAATAAACTCATTTTCATTAAACTTATATCAATAGCATCTATTTTTCAATAACAAGCTAAAAAAACTTACATTTTTCTTACACCCACCTGAACCGATTGTATGCACACATATGTGTGAAGTCCACAACAACTTCAAACGGTGAGTGGCAAAATGGTTTGAGAGTTAGAATCACGTGGTAAATCAACAGATCTGCATTGGTTTCTCCAATCCTGTCACATTAAAAACTACAATGTCCTACTATAGACATAGAAATGTACAGTTATACTCTTCATTACTTGAGAATAAATTTATCAGACTTACAGCTGAACTAAAATACTGTCACGCAGTTTGGATTGAAAACTGGACTTAATGAATACCTATAATTTGTAACTACAGGTAGCTATAACAGTTTCAAGGATCTATGTTACGGGAATCTGTTCAGAGGAAAAGACCTGAACTCTGACCTGACTAGCAGATTCTCCACCATGACAAGACCTCCTGTGCATGATGCGTTAAATAGTTCATGAGTTCCTGGCTAAGAAATCCATTATAAAAATGGGCCATCCACCTTATTCATCTGACTAAGCACACTGCAATTTTTGGCTTTTTCCAAAATTAAAAATGCCATGAAGGGACAAATATTTGCTGATATTCCATACTTAATATATCTCATTTGCTAATATTCCTGACATCCAACACATGACGTTACTGCAAGGTATTCCAGAAAATGATTTTCAAGACTGTTTCCAGCAGTGGCACCATCGCCTCACGAAGTGCATAGCTTCACAAGGAGAGTATTTTGAAGGTGACAGCAGCCACTAGTGCCCAGGTAATCAAATTTTCATAGCTTCACAAGGAGAGTATTTTGAAGGTGACAGCAGCCACTAGTGCCCAGGTAAGCAAATTTTGCTTTCACAGGGCCATTTCAGGAATTAAATTCTCACACCTTGTACATGTACTGAAGTGATACATATTGTGACATGCTGCCTGAAAGCCGGAGTATAACACACTACTCATGAAACAAAATATAAGAATCTTCATAACTGGCATCCAATGACTGGACCAAAAAGCGACTTCTCTCTGCCATACATTTTAAAATAAATAACTTAAGTATTTAACCCTTGCTTGTATAATTTAATTTTCTGTAAACTAATCTTATCAATCCAGTTAATTTAAATGCTAAAGAAACATATTTCAGTATATTAAGTATGGCAGGGGACAAATCTTGCCACATTCTGTTCCATTAGGTATGGCAAGGGGTTAACACTAAATGTGTCTGATATTTGCACAAGAAATATAACATACATATATGGCAACTAATATCTGTAAGTCAATACCAAGTGGAAGAACTACGTTACTGTTACTGTAAAGTAATCTATGATTCATGAACTCACTTGTATCGGCGAGCTATGTAGTAGAAGACAGGATACCCTAGCTTACTGGTTCCAGCTTGATAGAAAATATTAAGAGACTTGATGGACTTGAATTCCTCTTTCTCATGCATATTGTGCTTCACCATAATTTCCTCAAAGTTGTTACTTGACATGTCTATAGAACTCCACCTGGCATAGGATGAAAACAGCAGACTACATGCCATTAACAGGAGGTCAAGCAAAAAGACTCACACTTGCTATTCAACCATGAAAAATGTCAGTACAATGAAATAAATAAATTACAACAGAGTCATCACTTAACATTTGTCAATCTGGGAGAATGAAGTAGAGTGAGTGTCTTCATATGACGAGAACTGGGACAAGACAGTGTGCAATAAATTTCAAAATGATTCCAAAACATTCTTCAATTACGTTTTAGTTAAATATTCATTTCTATAATCCCAGCCATTTTAAAGTTGCCTGCTGAGGAACATAAAATGGGGATGTATCTGTAATTATTATAATTATATTTTGTTGCAATATGCAACTTTTCTGTACAGATCTATTCCAAATGTACTGCAATAAACTATATTACAATCCAAAGTAAAATGTCATCAAGGAAAAAGCACATCTTTCTTACACTAATTTGACATTATTTGTAATCTATGAATTTGCTGTTAAAGTAGAAACACAATATAAGCATGATGAGACCATAAGAATGATACTGAAAAACCAATCACTGCTCAGACAAAGGACCAGCTGGAGAAATCAAATGAGAGAAGATATAGAAACACGACCAGTCACACAGCAGACATGAGAGAATACAAAAGTTAAGCCATCCCCATAACAGACCGTGGAGGCCTATAGGGTTGTGAGATGTCGAGGCTCCCACATTTGTCTAGAAAATCGGCTCACAGATGGCGGTAAGGTTGTCAGACTTACGCGCCGATCACCCTTTACCCCTCAGGAAGATTTCTGGTACTCATTTCTGTTAGAGGCTGAGTTGACCCTAGGACCACAGTGCAGCTGAAAGGATAAGGTAAACTGGAGAAAATCACCTCACCAGGACTTGAATCTGTGACCTTCCAGCTTGCAGCATAGTGCCTCAACCAACTTCATAAGACATCCCACCCAGCCCTAAATATCAACTGGTGACAATGTTTATCATCATTGTGACTGTGGCTTATCCAAACATGACTGACCTTATTATTGGTAGGCAGGAATTGATACTTACTGTGAATCCACAGGTTTGTGCTCTGGAGGACCCAAATATGCTAGCAATGTTGCCATCTTATCAAAAGGCCGTCGTCCTACAGCTTTGTGATCACGACTACTGGACAAGTAATCACCAATTTTTTCTTGGTGATTCCAGAGTAAACGATGCAATGCTAGAATGTTGGCATCACTGATGAATGACATTGAATGTGAGGCCTGATCAACAGTTTCACAGTCTGAAGCTATCTGGATGAAGAACCTGAAAGAATAATACATAAGCAAATTAGCTGCATAATGAAAACCAAGGAGGATCAGTGTGAAGTGGTTACTTGCCAGAAATCTGCTTTTCTTTTATTCATTTGATGCAACTGACCCCCATGTAAAAAGAGCCCTCAGTACCCACTATATAGAAGACTGGGTGGGCCCTAGAACCAGTCTAGACATTATGGAGAAGAGAAAAATCTCCAAGAATCAAACCTGGATTCCTCAGTCATGAAGCCCAGTCTAGTCGCTATACTGATGGAGCTATCCCAGCTCCAGCTCTGTAACAGCAATCTGATAACATTTAATACTGAGCTGGTGGTAATAAAATAGGTTGTAATATTTCCAAATTTATAATAATGTACATAGTTTTGAGATTAAAACTTGGTTTCTTATCAGTTACAACTGACAGAAAATAGGTGGACATTGATGACCAGAGAGCTCAAAGAAAAACTGCAAAATCTTTTACATACACATGCGCACAGAATGTCTCATTATTATATGCCACACTCACAGATTGGTTTTTCGACATTCACGTATATACAAAAGTATACCACAAGAGGTCTTGCTACCACATTTGGGAAAATTAACATTCTGAGAGCATTCGCTTTGTGTCACTTGGTGACCGTAGATGTCCACTTGATACTGAACTCGGTGCAATGTTTACAGTGCCTGACAGTACAGGCATGAATACAGTGCTGTACGGTATGCAGGCACATAACCACTAATTTATACTACATTTCATGCCAGTCTAAAGCAATCTGAGCCTGTAGAGGCTATTCACTTCTTGAATTAGTGGACATGCATCTTGTGCTATGAGAGTGCAATGGAAATACTACAGATGCTGTTAGAATGAATTAGAATCACATAAAAAATATGGTTTACTTTATATACGTACTTTACACACATTTCTATATCCCTTTCTACTCATTTCAAAATTCACAAAAACAAGTGAAATCAATATGGCAGTATAATTTACTAAGAATTAAACACTAATTTAATTGTACATATAATACAGTATTTTGGAAGAACATAATGTGCGTATCACAAGCTACTATACTTATATCTATGTCATAATCTGTAAAGTTGCTTTCATTTTCTGCCAGGGAAAACAATTTATTAATCAAATCTCACCTTCTACCAATTTCAAAATGTGCACGCAGAAAATCATTGAATGGTAACATATGTTGCTCTTTGCTGAATTCAACATGGTTTGCTATGTTTTGCAGGATCTTCGACATAAGCATCAGGCCTCGTTTAACAGATTGGGGCACCTGCTTAATTACAATGCTCATCTCCTGTGGTGACACTATAAATAACAATATTTACATTATATATAAGGCAAAAACGTTGCAAAAGAATGACATATGTTCTATAAATAAATAGACAGAACTGGATCTACTAACAGAAAACAAAGTAACTGAGAAGATAATAAATTCCTGGACAAGAATTATTATTATTATTATTATTATTGAAGGGGGTGGGTTTCCCCATGCACCGCGACCAGTTTGATCTATTGTACGTCCCCCTGTGATATTCTACCAGTCTCTATACCCTACCGGTACTGGTGCGTGCCATCAGTCCCGAATCAGCCAGCGAGTTTGGCCTCCACTGGCTCAGCGGTATCTAGATGCTTCCCCCATCTACCAGAGGCGTTAGACACTATTGTTGGGCGGGAAATGTCCTTACAATTTGGCTCAGAGTTCTCGTTAAGACAAGAGGTTCTTTTATGTGCCGTAAAACTACGACATGGGAGCCACGGCTTGAAGTCCCTCCCGGAGGACTTGTTCCCTGAATTTTTCCGCCCTTATAAATTCCACGACCTCCATCGGGTTTGAACCCACGTACCTTGAGTCATGAGGTTGGACAAGAATTAAATAAAAATAATCTTCAAATCAATCTCTAATTATTTTAAGTACAGTCACCACTAAAAGAAACAAAAAAAAAAAAGTCAGCTTTATAATGCCACTCAACTTACCTATTGCTGGGTTGATAAACCGGAGAAATATGACCGTCCCAACTGCTCCAATATTATTTTGTGGAAACAGTGGAAATCTTTTACTAAGCACCTGGTACAGACAGTGACACATACTCCGTAACTGTGGGGGAAATCTGAAAGAACAGTTGTCACTGTGAAAAGTCTAACAACTTCTGACTACATCTGAGTACTTCTATTGAATTTGAATAGACATTTAACAGGTGAAATTCAGTTATTGGGTAAACAGTCTTTGAGGTACCTGTCATACTTAATGGAAACAATACTGCAAAATCTTCGTCCAATAGAAAAAATTAAAGAGCCGAACATAAAGACTTTATTTGGGGAGGGGGATAATATTTATTACAATTAGGGAACGCTATAATCACCACCAAAGAGGGCTGCTTAACATCCACTTGCACATAATATAGAACCAGAGAATGATTCTGTCACAAAACGAGAAACTTGAAGTCACCTTATTTTGCACAATAAATGTTTCATAGAATACTGGAATAAAACTGTGTACAAAAAGAAATATTAAAAAACACCTTAGTTACAGAATTAAGCACCAATATGGTGCTAGGGAATGATGAATAAAATTAGTATAAAGAAGTTAAAACAGCTTGGTGCCTTTACCAAATTAAACAAATGAGACAAAATAAATATGCATCAGCATATCTAGGTCTATCAAATATGACTGAAAAAGGTAGAGCATCAGGGAAACAGTCTTTATTTTTCAACTGATTAATATAATGACAGTAAAGAATTCTGCATTCCTCAAGTCATGAAATGTTTTGTGCTGTTATGCACTATAACTTGTAGCTTTTTACTCAAAATCCTAGTTACAAAATCCAAGGTTCACCCTACATTTTCATTTCAAATATGATGCTCCTTCATAAGCAACTCTTTGTAAGACTAACATAAGTCTTGGAAACAATAGTGACTATTCCTCAGTTGAAAACCTAAGTAGCAACAGTTAAGGTAAAAAGAAATGCTGTCCCTGTAAGAGGCGCTGAAGGCCCATAGAGGTCAAGGTTCCAACATCTTCTGGACAATTGGCTCACAGATGGCAGTAAGGTTGTCAGTCTTATGTGCCTGCTGTCCTTTACCCCCCAGGAATCTTCCTGGTACTCATTTCTGTTAGAGGCTGAGTCAACCCCAGGGCCATAGTGCAGCTGGAATACGTATATGGAAAAAATTCAATGACCTTATAGAGAATTGAACCCACAACCTTCCGGCTTGCAGCATAGTGCATCAACCAACTATGTTACTGCATGAACCTTGTCATAACCTTACTGAAGAGATACCTATTCCATTCATAGTCATAGGAGCATTTCCCACAATATAATTAATTCAAAATGGTAATATTATGTTATGCAGACAACAAAACTTCATCAAATTCATCTTCTATAATACATTATACGTCATATATTCTGGATCTACTATTCCACCTTTCAGGCATCATGTCATAATATTTTATTTATCAAAGGTTTCTACAAGAAAATTTCAATAGTCACTAAAGTTTTTCCTAGCAACAGACAAATTAAAATAAAAACCTGCATTAGATTCCAGAAAATTATGGAGAAAAAAATATCATACTTATCTGCAGATGAGACAATGGCATCAAACACCTTCTGTGTCAGTGCAATCAAATTTCTTCTATTTTCTTCTATGTTTTCACTAGGATCCAATCTGTGAAAAATAATCTAAATGTAACAAAACTGAATACTTAACACTAAGCAACATATCCGAGATATGACCTACTCGAGCCTTGCACTGAAATTCAAATCTTGCACTTAACATAGTTCAATAAAACTGGAAGCCAGTCCCCTGCATCATAACAAAGGTAAGGTGCCTTTCATACAAGCACCACTAGAATGATTCAGAAAGTGTTTGCATGCACGCACGCACGCACACACACACACACATTAATGCAAAACTCAATATAAACTGCAGTATTTTTCAGGAATATCAATCTCTTAGTTAAAATCTTAAGTTTCTTAAAAGTCTGTATATAAAAACATTTTTCTCTTCATGAGCACAAACGTAGGATTTCATGTGAAGTAAAGACCAGTTTATGTAAGATTTGAGGCTTTCACGGCGGTGACTATGAAGAAAGCAGTCTTCTGGGATTTGGCACCGTGTATATGTGGTGTTAACCGACGTTTCGGAGGAACATATGTCTGCTTTACCATTTCTCACGGTGTTGTCGCTTGCAGATTTCTTATACTTTTTCTTCTACCCTGAAGATGGGGGCGATACGTTCCTCCGAAACGTCGGTTAACACCACTTATACACGGTGCCAAATCCCAGAAGACTGCTTTCTTTAAAGACCAGTTTATTCAAAACGGATCAAAACTCAATTAGCAGTGGGTCATATGAACAGAAGAGAAAGTGTTTGTCTCCATTACACACAAACTGAATCCAAACACACTTAAAGTAACCCTTATAAACAGCAAAACACAGACTGAAGAACAAGTACATACATTAAGACAAGTCATCACATGGAAAATCTGTTATACTTGCCAGCATGGAGTTCAATTGTAAGTAGACACACTGCCCAATATGGGAAAAATGAGACACAATGCAATGAGAATACTCAATATGGATGACAAACAACTCACCTAGCAGGATCCACTTCAAAGCTCTGACTGGGTTCTTCAAGTAATGGCCTAATCAAGGGCTCCAATAAGTTTTGTAGATAACTAGCACCATAAATCTTGAAACAGAATGCCATAATTTTGCTGCCCAGTGAATTTCCTCGGAACAGTGTTTGCATACAATCAGAAACTTCAACTTCTCGATAGAACATGTTCCACAGAAGTGGCGATAATAAATGTTTGGCATCAAACAATGTTACAAATACTCTTGCCAGCTCATCCTGAAAGCAAAATATCAAGCACAGGCAAACCAAAATTTGTGAATGGAATATGTGCAACACCAACGTTGAGACAATTCCTATGCCCTCAAATCAAATAATTTGTAATGTAAAATCACAAACATTCATATTTCACCTACTGTTAAAATAATATAAATTATTCTATCATTTATGCTTACCATTTGTGATGTTGTCACAACATTGGCAAGAGCCATTGCAATGGGTAGTTCACCTTTATCACTAATCATTGTTGCCAACTGTACAAGCTGTTCAAATCTATCTGCCAGAACAGTCTCAGCTAACGTGTCAAACTCAGTTCCTTGCTGAAGAATTTTTGTCAATACCTCCATGAATGCGGCACGGGTTTGCGGATCGCGGTTGTAACCCAGATCTGGTGTAAGATATGAAACATAAATATCATGAAACCTCGGTTTATGACCCCTTCTCTCAAAGACACTTCCCTATGGTCTCCAGACACATCCCACACCCACCATTTACTGTTTACCTTGCAGAAATCAAACTTGAACACTAAATCCACTTAGTCACTAAATTTCCATGAAGTGCTACTGCAGCCATAAAATTCTACAGTGAATACAACCACCATACAACCTCAAGCCTCATACAAAACCATTTATTTTAACCATCCTTGAACAATTTATTTGTAATTCAAATAAACATGAATCAAACAATTCTGCACATGAGGTTTCATGATGATACAACCATGTCCTGAACTGTTAATAAAAATAATTAATCTTATTTGTTAATCAAGAACCCTGCCCCATACATACCCATAAAATGATGAATCCTACTTGTAGAATCCAAAGGACATACATACTTGAAAACTGACAAAGAAGAACTAAAGCTTGATTGACTTTTTACATATTCAATTTGTCTACAAGATTATCCCTTACCTATTGAATGCATAAGACCACTGTCAATGTTGGCTGACAACAAATTTGACATGGCTTGTATTGTTGCATTGTGGAGAGTATTTAATTTTCCTGCAGCCAAACGCTGACGGCTCACATCCTTTTCTACATCCTGTGCATCGGTGCAGTCATTCAGAAGATTCATGAACAATGTAAAATACCTAATGACAAAACATATCACCAAAAAGTCCGTTATTATCACATGTCTGTAGAAATCATCTCTCACCAATTTCTCAGTAACTGCAGGACTACAGTAATGCGAGAAGTTTACTTTTAGAATCATTCACCATCTTATCAACCACTCAGTTTGTACTGAATCTTTAAATTCAAAGAAAATCACCTAATTTCTTAGGACAACCATTCCATGCATAAAAAATATTTCACTCTGGCTACAGAGACTTTTGTTACATTTAATAATAATTATTGAAATTTCCTAACATAATTAAATACTCATACATATTAAACTATCTGGACTTAAATTCAGAAGATCTAGACCACAAAACTACCATGCTCACTACAGAGATTTTGACTTCATTACAAAGTACGAATTGAGATACTGTCACTAATCTAGAGATAAAAGTGATTAAGAATATTTAATTCAATATTTATCACAGTCTTTATGTACCAAGGTGCATTTAGAATGGATCAGAGACTCTTGGATTGAAAGCGCTGGAGGATTTTGATGTTGAAATTGGAGGCTGTCCCCCACAGCTGAATTCCACAGGTCCATATGGGTCTGAGTACTGCTTTGTATAGGAGGAGTTTGCTTTCTACTGGTAGTGTTGATCTTCTTCTGAGTAGCCAGTAAATTTGTTTTGCTCTTTGGTTGCATTGTTTTCTTTTGGTTTTGTTGTGCTTTGCCCATATCAGTTTTCTGTTGAGATGCATGACAAGGTATTTCATCTCATGTTTGTGGGGTAGAGCAACATTGCCCATTTTCATTGTCAGACAGGTTTGGTTGTGTAGGGTGAATGTAATATGCATGCATTTTCCTTGATTTATTTTAATTCTCCATTTCTTCACCCAATCTCGATCCTAGTGATGGTGGCTTGGAGTTTCACTGAGGCTATTTCTGAACCTTCATGTGTGGCTAGGATTGCTGTATCATCAGCAAAGGTAACAGTTGTGTTGTCTGACGTTGGGAGGTCGCTTGTGCAGATAAGAAACTCCCTTGCGGTATGTGCCAACTAAGTGAGGTGGAAAACTCGTATATTCAGTGTTACTAAAGGAAGGGCTCGCTCGTCATATTAGTTGACTATTGCTAAACATGAACGGTTTATGTTAGTAGAAATGATACATAGTAAATGCGAATAAGATTATGTTCAGCAGGCATGTTAAAAGCCACAGTAATTATAGCCAAGGGTAAGGATCAAGAGCAAATCGCTGAAGTATATAAAAGTAAACAGAATTAATGTTTACATGGAGCACAGGTGAATATGTACATATGTAATTAAATGTAGTGTACGTAACCACACTGCCTCTTCTTCCAAAACCTTATTCCTTCTCCCAAGCATCTTGAAGAGAAGGGAGGGAGGATGAAGGCAGGGGAGGGGGAGGGGAGGAGAGCAAGAGAAAAAGAAAGAGAAGTATTGTGAGGTTGAGTATCTTTAGATCACATTAAGTAGCACAGTCATTAGCTGACTTGGTGGCAGTCTACTGAACAAGAATGATGTTAGGATAGCAGTAGCAGAATTGAAACTGGTGGTTTCAGCAGCTTGCAGTAAGCCACAACATAATAGCAAGGGGTAACATCTGACCATGTTACCGTATTCAACATAGTTAACTGTTTTACATCCTGCATTTCTATAAAAAAATAAATAAATAAAAAATAAAAATAAAAAAAGTAAAGCTATCCCTGTACCAGGCCGTGAAGGCCCATAAGGTTGTGAGACGCTGAGGGTCCCACATTATCTAGACAATTGGCTCAAAGATGGCGGTAAGGTCGTCAGCCTTACGCGCCGGCCATGCTTTACTCCCCCGGAAAATTTTCCATATTCAGTGCAAAAATGTTCAGCTCACTTGAGGAAAAGCTGGCTCTTAGCTTCCATGAGATCACCACGATCAGACTCTTCAGGCTGCAGTGGTAGTGCTCTGAGCAAAGCAGCAACTGCTTCCATGCATGCTTGGTCCAAATCTCTGAAATATTTATATTTCAGATGTACATGTAATCTCAATACAATAAATATCATGAATACACTATATCAGTGGGTGGTGGGGAGAGAACAAGAAAAGGGGACAAAGACTATACCCTCAAAGATCTGTACACTGACATGTACATTAAATTAATTAATACTGTGACATATAGATCCAATGCTAGGCAATGGCTTGATAAACACATTTGGTGGAGACAGATTCTTGGTAAACAGGACATTGCTGAGTAATGTGTCAAACAATATGCGACAATGAGGGATGTCCATTTCTAAGAGAGTAATAAACACCCCTATGAATTGCTGAGTGTTTTCCACGGTGTCTGCCTGGAAGCCATATAACTGGGAATTCCAAGTGGGCTGTCAGTCATAGTCAGAATGAGAATGAGAACTGAAGGAGTATAAAGGAGTACAACAGAGTATGCCTGTCAAAAGAAGACTTCATGTGTGTTGTAGTTACAGTGAGACTGTTATAAATTCATTGTCAGGATATGACTAGTGAAGCCTGAGAAGACTTGGTGTGTCCTAGTGATTTGTGAGGTGGGTAGATTAGCGATAACGGTATAATTTACTGTGATTAAGAGAGATTGCAAAAGAAGGTGTTAATAAATGCAATCATCCAATCTAGAACCTGCTATTAACAGTCATGGAGACATAAACACATGACCATATGATATTTTAATTGAACATGATTTAAATTAGAAGAATACACTTTTAAACAGTGATCAAGTATAAAATTCTCACTAAAACAGGAGCCAAAAAACATATGAAGTAATTTTATCAGATTCCAAAACCTAAGTGATAGGTCATATTATACGATTAAAGTATTTGTGTCTGAACTTTAAAGCAACTGGTAAACACAACCTTAAATGTACGAAAGAATTAAATATACGTGACTCCATTCTGCCCTTCTGTTGACAAAGAGTTAACACTCTCCACTACTAACAAACCATAATCCATATATGTCTAGAGATAATACAGTAAACCCTCATTAATCTGGATTAATTTGGGAAGGAGAGATATCATCCAGATTAACCAATAATCTGGATTAATTAAGGAAAAAAAGAGCTGTAAAAGAAAAAAAATTAGAAATCCAATAAATGGAAAATTTAATAACACAGGTAGTACTGATAAAATAAATAAAAGAAACATCATTGCAACAATTTCTTCCTCTGTCAGAAGCTGAAATCCAGGGTCTCCTTCATCCGGCTCAACCAATCTTGGAAATTTTCTTGCGTGGGTTCAGTCTCCCCAGCTGCCCTCTACACAGTCTGAAAGTCCTCTTGCTCCTAAATCCCATATGTCTTTTAAAGTTATATACTCACTTGCAAACAGAATTTTTCATTTTTCATATTCCATTCCAGATTAACTGTAACTGGATTAGCGAGGGTTTACTGTATTTTGCATTTCCCTTAATAGACATTAGATACTGACACTACACATAAATAGACTTTCAGAACTAAGTAAAACAGGGCAGAGAACACAAAGAAAAAACACAGAATCTCACAAAAGAACAAATAATAAAAAACATTTGCCATTAACTTGACACATTTTAGACTTTCAAATGATCTTACAGGTTTGAACAGTGTGATATCATTATTCAGTATGAAGAATATATTCAATTTGTAATGCTGTGTAGTTCAGTATGAGTCTACCATCACTTCTTCAGGGTTGACAAGGAAGCCAAATCAGATACCAGCAATAAGCAGGCTACAACTATTCGATATGTTTATAACCAGCTTACATACAAATTTCACTCATTTAGCTAGAGTGACTTTAATCAACATGAGTGTTATTCTGTTACTGCCACGGACCTCTTCTGCCAACAGTTTACAAATTTATCAATACATCATGATCAAACGCCAAGTGTTCCATCTGTTCTTTTTACATTCTTTTAGAACTCTTCTAGTACTATACATAAAGAGATGCCAGAAGATCTACAGTTTCCATTATCATGATGTGTGCATATTAGTTATGCAGCATCCATCCAATGTTGGTAGGAGTGAGATGGGAAATAAAGAGAATGTGAAAAGAGAAATGGCAAAAATTTTCGAAGTTTTACCCTCTAGACTTTATTCTGAATAGTCCTAGGCATCACTCTCCTCTCTAAAAAATGTCTGCCATTTTAGTTATCTGAAATTCTGAGACTTTTAACATGCTGACAAGTATGCCGGTATGCCTACCAGCTGAAAGTCTACTGGTTCTCACTATGTTACCACTCAACATGTATGCCTGACCCTAATATTGGTACATGAGTTTTGGTGCTAAAAAGCATGAAAACAAAGGGGTTTACAATGGCCTTATATCAATACCAACTTAACAAAAATTATTCAATTAGTACCTATCACACTGAGAGATACGTGAATCTGGGGATGGAGATGGCACATGAAGCTTATTAATAGGCTTATGAAGAAGCAATAGTTGTACCTTCAACAAAGAAGACGGTGCAGCAGGCTCCTCTGAAATGTTGGTACCCACCTCTAAGACAGCACAATGTCACAACAGAAGACCACATTCATAATGCTTACACATTCCAGTCAGCCATATTTTGGGTTCTTAAGGAATTCTAGTCAATTCAGAAGGCCAAAAATGATTGGGCTCTAAGTGTAAATTGTTATACCCAGGAATTAATGCATTAATGTAATTATCCAGTACTGTTTACATGTGATTTATTCATACCTGGTGATGACAGTAATATCCCCAGATCCTGGAGGGGCTATTTGATGTGATGTTCCCATCACCCAATCTGTCAAATACTCCACCAGCTTGTTGCGAAACTTCATCTCTTGACGGAAAGCCAGATCATCCCGTCGTTTCATCATGGCTTCCACTAGCTGACAGAGCTTTGTCTTTATGTGGACAGTATGTACAGTCATATCAAGATAACGAACATACCTATTAACATATAACATCAATTCATAAAACTGAAGCCTCATGTGCTTTCAATGTTTAATTTATGACACAAAAACTTAGTTTATGATGAATGTCTTTGTCTAAAACAGATGTCAAGCTTCACCTTAATTCATGGTACATAATTTACAGACATGGCAACAGCTCAGCATTTCCCAAATCTTATTATGAGCCTTTTCAGGACAACAGTGAACACAAGTTCAACAAAACAATCTGTAACACACAATATCATTGGCCAGCAAAGATTTGAAGTGATAACTGTTTATAACAAAATACAAGACAATATTATAACTTTCAGGAACGTGCAAGTACACACATCTTGAATCTTAGTATCTAACCTCACCACAATGTGGCTTCATATTTTGAAGTGAAATTTGATCTTTTCTGAGCATTGCACTCAACAAGAAGGTTATTGGTAGAAAGAAATTCACTACACATTTAAGGAACAAAGACAGAAATCTGAGATAACAATGTATATTGTATTACATAACTTCCTAACTGCNCAATGTGGCTTCATATTTTGAAGTGAAATTTGATCTTTTCTGAGCACTGCACTCAACAAGGTTATTGGTAGAAAGAAATTCATTGCACATTAAAGGAAAAAGACAGAAATCTGAGATAACAATGTATAGTGTATTACAGAACTTCCAAACTGTGACAGGACATATTTTCACTAATTTAATAAAATGTCATCCTTTTGCAGCACTGCTCAGTCCTGTACAGGTGCCCATGTGACTTTGAGGCCATAAGGATTAGATCGAAAAATTGTGGCCGTTTTGAGAGCAATGGGTAAAGAAATATGATTTTCATTTAGTAAACATCCAAGCTTTTACCGTAGCCAGAAACTGCATAATTGATAATAGCTATTTTGTATTATTGTATGAATAACCTATCTCACATTAGCATGCAAACCTCATGCATTTGCATCCTAATATTCAAACTTCAGATGGCATCAAGTTCTAGTCTGCATTTTGAGGTTTCAAAGGTTTGTATTTGGTACACACTCAAATATCTACAAACATAATACACACACATACAATATGTCACAGAAATTAAAGTATACAGTTTAATTTATCTGTGGATTATTTAATGCCACTGTAAATATACCTGTCTCTATACCTTTGAATTGTAGGACAATCACTGAATAATGAAATGGTTGTGGCATGAGTGAGATACTATATCTGCATTTTCTTGGAATGACTGAGGAAAAAATTAAATAACTCAGAACAGTCAGTGTCTTTGGCTAGATTTGAGCCAGGCACCTCCTAAATATAATATCACTTACACTTCAGATAATTTGCTCAGTAACATGTGATGCTTCTGCTTAATCTATACTACTGTCTGAATTATGAACTTACCTGACAATAGCTAACATCATTCCTTCTATGCTAGTAACACCAAGATGTTCAGATGGTTGGTCTGTTTTAGTGTCCAGCACATTCTTCATGATGAAGATGGTATGTTCAGTGAACTGTGTGTTGATGTCAGACACAATCACCTATATAAAACAGGTCCATATTTGCACCAATGATAGCAACAGCTTTGTAAGCTAGTATGTCACCTCAAGGTCTTTATAGTGAGAACCTAAGAAGTATTTACTGTATACAAAAATTCTTAGTCCAGTCGCTTTCAAATTTTGCAGATATAACAGCTCTCTTTAAATTTCTTCTAGCATTAACAGGTTCAAACCTGGAGATTCCAGAATCTGCTTTTTCCCTACAAGGAAACAAGATTCTGGGAAAGATAATTTCCTGTTATGGATTTTATAGCTGTATACATTACCAAGAAGACTATTTTGAAGGAGACAGCGGCCAAACTTGAGTAAGTTGAGTCAGCGTTTCTTTTTTGACCTAGTCCAGGAACTTACCACTAGCACCTCATATCAGATTGTTTCTAGGATGTAAATTGTATTTATGGAAATTCCTGTCTACAGGAAATTATGCTACAAATTGACAAACATTTCTATTTGGAAAAAATATGTACAATAAATAAAGAGGGAGAAATCAGTCCTTGAAGACTACATTACAACATTAAAACAAATGTTTATTGGTTATAGTATACAATTTTCATAGAAATATACCTGTCCTTGTTGATCGAAGAACTTCTCAACTATGGCTTTTATCTGGTCAAAAAGAATAGGATACAAAGCTGGAGACATCTCATGTCCTACTAACTCTTTCACATGTTTCTGGATCTGTGCACCAAATTTTTCATTGTTGCATACAAGTAATCGCAGTAACTGCCCCACAAACCTACACAAGAGCATAACAATTCACATCCGCTTTCAATATACCAAAACACTGCTTGCTTCAAAAATAATACTCATTCCACCATCCATTTCACACAATTCCACATTAAGAACATAACTTAGCATTCACAACCTATACCGGAATTTGTCAAATTTTCTATGCCTGAGTTTCATTCCAATGTCTGATAATAAGCTTGATCACATGTGCATAATCTTTAGCATTAAATGCTGAATGGTACTAAATGGAGCCTGGATAGCTCAGTTGGTATAGATACAGGCTACAAGCTAGATATCTAGGGTTCGATTCTCAGGAGAAGCAAGAGACTTTTCCGTTCTTCACGCAGTTTAGACTGACTTTGGGACACACCCAGCAATATACTTGTGGCATAAGTCTTATCTCATTATGTTTGTCAGCCACAAACATATAGCGAAAAAAATCATTAATATGTGCTCACAGGAAAGGAAACAATGTAGAGGCTCATTTTCAAAGGACATCTAAAGTTGCAGCATTTGCATATATTTCATATCAGTGAAATTTATTTCAGGCAGCAAAGTCACAATACCAGAAATCAAGCTCAGTCTGATTCTGTGACACTAAAATCGCAACATTAATCTCATGTTTATAAAGTTTTCATGGTGGCACACATTGTGACATTCAGTGTCATGACTTCATGGCACCTGAAGACAAGCCTTTAGTTTCCTTGGGTTCAGTATATACCACATCTCCCTTCTTCAGTCTCACAATGTTGAAGAAGCCAGCATCTCACCTTCCTACTTCACTTTGCACACATTCTATTTAATGCTCCTTATTCAGGTTTAAGCTATTCTGCGTCACTGCCATATTTAAGTAGTTTCAAAACCAAAACACAGCAGATATTTTATGGGGGGAAAAACTTTAATATACACATGTGTAATTGCATTCTGTGACAGCATCATCCAAGGTAAGGGGAAGCTCAGAGGAAGGAGAAAGCTGTGTGACATGGAGGGGGAAAATGCTTCATAGTTCATCTGTCAACAAACCAAGAGACAGAACATACGTTGAAACAAGTAGTGAACTAATAAGAAAAGCCAAAGGATGTCATGTGAGACACTTCTCAGCAGTTAAAATCTCAAGGGGGTAAACTGCTCACTGATTCTGGAATGCAAACTTTCTCCAAGACAGGGTGAAGAACTACAAGGTTGGTTAATGGGACTTTTACAGACTGCTAGCCATAAATAACTTTGGAAGCAGAACTCTAAGTACAGTTGCTACAAAAAGTTAAAGGAGAACACTGGCAGCTAGTCACAAATTACTCGTTATAGAAGCAGGCATGGGGGAGAAAAGCCCCTGTTTTATGCAGTGATTTCCCATATATGTAACATTAAGAAACTGAACCATATGAAGAAGAAACCGAAGCTTCCGAAGGTTTTTGCAGCTGTAAAGAAGTCCTCGTTGTAAGTCCTACTTGCTCTATTACAGTCATAATGTAATTTCTGTGCTAGTTCTGAATGAAATTCAGGCTCAGGATACTAAATAAGTCTTAATACTTGATCAGATATTAATGACAGTGTAATACTGCACTTTCAAAATGTTTATTAACTTAAATAAATGATTTCTGCTTATATTAAATCAATAGAATTAAGCATATACCAATTTGTAACAATAGTCTTCTGTACTTTAATTACATGCATTCTCAGTTCTAACCTCTATGAGGTACTGAATGGATGCTGTCTCATAACTTAGAAGCAAACTTACTGAGTAACAGGGCAATACTGTACATCCTGACTTGAGTTGGCCAATTTATGAGACTCCAGACATGGCATAGGAAGCAATCCCAAACCTGCTGATGGTCTTGATGGGGACTTACGCTGCAGACAAACACCTCCAAGCGCACAAAGGAAACCAGTCATGTTTGCCCATTCATTAATCTGATCCTGTTAAGATATACATCAGCTCAGTAATATGCCTCACGCTAATATATATGCAAGAGTAAATTTGAAGAGAAAAGAAATTTTGTGTTCTAATAAAATGCAACTGTGAGAAACTGAAATCACATTTAACAAAAAAATTTAGTTAAACAAAAATGTAGTATTATTATCAGATAAAAAGGGAGTTAAGAATATTTCCCAACATGAAGGGCCCAAGAAACTCTCACAGTGAAAGAAAAAAATGTTCACTACACTGAAAAGCATTTACATCCAAAAACACATCATTCAACTGATGGACTCACTGTGTGAACAGAATGGCTTAAAGATACTGTTTACCTATGACAATTAAATCTAAACTTGTAATTATATTGCTATATAGCTGTCACTACATGTTGTATTACTCCATCTCAACCTCTCCAGCATATTATCACTGCTCACCTCAAGCTCATGTTCCGAATTCTGATGGGAAGCCCGCCGTTTGCCTGCTGAACGATGAAATGATTCCACCTGACCATCTTCTAATTTTGCCTTCGGATATGATGTCAGCGTTTTTGTAGATACCTCCCAGTTGCGAAATGTTTCTTCCCAAGCCTATAAATATTACTTACTCCAATAAACCAATTGAAATTAAGCTAGTAAACAAAGAAGTATATCACGTTTGTAATGCACTTGGAATTAACAACAGAATCTTTCTACATACGAATTCATTAACTGATCAACTTCAATACGAACTATGTTTATATACTATCCTAGACGACATAATATGAATACAGCATTGTCAATTTATGGTAATATAAAATGGGATACTGTTACACACTACTTTCTTTGTAGTTTCTAGACCCTTGGAGAAGTGTCTTTGAAAGCTGGGCTTTGGTTAGAACATTGCTGTAATTTAAAACATCTATTCATCATTCAAATTCAACAGTATTATTATCTGTAAGACCAGATCAGTTTACATGTAATTTTATTCAGTGAATTTGATTTGTTTGACTTTTCATGAAAATTTGTTCAGTCATTAATAATCCAAGTTGTTTAGACTTGCCCCAAATGATCTAGACACCCACCCACACGCATAGACATTTTTCTCTTTAACTCTCATCAGCATCACTATTAACAATAAGCAATTACATATCAGTGAATTATGCCAACAGAAAAACTGTACTAAGCAGCTAAATGACTGAATATAGGTGTGGATGAAACGATTTTACTGTCAAAAGTTCTGACCTATCATCGTGGACTTATGGTGTGTCCCATAAACAAGCCTTGGGGTCATTCTCAGACTCTTTTCTGAAAATACCTAGTGTCTGATCTCATCACATACTTCACTGCACACAGCACACTTTTTAAGATGATGATAGTTGTTCAGCTAGTCAAAAAATTCCATTCCATTTTACAGAACCTGAAGGTTTGTTATCATGTACAACAACCTACAACTGCACCTTATCCTTAACCAGATGAATTCAGTCCACATCCTCATATCCTATTTCTTTAATTCTAATAAAGTCTTCTTTCCCTTAAACTAAAACATATTAATTATGACACACCCTACTATTTCTGCAAAGTGTGTGAAAACTTCACATAACTCTTGTCTCATTCATACTGAAAAAATAATTAATGCAACTTATTTTTCATTGTGATGGCTGAATTGTTACTCACTGGCTGGACTCCATTTACACAGTGCTCAATCTTGCGTAGCAAAGCCATTATTCGTTTCTGCAGAGCTGCTCGGCCTAGAAGAAAATATCATAAAAATATTTTTCTCAAAATCTCTCTTATAATTCCTCAAGGCAGTCCACTTACAAGAACACAAAACGGTCTCAAAATTTCTTAACAGTAAAATGACGATAAATTTATAGAACAGCTAATTCATATCAGAGTATTACACTGTTTATCTTCCTCTCCATAGCAAGATCTAAATGTTACACACGATCTCACAGATCTGTGTTATGATTTTGTTTTACATTACACCCAGGTGGGACTGAAATTAAACGCGACACATCAGCTGTTGGTCTATGCTGATGATGTGAATCTACTGGGTGAATGTAGATACCATAAAGAAAAACACACAAATTTTAATTGACGCAAGTAGAGAGGTTGGTCTAGAAGTAAACACAGAAAAAACTAAGTATATGTTGCTGTCTCGTCACCAAAATGCAGGACAAAATCACGACACAATGATAGGAAACAGATGTTTTGAAAATGTGGCACACTTCAGATATTTGTGAACAATAACAGTTCAAAACCTGATTCAGGAGGAAATTAAGAGGAGATTGAACTGTTGCAATGGTTGCTACCATTCAGTCCAGAACCTTTTGTTCTCTACAGTGTCATTTTTACATAACAGAACTATAAGGAAGTTCAAACACAATGAACAAAACACAATGAAGACATCATGTGGGTTTCAAGTGAACTTAACACAAGTATCACTCGATGTCAGATCCTCACTGCAAAATAAGTCATACAAAAATACCTTCAAAAGTAAAACTTTTGACTGACTAATATCTGTGAGCATTTTCCTTTCATTCTCTGTGGTATGTGTGAGTTGATTATATACATAAACACACTCACTAATAAGCATATATCAAAATAGAATGTAAATCCAAATCAAACGCATCATGAAACGTTTCTTTAAAAAAGGGAACTAAAACAAGAAACGTTTCTTTACAAAGAAAACTAAAACAGATACATGCACAGCATGGAATTAAATGTGCATGCAAAGTTCTAGAAAAACATTCAACTTTCAATACCTTACCATGATTATGTTCACGGTAGTAAGCTCTCGACTCCACGCTGGCTGTTTTGCAAAGTAATATAATTTTAATACAATCAAATATAAGTTTTAATGACTTATAGTTTATCTTTCATTATGTTGTCTGAAATAAGAATATTACTAACCTGTAGTAAGAACTGTTGATGCATGGGCTAATTCTTGATACAGATGATAATTTGGAAGTAAATATGTTACAGTAACTTCATCAGAGCCACAGCGAATGTCTGCTTCCTCACACAGCAGTCTAAAACATGACATGGCTACCAACACAGCCTCTATATCTATGCTCCAAAGGTACATGAAGAAGACCACCTACAGACACAAGATAAAAAAATACTAACCTTATAATTCCATACGAATGAATGTGTAAGGGTGCGCCACAATAATCTGGCCCTTGCACCATGACCATCACTGGCATATTGTGCTTTACAATTACATAGCTTACAAACATCAGTTTCTCTTACTTTACCACATCACACTTGAAAATGTGAAGCATTCCCACTATTACTGTGATTACTGCCAACTTCTGACTCACAACCACTATCACCACAGTTATTTGCATTCTGAGTAGAATCACTGACTGCAATTAATATACAATACAATATTTCAAATGTCACTTACTAGAAAAACATGTATCGATAAATCAAAAGCAGTTTACTTGCCTCCAGTTTTATATGTGCTTGCTTGCAAATAGCGACCTGACTCCCCAAGTTGGCATAGTCTTTGTGACGGAAAAGGAAAGCATTTCTGCACATGAGAATATCACGAAGCCATTTCAGGATGTCTGTATAATTCATTATTTGATGTTGAATGAGCTTCTGGGAGATGGTGAATAACACTTGCGAACTGCAAGAACATACATGAACAAAGTGTTACAACAGAAGTATGTATGTGTCTTTCTTAATTCAAACAAAGTACAGTATACTTGTACTTGAGACTAGACATTATAATGTTAAATATCTGAGAGACATCAACATAAAGTCAAGATATTATCTTAAGCAGCTCTGAAAATTCTGCGATTTTACTACCCTGTGACAATACACTGTTGCAATGGTTATGAAAATGAAAATGTTTTAGCAGTTATGAGTAGATATATTAAGAGCATATTCATAAATTAGCATTGGTGAATTCATGTGTCTGTCTGTATGAAGGTAACAGATCTGGCTCTCAAACTGAAGTGTACATAGCCCACAAGATTATTATGCACATTCACAATCCCTCAAAAATGATGAAGTGTGTGCAATGTACCAACATTCCAGTGTTAATACATGTCACCCCCTCACAGCTCCAACCAGCACTCACTGTCATTGTCTCCCTAGCCCTGTCACTTCTACCTGCACAGAAACTACCAGCAAAACATAAGACATGAACAGGATGACTAATGGCCCACACGGCAAAGAGTTCTGTACACCTGAGAGACAAAGACTGTCACACTTTATCACTGCAGTACTATTTTTCTAATCTAAACAGTAATCAAAAACGTAATCCTTGGAACCCAGCAAAACTTCTCTAAACAAGTTTAGCTCTTATAAAAATAAGTTATGTAGTACACACTTTAAGTCATATTTATTTTCAGGCAAATTAGATTCAAATACTAAATACTACTTAGGCCTTCTGTACAACAATAACTAGTTACAATGTTTGTCCTCTTTCAGGACACAGAGATCATTAAAAAATGCAGGCGCACACACACACTACTTTGTGGAATAACAATAAACACAACCACAAATTTAATTCCTATTTTCTGGTCTGTTTGCATGGAATGTAGGTATGACATTGTTATGTTCATATTCATTCACAGTTAAAATACTGTCACGTGTATCAGTGACTAAAGACGGAGTTTGGATTGGTAACTGGATGTACTGACCACTTACAGGTCATAACTACAATTAATTATAACACTCTAGGGATCACTGTAATGGTAACACATAAATAAAGTCTTCTATATCTGCTTGCATTAGGTGTTGCCCATTAACAGATCTCAACAATGGCTAAGCTTTGACAATGATTTCACTGAATTAGATGCTCCAAATATTACACATAAAGTCTTCTCTTCAGAGCCACCCATACATAAGCAAACTCTCAACTGCCTTGCAGTGCTGAATGTCTTCAAGATAACTCCTCAGCAGGGAACACGGAAAGAAAACACACGTCATTGGCGCACTGGCTGGACCTACAGAAAACACATCACATGACCACTAACCAGCTAGTTCATAGGTGTGCTGACTGCTGCCTGTCAATGGGCTATAGCATTCGTCCTATTGCTACGTGTGCATATCGCAGGGTGTTCATCGAGCCGTTGCCTAGGAATGCTTTGAGCAAATCTGTTACAATAATAAACTGAATGTGAAGTGTGTTTTTTTGGAGACATACATGTTCCAACTTCTTTGTATCTGAATCACCCAGTATCAGTTTCAATGAAAACAGCTGAGACACAAATACTTCACCTCACATCCCAGAAGGTATTGATGGGTGCTTCTGGGTTCCAAACTTCAATCTTCTCAGGATGATGAAGCACCAGAAGAGCTTCCATGGCTTCCAGAGCTACGTCTGGCATTGTGGGTTCATAAACCAAGCTCACTAACCCATTGATGAGATCCAATGTAGAGCTCTGAATCTCATGGCCAGTCTTTCCCTGGTTCTTAACACAAAATCAACACTCACAGTGAGTACATCAGTTATATTATCTATGATTTAGAAGCAACACTGACAGTAGCTCAGACAACATAGTGTGAAAATGGCACGATGATTAGTAGATAATGAATTGGAAAGAATGTGGAAGGAATAAATAATGGCCTAATTTGAGATACTATCTCAGCATTTGCCTAAAGGGGCCAAGAAAAACCACACAATACCTCTACAGAGAGCGAGTTTTGAACTTGGGTCCTCCCTAATATGAAGCAAGACTGCCATATTATCAGCCGCGATGTTTTGTTCTGGGTAAGGTAAAGGTAAAATTGTCCCTGTGCTTAACTAATTAAACACTACGCCATGAAGGCGTATGGGGGTGCGGGTTTATAGATCCATATTTTCTTGACCTCTGTACTAGCTGAAGGTGAGTGGTCAGCTTCACACCCTTGCCGCAATAGCCAAGAGAAAAAGCCCCCCCCTCCCCAGTACCCATTGGATAGGAGGCTGGGTGGGCACCAGATCCAGTCTGGAAGACGTAGAGAAGAGAGAATTCTTTACTCTACCAGGACTTGGACTCTGACCCTTTAGTCATCCAGCCCGTAACCAGTCGCTATACCGACTGCACTATCACGACTCCTTCTGTTTATGGTAAAAACTGATATATCTTATATAACAAATATTTTCATCAGAATATAAATAACTTTTACGCCACTCAGCTATGGAGGTTCTAAACATTCAGCTGTAATCTAATATATGCATCAATTCCAGTGCCTTTTTGAGACCTGAGTTCTCATATCAGTGACTGTAAAGAACAATGTTTTATGGGATTTGAAAATATGTAGCCTAATAAAAGTTTACCGATGTTTTAGGAGGACTATACCGCCTCCACCTTCAGAGCAGATGCTTCAACCCTGAAGACAAAGGCATATGTTCCCCTAACACTGGTAAACTCCTAAAAGCGCACAAGACATCACATTCCAGACGATATTCTTCCAGTGCCTTTACTTCCTGATGTATTTCATTTCATTTATTCACCTTCCATAAATCCTCTCGAGAGTACATTCTCATGCAGATGCAGAGATCGTCCTAGTTACAGTCACAACTAAGAATTACAGTTGTCATCCAATAGCATAAACATTTGTATAAAATACTGATAAACATATACAATATAATAATTAAGTTAATTTTAGTAGTAAAAGTAATGGCAAACCTTATACAATTTGTACAGTTTTATAAAAGTCTATCAATTAAAAATTCAATAGTTAAAACACAATGTCATTAATGAGTTTTGTATAACATACATTAAGTGAAATTACTTGAAATAAAGACTAGTATGCAAAATAGGAGCACAGGTCAATTCAACAAAGCAGTTCACATCACCACCTTGGATTTCAACTAAAACTACTAAGAAAAGTGACAAATACAAAACTTGCAACACTTCACATAATATTTGGTGCCCTTCTTCTACACTAACACACTTAAAAGACACCGTAGTTTTCATACTATACATATGTGTATGTTTCACATATACTTACATTCAGCATTAACATTGGATCTGCATGAATGAGACGAACAATCAAAAGCAACAAGTTCTTAATAACTGGGACTTCATCACCCCTCTCTCTGAACTTTGAAGTAGACTCTTTACCTTTCAGTGCAAACGACTGTAAACAGTTAACATTTTGTTAGTCACAAAAGATTCTTAGCATGTATTAAAAATAAAAGTATGACATAACAGAACCAATATTCAACTTTTCTAAACAAATACATTACTGTGAAGAAAGCAGTCTTCTGGGATGTGGAACCATGTAGAACATCTACACGGTGCCACATCCCAGAAGATGTCACCCAGATAGTCACCGCCGTGAAAACCTCAAATCTTACAAATACATTACTTCTTAAAAAGATATATCACAAATCGATTTAAACTGGATAAAACTTCTGAACACCACTATGATGCAATGAAACATGTTATATAGAGGTATTAGATTTCTTATCTGGGAACCTTGGAAACCTCAGCCATACCACATTTCTGCTTCTAGACCATATGCAGCACATTTAAACAGCCTACCCCAAACTCTGTACTTAATCATTAATCTCTACTTCTGCAACTCCACCTCAGACTTTATGTTTAGTACAAAATACATTATCTTGGCCTTCCCACTAGGCACTGGGCTTTCTACTGACCTTTCAGAAATGTCTTTAACAACAATAACATCATTAAAAAGGGTAACCACATTAATCATAGAGAAATAAGTATACACAAGCTACATACAATTCAAACAAAGTGGTCAGTTGACAAACCACTCAGTCATTGCCACCAACCTGCTTATATAAAAAATGGATTTATGGTCCTTCCAGGTTTCTGGATGTCAGATTTGGCACCTGTATCAAGTTTATATTTTTCTTCCCACTAATGGACACATCAAATTTCACTCTCAAACAAATAATTAGTGAAAATTTTAATATCAGAACAATTAAATTCCTTAGGAATTCAGTTACCGGAATCATACGAAGCGTAGTATGAGTAATACATCCTTGTAATGCTTTGTTTAATGTATCAGTGAACATGAGCCTGAGTTCACTGGATTTGTTGTAAACCAAATCAATCTGAGGCCACCATGGTAATCGAGGCTGTGTTATAATCCTGCAAATTGAAAATGTAACACTAAAAACAATCTTAATAATATAAAACTGCTACAAAAATGCACATAAATGATACAGGTGAGTTCTGTGCAACTGTCAAGCTACAATATTAAGTTAATATTTCGCAGACAACTGCCAAGATATTAGACATATGAAAATTTTGAATTTTTCAAGATTACTTCAAGAAGAAAAATATCTTGATTCAAATGCTGACTTTTAAGTCTTCACTTACAGAATTTTAATACAACTGCCCAATTTATCAGAATCATAGTGGTGGAAACACCAGCATTAATCAACTTAGAAATTTCTTTCTCTTTCTGCCCATGATTAAAAAGGACATGACCCTAGAATTGTTTTAATTCAATGAAATATAAAAAAAAATTCACCGATGAAAGACCTAATATCAAGAGGGATAAGTAGGAAACTTCATTACACTGTGAAGAATTGTCAAGTGTTAATCACTGTGATTACAGTGAAAATTTTGTCTAGTAGTGTCTCAATTTGCAAAATTCATTCTCACATATGCCTATAAAATACATACAGCCAACATACAAAAGAGGATGGTACTTTTATAGTACTGTGACATGTTGACCCCTACCTCCCCAGCGGTAACGTAGCGCTCGCGTAATAGGCGAGTAATTACCCCGCATCCTGGTAGCTATGCAACGCTCAACGCGCGGTGACATCACGAGCGGAGCCGAAGTAAGCCGAGTCCCCGCGACCTTGAAGCTATGCAAAGCGAATCAACAGCGGTGACGTCACTGAGGGATATCGCGGTTGCTAGGCAGCAGTCAACAACTCCGGACAGCGTGGCTAGCAACACGGACCAGACGACAATTGTCCGATCAAGGCTACATAAGGAACAGCGAAGGCTATTCACAGTCAGTTGTACTGTGACAGTCAGCCAGTCAGTGCGTTACCAACGAGTTCTCAGTTCGCAAGTTACGAGCTACAGACGCGTGTGCGATAACCAGTGATAACCAGTTATATCTGGAGTGTGTAATTCAGGGAGACTTGTATAGCTCCCGCGTTATTAGTACATGAAGACAAGTGAAGATCGTGTTAAGAGACTTCGTTGTAGGGTTTGTAGAGAGTGGAAACCCGTAATATTGTGATAATTAATTGTAGCCGTTATTTGTAGATTGTTAAATAAACCAATTAACCATCTCTACGGCGTCTACAGTAACGAAACATGTTACAGTACTTACTGTAACTATAAGAGAAAAAATTATTTTTATCTAACCAAACCTTTGGTACAGTCATGGAACTGAAAAATCAAAGTTCAGTGATATGCTTGCAGACTTCAATTTTTATTTTATATGAGATCATAGACACCTGTAAAATGACAAGCTGATATACAGATATTTGGTAAACAAGATGCTTACATGAGATATTTGGTAGCAAAAGAATTGTGGCATGTCTACTGAAAGCCAGAAGAGGCAGCCACTGCTAGGGAACAGCTCTCCAAACACATTCATTGCTAGGCTATGGCACAATAAACACCTCTCTGTGACAGCAGTGACATCATACAACAATAGAAGAGCTGCTGCTGATGATGTTTTCTGTGTGGTCCTTGCTGAGACCATACCATATAATGAAGAACAGCTGCCATTATGGCAGAGGTGTGGCGACAGAGGGGTCTGAATAAAGTCTGTGATTGGAGGCAGTCAGTCCAAGAGAGTTCTAGTCTGAGGGAGGACACCAGTGACAGAGCAGAACAGTTTTGAGACAGCAGTTGGAAGTGCAGTTCTTGAGCCAAAAGATATAAGGAATAGCCTTTGTTAGAAGACTGTAACCAGGCAACAGCTAGCTGAGTTGTGAGACAGATGATAAGACAGCAAGGACTGGAGAGGTAAAACATGGAAGCTGGAGGATCTATAGTGTTGGAGTGTTAACAGGTGACAACCGGTGAAGACGCAGCAGATTGAGAAGACTTAGTGCAGCTCTAGTGATGTGTAGATCCATGAACCTGTTACAGTTACTCATAGTTACAAGTTTCAAGAGTGCAACAAATCCAATTACCAATCCGAATCCCAAATACAAGTAGAGTCACTTAACAAGTGACAGTATCAATGCTAAGAATATCAAATTAAGTGTTTTACAGAGATTCTGTGAAGACAGTAAATTTCAGCATGCTGTTAAACACATCATCTTGAACTGGGAAATGTCAAAGAAGACTGAAATTGTGTTACACAAACATGTTACTTGCCCATTCTGATATATGGACCACAAAGGAAGACATGCACTAAGATATTGTAACATGTTGCGCAACGGAGGACGTGGCGGTAACGTAGCGCTCTCGTAATAGGCGAGTCATCACCCCGCCACCCTCCCCACGGTGATGTGGCAAGCGGAGCCGAAGTGAGCCGAGTCCCAGCGCGCTGGTCCCTAGGCAACGCGGATAAACAGTGATGCCTACCACGTGGTTGTTTTCCCGTCGTCCGGCTGAAGGTTTATAAGAGACCTACACTGCCTACGAAGACAGTTCTCAGTTCGCAAGTTATGAGTTACAGACACGTGTGCGATAACTAAGAAGTCAGCGAGCGGAAGACTTATTGTGTGCTTTCGAGACTTAGTGAGTGCTGTAGTACAGTTATATCTGGAGTGTGTAATTCAGGGAGACTTGTATAGCTCCCGCGTTATTAATACGTGAAGACTCCTGAAGATAGTGTGAAGAGATTTGGTTGTAGGGTTTGTAAAGTGTGGAAACCCATAATATTGTGATAAGTAATTGTAGCCGTTACTTGTAGATTGTTGAATAAACCAATTAACGATCTCTATGGCGTATTCAGTAACGAAACATGTTACAATGTGTTAGCAGATTATAAGTAACAGAGATGAGGTCTCTCTATTTTTTACTGCCGGCTCTACAGCCCCCTTCAGCCCTGGCCTCTGATTTTCAGTTTCATGATCATTTTACAGACAGTAGGACGCCTTGGACAAGTGATCAGCTCGTCACAAGGCATGTACGTAAACATAGGACAACACAAACACAGAATAAACACATACAAATATCAAACATTCATGCCTTGTGTGGGATTCGAACCCACAATCCCAGCTTCCAAGCGAGCAAAGCCAGGATATGCCTTAGACTGCTCGGCTACCATGACCAGTGATGTCTCTATATAGTACTAAAAATTAAAGAAGGAAGATTACTCAAAATCAAGGCATTAGATAAAACTACCACAGACTGATTTAGAGTCTGACAGTGGTACACTTCAGGGATGTGACACTGAGTAGTCTGATAGAAGTCTACTGACGTTGCTGAGAAATACGCTGCCTCCATCTTCATGGCAGAGGATCAAGCTCCTCTTTCTGATGAAGATGGAAGCAACATATTCCTCCTTCATGATTTAGATTGATTGTAATAAAATCCACAAAACTCCTAGGAATCCTTGTTTCACACTTTGGAATTAATGTATGGTGATATGTTTGTACAGTACCACAATTCTGTGCAGATAACAAAGATTTATGTATCAAATGATGCCATAATGACTATCACACTAGAGAGAATGTACACAACACTGCAGCTCTCACAATACGAATTTCAGATGAATGACATTATGTGCATGACAAAATTGCTAAATTTTTACCATATCTGTCAATATTTTATTTAATGATGCCATAACTTATTCAGGCTTCATAATGCTGAATGGTAGGAATATCAGTGAATAGCGACATAGAAAAGGATGTGGAAGAACCTGGTTGTGGCCTAATTTCAGATACTATCCCAGGACTTGCCTAAAGGACACAAAAATTAAGAAAACCTAAATAGGTCCAATTAGTGCCTTGGCCACCAAGCCAGGCACCTCTCAAATAAAGATCATAAATATTACTTCCTTCAGCAAACATGTTCAGTAAACACCAAATACATCATACCTGTACAAGGAGCTGATGAGAACATAATGGTATAGGAACGAAGAGTTGGGGTTGAGACATACTTTGAGTGCTTCATTGTTGTGTGGTTTGATACGGAAACATGATACGAAACAGTCAATCATTAAGTCAATATCATGTAGAACATAATTCTGTCCACGGGAGAATGGTTTGCTTGGATTGAAGAGCAGATTCTGTGAAAGAAATCATAACATTTCTTCATAGTATACATATCTATGCTCAATGCAATATGAATACCTCCAAATTTCCAGACACATACTTTGCCTACCACATGGCATCTAACTTCAAACTCAATTCTGAGTCTTTCACTTATTTTCTGTCCATTAAGTATGGATTGAAAAATTTGAAAGCTTGATGGTTGTTGAGTAAATAAATTCAAATAACTCTTACAATTTAAACAGACACTAGAGTGTCACTTTACATAATATTTTCCCCTAACGTTTTCAACTTCATCCTTAGACTGTGCCTGTAGTTTCTCTCGTCATCAACAGATGGCAGCTTTATGAACTTCTACAGTCCTTTATTCACCACTGAGTGCATTTTGTCTTTACATATGAACAAAAATCTAAAAACAAGATATTTTTGTAACCATATTGGAACATCAGTGCTTTGTTACCATTTAAATGTAGCTGCAAGGGCAGAAAGGGTGCCATTTAAAGAAGTCTTCAAAGAGTTAACAAAATTCTCATTAAAATAGCAATTACAAATGTTTACTATTATTAACTTGAACATAAACATAAAATTGATCATTTCTGCAAATGAGGTATGATGTTCCTGATTTTCACACTGCAAATAAGGAACAAATACTCACCTTGAGTTCATTAATGATATTCTGCACCAAGGTGAAAGCTACGTTGTTGGAGTCCAGGTTACTGATGTAAGTAGAAGCTTTACACAGTTTGACACAGGTAACTGCAGCTGCTTCGGTCAGCTGTTTGCTAGTTCCGTGCATGGCTCGTTTCACTGAGTCAATGAACTGCTTCTTCTTAGAATGACGTGGTGAACAAGGTGCCCCAGAGTCTGCATTCACTATCTCCTCCAGAACTTTCTAGAGCCAACCATCCAGCCAGTCAGAAATATGTCAGTAGTTGGACAGTGTGAGAGCATGACAAAGGTTCAGCTCCAAATCTGGTACACAAACTATGAGAAGTACTGCACTACTTCCTTACAAGACGTCCGTCACTAATTTGCCTATTCTCACCAATATAAGCAGACCACAAGAAATTGATCTCAGGTTACAGACACCACAGCTTTTAGAAGGCTCAGTAGACGTATTGAAATCTTAATAAGCTACAAATGAAGAATTCAAAAGAATCAAACACGAAATTTATTAAAAATGTGATATTAAATGATTCACATATTTTTTTTATTGCTAGTGGGGTGGGACTAAGTCCCTTGTACTGCGGCCACTTCTGGCCTATTGTACCAGCCCAAGATGATAGGTGAGGGTGACTGTGGAGCAATTGGTGGAATGAAGATTGGCAGGGGAAACTGAAGTACTCGGAGAAAACCTGCTCCAGTGCAACTTTGTCCACCACAAATCTCACTTGACCAGACCCGGGATCGAACCCGGGCCACCGCGGTGGGAAGCCAGCAACTAACCGCTTGAGCTATGGCACGGCCTGAATGATTCACATAACTAGGACTGTGGCCAGATGCCCTTGAGAGAGGTTACAGAAGAGAGAAAACCTCTTTAAGAAAGCAGAGAATATGGCGATTTGAACCTCATAACTATAAAAGGTCTATCACAATCACTATTCAGAAAAGTAATAAAGTTTTTAAAACTTAAAACATAAGCTGTAAGATGTTCAAAGAAAATGAACTAAAAGAGACCTAAGTGCCTATGATAAAAAAAGCATACAATTGGGAAATCAAAGAAACAAATGTTTACATGTCTGCACAACTTCTTACTGATTATGTGAGTTAACAGAATACCAGTCCCTAAGCATCATCCAGATCAGACAATGGCAGACTGGCAGAACCTGTCCACTCACTCAATATAATCATCAGAGCAATAAAGCAGAGACCACCACTCAGATTATCATACTCAACTATGTACATTACATACAGCCAAGTATTAAGGTACTATTAACCCATTACTTATCTGATGATAATTACAAGCATAGAATACAACCTTGATTCAGAATAGATGACCTCAGTAATCAAAGCTATGACCTCCCAGATCCAAAGCAAAAGCATTTAACTATTGATCCAAGGCCTTATCATAAAACATTTTTATATCTGTACTTGTATCTGTAGTTTTACTTAACAATACTGCCAGAAAATGACACTATAGTGTTGAATGACAGGATGACAGTAAATAATGAACTGGAAGGAAGCAGTTGTGGCCTATTTTAAGGTATTATCGTGTCATTTCTTGGAGAGACTGATCAAAATCATGAAAAAATTCAGTAAAGACAGTAGTTGTGGTGGTCAAGATTTGATCCAGGCACCTCTTGAATATGAGTCACAAGGATTATACCTTGAACCAGTTTTCTCAGCTAAACTTTTTCATTGCTGACAATTTTCAAGTTATAGCCCTCACTAAATGGAGACCTAGCAGAAATTCTTGTGCATGGCCTAACTGGAATGACAATAAGTCAACAACAGTACCTGAAAACTACCAAGAAAACTTAAAAATATTATCCGTGATTAATTTTTCTTATCAGCACAAAAGATCATCCCTTTAGACCACTGGTATACTATTTGATTCTGTTGAAATATATTAAAGAAAGGACAGGGATAAACACATACACATTCACGCAGCTTTTTGTATCTAATTCTAATTCCATTAGCTATATTGCAAGCTATACAAAATTGTATTAATAAAGAACAGAGCCAAAAGAACATAAGCAAGCTATGTACTATGTACTATAACATAAATGTCTATAACAGTAAACAAGTGCTCAAGTACTTGCATTGTTAAAGAAGTAAACAATTTTAATTTTCATCTGATCATGTTATACAGCCAACAATTTAATGGCTGAACATTTCTGTATCACTGCACAGCATTATTACTCAATGTCAAATAATATTAACATCATTTTGCCATTATGAAGGATTTAATCTACCATATATACTTAATCGAATTAAGCGCATGCAATAGGTGATGGAGACCAGAGCAAGGGCATTTACATAAACATTAATATCACAGCAGATACAACAGTTTCACATGGTAAAATTCATTCATGAACATGATGGTAACAAAGTGATGTGTGTATTCACCACCATCTTCTCACCAAGGAAATATGGCAAACAAATATTCTGTTAAATGATTCCTTTGTCTACACATCTTCTCTGAAGCGCTATATCCCAGTCTGTTTCATGCAATTTTTCTCACAACGATATCCTTTTGTATACTTCCAAATAGTTTCCTAAAATCAAATCCCACAGACATAAATCAGACAAAGAGCATGATGCTTACAGGCGAGAGAATGAGAAGCATCATCTGAAGTGGCCACACTGCAGCTCTTCCTTTCTTGTTATCAGCAAAGCTATCCAAGATGTCAAACAGACCCTCACAGCACTTGGCTAACTCCTCATTATGTCTTTTCTTTAATAAAGAAAAATAAAACACAGCCTTTATTCAAGCTTGCAACACGCATCTTACATAAAAGATTAAGTACTGATTATAAACCTACAATTTAGTAACTACATAGCTAACTTTCCTACACTTTACACATTACACAAGGGAAGTTATAACATAACCGCACAATAAGGAATAATGGCACACACAGATACACTATTAAATACCTGTAAGTCTGCAAATTCATGAGGATACGTATCCATCCAGTTCCAGATAGCTTTCTCCAATGAAGTGATAAGCACAAGATGTGCAGACTTTTTCAGCAATCTGAACTTCTGAATAGATTCTAATAAAAGTACAAGAAAAAAATTTACAAGCATCTACATGCCAAAGGTTTGATTGATCATAAGTGAAGCAGAGCTAAAGGAAAAGGGTATTTGTAAATAAGCATAGAAATTAACCATTCCTTTTTCCAAGACCATGGCTTAACATCACAAGAGAATGGCTGGACACACACAGCAAAGTCATTACGTACAAGAATAACGCCATATATCCTGAAGAGACACAGTATTAACTGGGATATCACTTAATATTAATAGATCAAAACAATTTTCACATTTATTCAGAAGCACTGAAAAATCTAACATGAATAGCCACCATGATAGTTGTGTTAATGTATGTGAATATGAAAGTAGTACGCCATATTGAAAACCGGATACTATCATTTTAAGCAAAGTTTCAATTTTAAACACACCCTGCTATAGCTGTAATTAAGAACGGCAATTTTAAACACAACAGGTAATATACAAGGTTCAGAGCTGAGTTTAATTTGGTACATGAGCAATTTAAAATGCTCTAAACTGATAAAATGATTCAATATCAATATAAGCATCTACAGAAATAACAAAGGATTTCATATCGTCAGACATCCTTGGCATTTATTTATACACATTTTCTACCTCCCTCTATCAGAGGCCACCTAACAATTAAACTGCTACAAAGAACAAATCTGTAACATGATCATGCTGTAAATTTACAGTTAACTAAAGCACTTCTGCAGCTGTAAACTGGAAGATAACAATGCAAGTATACAGATGATCTGCGCTGAGACAGGTTTTCTCCGAGTACTTCGGTTTCCCCTGCCAATCTTCATTCCACCAACTGCTCCACAATCACCTTCATGTATCATCTGGGGCTGGTACGAGTACAGTAGGCTGGAAGTGGCCACAGTACAAGGGACTTAGTCCCACCCAACTAGCAATAAAAAAAAAGAACATTATCTTATTTGAAGCAATACTCTAAATTTCATTGTCTCAAAATGTTTTAATTTAGTTAGAAGCACTCATTTTACAGATAAAACAAAATTAATTATGCAAGAAAGATACTAACCATTAAGTAATCGAATTAGTCTGTCTACATCCACATTAATATGTTGAATCAACTCTATATCACTACAGTCTGGATTTTCTTCATTGCAGGCACTCAGCTCCTGTAATCTATAGGAACAGGTCACTTTTATTACCTGAAAATGTTAACTAGTCTTCGTTTGTTTTAAGTCATGTTACCTTACTAACCTTCCCGATATCCTGTTAAAAACTGCATTGAAGAAATTCAAGCTCAGTGCAAATAAAACTCTAGATGCCAAATTTTTAAGCTGAAGCACTGTTGGATTGTCATTTGGGACATCTGCAAACAAAATAACAACATAAATCACAGTGCAATACCTTGCTTAAAAATCTAACTTGGAATTATAATAATGGACACTGTTGAAAACATAACATAATAAAAACTATAATTTTACAAATTAACAGCCACATATCAATCAGTACTGAAATGACAGTAGCAGTAATCTATCAAAGAACTCCACAATTAGAGAAAATTATGGATCATAAAGGAAACAGAAAAACAACTTTCAATAAACAGCATACACTTCTCAATGGAAATGAACAATTTTATCTAATTCTGGTGTATGAACCCATCATTCAGAAACACAAACTGCATTTTAATTTTATATAATTTTGTTTCATTATGAAACTATCATCTGAGCTGGATTAAAATAAGACATTTAGGGTATCTTGGCAAATGATGTGGAACCTCAATCGATCCACAAATCAATCACCTCAGTGTAAATTCAATCCAATTAAAATTTTCCTCAGCTTAGTGTTCATATCCATTGCTTCATTTGGTGTATTTTCATAGCATTACTGTTTAGAGAAAAGAAAGTTTGTGTATGTGCTTAGTACTAACCACTGATCTATTAACCAAATAAACCAGTATTCTCATAACATAGACAGTCTTAACAGTGAATCCTACTCATTTCTTTTATATATTTCATCAAGCAGTAACAATAAAAAAGGTAAAGTGCATAAGCGCCATGCCATGAAAGGATAGAGGTGAAGTATCACAATGTTTAGCCCTTGGGTAAAGAGCTTCATGCTTCAACCATTTGATTTCTGGTACACACTGCACAAGAGACTGGCTGGGCAAAGAGCTTGTCTGGAGTTGATGGAAGAAGAAAAATGCGTGTACAGCCCCTTGACTGGGTGAACTGTTTTGCTTCATAAAAAGTAAAACGGAAGTATATCGGTCTTTCTTTCCTGGACTGTTTAAAATTTCTATTTAACTCAGCTTTTCTATACATCCTGTCTCACACCTTATTATGGTACACTACAGGGACAACCTTTTCATATCTTGTACATTTTATTCCATCTGATACTGAAAAACAAACCTTATAACAAGATAAAATACCAATTTTACATTACAACGATGGCCTTCATCATAAAACATACAACCTGTATATTACTTCTGGTACACTTTGTATTCCCTCTACTCTCTTTCACATAAAACTTCACTAACCAATAAATTGACAAATCTCCCGCAATAAAAGTTTTACATTCATTGCTTCATCAAATCGTGCCGCATCTTTGGGTTGGTTGCTGAGACACTTCTCTAATGTGTCCAAAACAATGAGTAAAGACTCATAACAGTTGCGTTCCATATCAGGTCCATGAGGTCGTGGTCCTGACACCACAGAAAGAAACTGAAACAAAAACAATGCAAGTTTAAAACATATTCATTATTTCCATGCAAGATTACTCAGAGATGAGGATTTTGAAGCAGTGAGATGGTTGTCTTCTGGGTTATCACACCATACAGGCTTACAGATGGAGATAGGAAGTTCCTCCAAAATGCTGATAACCACTTACGAGTCTACATAGTGTCACAGTCCAGAAGAAAAAATCTAGATTGATTCTTTAGCATTTCTGAGTTCAGGCTCAGGTTCACTTATTTCCAGTTAGTAAATCTCATTTGCTTATTTCATAAAATAGGAAATAAACCAGGAAGAATGGGTAGATACATTACCATGCAGTTATGTTTTTAAAATAAATTCCTCACCTGTGTTACTGAAAAGCTACAGGATAAGGAAACAAGCAAGGGGAAAAAGTGCAGATACTGTGAATGTTTGATCAGCAGTTTATGGTACCAATAAACCCTGGGATTTAACTAAATGTCTATAACACTGTTAGAGATAATCTAGTGCTCAGTAATTTAAAGGGAAAAATTATTGTACTACATTATTTTAAATTTAGAACACACCAAATGAGAAATCATTATGTCCTGTCAAATATTGATATCACTGGAAACATCAGATGAGCAGTCACTAACCGCTAATTACAATACGTACTTTTGTAGCCAGTCTCTTCTTGAGTCCCAGCCACCATTTACTATTGCTGTGCTAATGTCTAGCTATAAAATCAGTCTGCACAAGGTCCACACAAACCCCAAGTGACAGGCTGTATAAAATTTTCATGATGGTGCTTATAGTTGTCTTCCTATTATGTTATAACTAATGCATAACCCTTTAAAGATTGTGAGCAAAATAATTTCTTCTGCCCTTTCCTTTCCCATCCCTTCTATTTGCCCATCCCAATTCCCTTCTTCTCCACATGTCCTAGCAACGGTATACTGGATTTTATCCCAAGCATGAAAGGAAATGGCTATTTTCATTCAGAAGTTTCAATTCCCCTTTCATTAATAAAAATCAGCAAATTTCTCATTGGGGATATTCTTCTTTTATTCTGGCTCTTAGTTCTTGAAGGCGGCTCACAGATTTATGCTAAATCTGTGCAGGCCTGACCCTGACATTTAGTCGAACAGACCACTACTGATACTTGTCAAGTGTGAGAAGAGACTGAACAGTTGAATAGTGATGGCATTTTTCCCAATTCACAGCTGACAGAAATGCTGAAAAGCACTTATAGTCACTAAGCTTACAGTGGACTGTAGTGAAGTTACATATAATTAATTATATGATACTAAATTTGTACATGTTTTCAGAGTTGCAGAACTATTTCATGCTCACTCTGTACCTGCATATATGTTGATTTTATTGCAATTTTCACAAATAAGTATGGAAAGGAAACAGCACATACACACATTAAAAACAACATGTATTATCATTTTAGAAGATATTTCTATTAAACAAAATTAATAAAATGTATAAGTTCCTTACCATTTCATTAACACGCTGTAATATTTTTGTGAGACCAGAAATGACAAGTGAAAAACGGTGACGGCTGATTTGAATTAAGCATTTCTTGTTTTGCTCTTCATTTACACGGGAACGAGTATTCTGTGGTCCTGTACAACATGGCAACTGAAAGGAAAACACAATACCAGGTATAACTCCATGTTAGATGTCATCTATAGTATAACTACAAAAAGGTCTACTATACAAAAAAAAAAGTTATTCAATTCAATTTATTTCAAATTCAAAAATAGATCCAGATACAGGCTGGGAAACATGAATCTACATGAATAACAGCCAAATCTCCCTCTGTGCATTTGTCCCGCGGTTTCTCCCACAAGGGTAAAAAGAAACATAAAGACAACCATAATAAAACTGTTAATTTTTCTATTTCATGCATGGGTTCAAGTCTAAACCAACTTCTTTCCCCATCACTTCCTCAAGGAAAGCACTAGGATTCTGGTGATGATCAACACACAATATTCATATGTTCTATAGAAACCATGGTAATGAGACATGTTTAGATTATACAGTGTGATCAGTGAAGGAGGAAACTTAGCAACACCGCTGACCGGGCCCAACATTCCTCACAGATTGCTGCTGTAACAGCCAATAGCAGAATGAGTCATTAGCGCCGATAAACGTGTGCCATCAGGTGGTCTGATCTTGTCACTGCAGTTAAGTTGCATTAATAGTCAGTCTGGGTACCAGGACCTCTTTCCCCGGGGGTAAAGCGACCAGGGTGTGAAGCTGACCACTCACCTCCAACTAGTGCCGAGGTCAAGAAAATGTGGATCTACACATTCATTCACCCTTACACTTTCATGGCTTGTGCTTAATTAGTTAAGCATGGGAACTTTACTTTTACCTTTACTCTTCCCTTTGGTTTTGTTGTAGGACCACTACATAACCTTGGATCTTAAGCCAAAGAGAGTTCTTTGGTTTTACAGTGGTACAGAAAGAACTATGCTTATAAGTGTAACAACTGAATGTTACTACATGTACTACAAGTAATTTTAGGTCTTTCAAGTTTCAAAAATCTTTTGGTTTCAAAATTCAACTAACTTTGGGCACATTTCAAAAAAACTGATGAAAAAAAAAGTATTTCAAACATTTTTATTTGAAGAAAATAAAAATATTTTCAGAATATGTGCCTTATTATATGCATTAAGATTACCTTTGTCAGTTTTCAATTAGGTTATCCCATAATTTCAATGGGGGCTGGGATAACGCAGTCGGTATACTGATTGGGTTTGGCTGGACAGCGAGGAGGTCAGAGTTCAAGTCCTGGTAAGGTCTAAAATTTTCTCTTCTCCACGTCATCCAGACTGGCTCTGGGGCCCACCCAACCTCCTATCCAATGGGTACCAGGGGCTCTTTCCCCGAGGGTAAAGGGGCCGGGGTGTGAAGCTGACCACTAACCTACAATTAGTCATGAGGTCAAGAAAACGTGGATCTATACATCCACTCCCCCATAGGTCTTCATGACATAGTGCTTAATTCGTTAAAAACAAAAACAACATTACCTTTTTATCCAATAATTTCTGAGGCAATCATAATTGCACTTCTAGTACAGTCCATTACGAACAAGGAGAAATGACATTTGAACAAATCTAATGTAATGACATTAGTGTAAGCAAAAAGGCACTATGTCGTTGCCTATCAATAAGAAACCTGCACATAAATACAAATATGAAAGAATCTCTGAGTCCGAAATGAAATAGCACCCGTTCATATCAACCACTCATTCGCAGTTTCTAATCTCCCCCTCCACGTCGGTTCACCATGCCCATTCACAAAACTAGCTGCAAAGTATTGATTTCTTTTATGGCATCCCTCATGGAAACTGAGAGTACACTCTTCAACCAACATATGACATATTTCCTAAACTAGCACAGTACCTGCTCTTCGAATCGTGTTATTAAGGCCGACACCCACTCAACCGGCTTTTGAGTCCCCATTATACGAAAATATTCACTTCCAACATTGCCAACACCGCCATTTACTACTGCCCGGTAACTTGCTAACACCGGCCAGGACTACCACGGATTAATACATATCAAGCTCGGTAACAAGAAGGGCAAGATCAGAGAGTGTTGTAATCTTTCTTTTTCCTTTTTTTTATTGTAGAAAAAACAATTGTAAATACATACAAAAAAGGCCTACGCAATGCCCATACTGCCTTCTGTTGCACATTCGTATAAATTCTTTTTCTTCTATTTTTATACATTATACTGTCATCTACAAATATTTATACTGTAGTGACACTTATTTGGCAGCCACAACCAAGAACTCAATCGGTAAGAATGTAAGTTGTAATTATCATTTGTTAACCAATACATACCCTCACTCCCCTCACTCACCGCCACCTCACTCAAGTCACGCGTGTGATGTTTGGGGGAATATTTTTGTACAGGTTAAATGTATCCTTAATAGTTTAAAGTGATTTAAGTATATTCGGGAGAAATGTAACAATGTTGGCGGGAGTAGAATGGGATTATGATAGACTGGAAGACGGAACACACAGTAAGTAACCTAGTATCATTAATCTAAAGAAGGCATATAAAGCATTTATGAATAATGTTTCTAGCTGATAGTATAAAATAATAGAATTGTATGTGATGAGAATCACGTGTGGGTTAGTGAGCATACGCGTTTGTCAAATGTTTTATTTTTATTTGTGGTTTATTTGACGGTGCTATCACTGCCTCAGACCATATGGCCTCCAATGACAGTGAGGTTTAATAAGTAATGGTTTTGAAAGAATGTTGAAGATAACTGTCGTGGCCTAGCCTTAGGTACTGTCGCGGCATTAGCCAAGAGGACTGAGGAAAGCCACGAAGAACCTGTCAGAATAGCAGATAATCCAGGAGAGATTCGAGCTGGCCACCTACAGAATAAATATCAGAAGTGTCACTGCTTAAGTTAACCTACACGAATATGTCATGCGAAATAACCATGGGGGCATGGTTTTATGTATTACAAAGTGACTTTATATTGCAAAACAGAACAGTATGAAGCCACAATCAGTAACTTACGAGTTTGTCTTCGAACATTTCATTTAAAGCATTAATGTAATGATTAGCAGTGTGTGTTCATTTCAGTCATTCATTTTTAATTTTATCCTGTAGATCAAAATTCATTGATACAGAACATGTCCATCTGTATTATTATTGAAATATATTAATGATTATGGTATAAACTTCTTAAAAATGTAGCTTATTCTATACAGTTGCTTATCATTAGCCAATATTACAGAATTCTTAACAACATCTTGCCTAAGTCAACCATATGTTTTTCTGCTCCCGTAAAGCTCTCAAAAAGGGCTGAAGTATGTCACTGACATAATGGACTGAACTAATTACTTACTTATGGAGCTGAGCCCTTCTTGAGAAGCTGCCAGTTGTGCAGCCACTCAAGAATTTCCCAGCATTTTATGGAACACAAAGGTTCATTACCATGTTCACAAGAGCCCTCCACTGGTCCCTATCCTGAACCATATCAATCCAATCCATACTATCCCATCCTCTCTCTCTAAGATCCATTTTAATATTGTCCACCCACCTATGCCTTGGTCTTCCCAGTGGTCTCTTTCTTTGTGGCGCGCCACAAACACACAGGACAACATCAAAGAACCGTCTTCTCGAGAATGACAAGGTGGCACACGTTTGGTCCCTGTCAAGAGAAATAAAAAGAAAGAAGACACGAACCTACTTGTTTTATAAATTCCAATAAAATCTTAACAAACCGATCAGAAATATTTTAATGTATTGGAACAGCCGCTGTAGTTGTAAAAACTTTAGATTTTATACCCAATTGTATAGTATTAATATTATATGTATATATTTTTAACGTTTAGAACATATATTGTAATAGTAACTTCCAACTGTATTGATGTAAAGGTGTCCCTCTGATGATGGTCTCTGAAGACTGAAACATGTAAGGGCATAAATAATTGAAATAAGAAAATCTTTACCGGGCACACTAGACAGAACTGTTTAACTTTTCATGATATTGTTAGTGTGATGGACCAGAATGAAACAAATCAGATAAATTGAAATTTTTTTAAGGTTATGGCATCCCCAGTGCTTTTATATGTTAGCAGCATATGGACACTGAAGAGACTAAATAGAATCCAAGTAGCAGAAATTAAATATGTAAGAACTGTCAAAGGTTGCAGTAGAACAGATAAGTTAAGGAAAGAGGTTATGAAATGAGTTGGATATTTTCCCTTGATGTGAAAAAATTGCAAGTGGAAAATACATTTGCGAAGGATGGAACAGACTCATTCCATTTTAAGCCTATAAGTATTGTGACATGATGGCTCAAAGCCAGAACTGTGGTATGACCAGAGGGGATGGCCATTGTTAGGCAACGGCTTGATAAACACTTCTCCTTGGCAGCAGATGGGGATTCTCAACAATAGAACTGTTGGAAGCGGTATTTTCTGTTGTGTCCGACCTGAGACGGGGGCCGAAACAGGCTATCGAATAGAAAAACTACAACTTTAGACCAAAATGAAAAATACCTGGCATATATCATTTATTGAAGCAAAAAATAAAGCTCAGCACATTATGACAAGAAACCAGAGTTCTAGCATGCACAATTGCAGTAAAATGGGTCACTCCCTGTATCAGGGGAATGGTCCCGAAAAGAGCACGTAATGGGAAACGAAGTTGGTAAACTGTGAAGTCACATCTCAAGCAATATGGCTTATTGCAAAATTCCTCATAAAAAGAGGTGGACCAAGGCACCATCTGCAGTACATGGTCCCTTAGGTCCCATATTTAATCCAATTGATAAATCCAGCACAATTGCAGACTGCGTAGAAAACCAACTTACAGTGCATGACTTGTGTGACTGACCATAGACGACATGTGAAGGCTAAAGTTGAAGTCCTGCTAGCTACCATTGAATGAAGACACCCCTGTTAATTTCTGACCCTGTGATGTCTCAAAAGAAATGCTGTCCTTGAAATTGGAAAGGCATGTGGTTTTGATGGCATTACAAATGAATGTCTCCAGCATCTACTAAGAAGACCTCTTGTCCATTTAACACATATATTCAACCAGTGCAACAAACATATCACCTACACAGAATGATCGACCCCTCCCTCATCAGAAAGCAGGCCCCATTTCTAAATGGGTGCAAATCTAGGAGAGAGCAAAAATCTTGGTCAAGGATCTCAAGGAGACTGAGCCAGGAATGACTGCTGGTGAAGAGCAGCAGAAATCTAACCAACCACTCAACTGACTGGTGTTATAAGTGGTGAGTGGTTAGCAGGCAAGATTGTGAGCTCTAGCCTGTGAAGGCAGGTGGTACCCAGACATGGCTAGGAGTCAGTAGTAGTAGTAGTAGTAGTAGTAGTAGTAGTAGTAGTAGTAGTAGTAGTAGTAGCAGCAGCAAGCAGCAGTAGTCTTTATTTCCATAAATCCAATACTAGAAGTACATTCAGAGGATGTGGAAAAGTCAAACAAAACACATAAATAAAAACAGTACAAGGTACCAAGTCAATATACAGATATGTTAAATAATACTACTGAGATCATAAAAAACATAATGAGTATCAATTCAACCCTTCCTATCAAAAATACTCAAAATACACTTCCAAATATATAAAAGAAACAACAATAAAATACAGCACAATGGTAATCATACAGATATAATAAAATAATACAACTAAAACCCAAGAAAATGACCAGCATTAAGTTTACTCTTCCTATTAAAATTCACAAAATACTCTTCCAATACATAAAATGAGTAACAAGACTAGAATTCTTCAGATTCAATTTAAAACTGTTAATACCTTTGTACAAATTATATAAATATGACCATATCAGATTAAAGATCAGATCTTAAAGATACTCAGAATTCTCTTCCAAAGTATAATAAATAAAGTACAAATAATTAAATAAATAAACAGTACAAGAGTACTAAGTCAAAGTACAAATATAAATAAATAATACAACTAAAACTCATGAGTATGATCAGTGTCAAAATTACCCTAATTAAAATACACAAAATACTCTTCCAAGGTATAAAATGAGTGATTATACAAAAATTCCAGGAGTTGCATTCATGTGGAGCTGTGAGTCTGTTGGTAGCCTGTAAGGGAATGAACACAGAAGCTGAGGAATCTACACTGTTATGCAAGCTGTTTCCAAGCAGCATATAGTGAAAACAGAAGAATTAGTACATGCCATAGTGAATTGTAAAGTGCGTGAATTGGCTGTAGTGCTATAATTATTTGTAGTTACGATTTATAATTATTAGTAAATCCAGTAACCAAACCAAACCCTGTGTCTAGTCACTAAATACATGACAATATCATCTGTCAGGTAAACAGGACATAATAAGAACAAGAAGAAGGTTGTAAAAACATAACAGTATTGGAGGCTGGAACAGGCAATTTGTCTAATCTATGAAGTAATGATGAGTAGTAGGAGGAAAGAAATTTAAGTTTGTAATTATAGCTTTTGGTTCCTGCTCTAACATTTTTGTACTTAAGAAAGAAAATGAACAGAGAACCATTGCTATAGAGACAGCGGACTTTCGCAGAATTTTAGAGATCTGAGCATGATTTTTTTTTTTAGAAATTGCTGGTGAGGTCCAGTTACGGTCATATGGGCGGTTTCTTGAGGAATATGGTGCTCAACTTAAAGGAATTGAGGAAGCACTTGAAGACAGTGTTTGTGATTCCTGGGATGTGAGTTTAGGCCCTATCTATCTGCAGGTAATGTGCACTCTTGTTAATAGTTCAGCACTTGTATATATTATTAAAGATTGTCTAAGCATTCATGTATAGCCATTCTTATTTATTTATGGTTTATTTTAACAATGCTGCCTGTAACTCAGAACATATAATCTCAATTGGTAACATATTTAGTGAATAATGAATTGAAAAACATGCTGTAGGAAGTGGTCATGGCCAAATTTTAGCTACTACCCCAAATTAATTAAACCCATGTTAAACCTTCAGTAAGGATAGTTGATGTCATGGCCAAAATTCAAATTGGACACATACAAATACGAGTCAGAAGTGTTAGCACTTGAGTTAACTTGTACGTGTGTTTTGAGTGACAACATTTAGGGTCAAATTCAGGACTGGTTTGGCTGATGATCTGTTTTAGTATTAAAAATGTTCCAGAAATTGGATTAGCTCAATGCTAAGCATGAACATTCCCCTTGAAAATCCCTTAGATGCCTTGGAGAGGAGAACAGACTTTGAAGATTCATGTTTCAGTTTTCCAGTATTTCTAAAAAGGAACTTCACCATGTGAATGAGCAGTGTCATAAATGTATGCATATCTACAGGGACCATAGCATTTACTCTGATCTTTGTGGGCTCTCTTTGTAATTTGTTACCTTGTGAGCTTGTCAGATATGCTGAGGGCCCAGATTAAATCTCCCTGTGTTATGGTATGAGTTTGTTGTAATCATTAGATTGCTTAGAGAGACATGCAGGCAGCCTTTCTTCTCCTACATTTTCTTTCGTTTGGACCATTTAAATTCCAAGTTGAAAAGCCAAGTTTGAGAATGTGACTGATGTATTATTTCATCTTTTTCAGTTTGTACCGTATGAACATACAACACTGTTGCAACTCATAGACACTGATAACAAGGTCTTAAACAAAATTTTAGTTGTATTTGCAACTCTGTGTGCTGAAGTAAGATACTTGAAATCTGAAGCCAAAAACAAATATTATGATACCATTCTCTTCTATGGTGAAGGAGGTATGTGTACAGGTGTCATATAGTGTGAGTGATGGTTCATTAAAAAATGGAACAGAAAGGAGTTTATTTATAGGTTTCTAAGGTCCAGCACCACTGGCTAATCTGCAGAGGGTATGTAGCATCAAATGCAGAAGTGTAAGAAGGTTTATCAGTGGTGAGTTCTGAAGCATTGTGAACTGTTTGTGAGGTCTGATGAAAATCTGTCAGGTAAGTCACACCATACAAGGAAACAGCAATAATATTTATTTACCATTTACTCACAGGCAGAGTATTTTTTTGTTATGCGGCCATTTAAATATGTCCACAGATAAAGGAAACTTGTATGTGTTAATAGAGGAAACTTTACATGAATTATTTAAAGCACATCTATACATAAAATAATATGACAAGATGGGGTGCCTATTGCATAGAAAGGTGCGACAGTCAGAACTCATTGGAACATTATAGCATTCTTGTGAGTGTATGAAAGGGAGCACACCTTACCCTGGTGAGATGTGAGAGGGAGTTGCACAACTCCCAGAGTCATGAGACATAAGATATGGCCATGAATCACATGGCACTTGGAACCGAGAATGACCGTGCTGGCAAGGGCCAGCAGCAGTTTACCAAATGGACAGGAAGATGGAGAGTCAGTCTGTTGCAACAGAGCAGTGATGAAGCAAGACAAGGAAACAGGAGGATGAAGAGCAAGGATACCAATTGCCACCAGCTTGTGATAGATTGGATATGCATGTAAATGGAAGGAAGTAATGCCTACTAACACATTTCCAACCTGAACCCAGTGTATAGCCATTTTATGTGACAGTGTAAAAGGTGTAATCAACTAACTGAGGAACAAAAGTTTGAAGAAAGAAATATTTTACTTTACATCACATTGACTTTTTGCAGACAACTCCCTCTGTAAATATATAGGGTCTGTTTTTAGTAACTTGACGAGTTCATGGCTCTGTGCTTCACAGTGAGCGGTGTGCTGCTTGCCGCCAGGCTCATATGAATTTTGCCAACGAATCAGCCAGTAATATTTGGAATGAGAAGTAATTAACCTGTAGACCACTTCACAACATTATGCTTCATAGCTAGCAGTGCAGTTCATGTGTGAGAATTTGTTTATGATTTGTCAGCAGTGGGCAGCAGTTATCAGCTTTGTTGTCAGCTCCATTAGCCATTTGTTCTCAGTTACAATTAGTGAATAGCATGTTCTGTCATGGTGCAGTATACTTTAGAGTAACATGTATTTTTATATGACACTTACATGAAATACAGATCTCCTAGAAAGTGTTGGAGAAAATTTTAATATAAATTTTGTGATGAAAGAGTTCACAGAAGAGAGACAATTCACAATTTGCTGAATAAACTTAGAACAACTGGACTCTTAATAGACAAGAAACAAAAACATAAGCATCAAGCGCTTACCGAGTATAAATTACATGACTCAGGGGCCATACTTCAATATACAGATAGAAAATTACTGAAACATCTAGCTCAAGAGACTGGAGTATCAAAGTCTAGTGCAAGAATGGGAACACATTGCTGAAACTATCCAGTGAAAGTTGGTGTTTGGTTTGCTGTAAGTGCAGGAAGGACTTTTGTACCTGTGCTTCTTAATTAAACAGTTAATTGTGACAAATGTCTATGTGTAGAGAGGACAGCATTTTCAACACCTCCTGTGATCTGTGAATTGTAACTATATTCTAAAGGTTATCGGCCCTCAGGCAATCTGATTCATTGGCAAAATTTGCATGTGCCTTGCAGCAAGCAGCGCACTGCTAGTTGTGAAGCAAAGAGCCATAAACTAGTGAAGTTACTAAAAAAAAGGCCCTGTACACATGTCAGAAATCATACGGCTATACACACCCACAAATTACTAATATCCAGTGATTCAATCAACAACAGCAAATACCACGAAAGAGGATCAAATAGACATGAAACAGCATTTGAGTACTCACACTTCTACATTTCCCTTCAAGGTAAAGGTAAACAGCTATCCCTGTAACAAGCCATGGCGGCCTATAGGGTTGTGAGATGTTGGGACTCCCACATTCTCTAGACAGTTGGCTCTCAGATGGCAGTGAGGTCAGCCTTACATGCTGGCTGCCCTTTACCCCCGGGAAGATTTCTTAGAGGCTGAGTCAACCCCAGGGTTGTAGTGCAGGTGGAAGGATTAGATCAATTGAAAAACCCCATGATGTCACAAAGTGCCATGGTAAGTGCTGGCCAGTAAGATGTGAGGGCCACAGTCATTGCTATCTGGTCTGCTGAGGCCAAATTCAAAGAAACCATCGTGGGCAGTCTAAGCAAGTGTGTAGAAGGCATCTTTGCAGCTGTCAACCAGTGGGCTGAGGACCTTTGCAAGGATCTAGACATTGAGATCCAAAGGTCATGACTGGACATACAGATTACAAAGGAACTGTTAGAAGCCTCAAGATGGGAGTTCAAGACACAGTTACCAGAAGTCAAATCCTAGCTGGGCATGAGGCAGCAGGAATTCATTAACCAGTGTGACTCGGGTAAAGCTGCCAAGGTTTGACCAGGCCGTATCCTGAACTGTGGGTTATCGTCACTTAGAGGTCTTGGTGGAGCACAACAACTTGACAGCCTAGGAGAAAGTCATGCATCTACTCACCCTCCTCCAGGAGTAGGCTGATAACTTCTTATACTATCCCTGAAGGAGTTGTATACAGAGATATTGTGCTCAATGACCATTATGGACACCACGAACTGGTGTGGCATAGCACTCCCAGCTGAGTAGAGAACAGTAAGAACTGGAGTCCTGTTGGAACCTGGTCACCAGCAACTGAGCACTGCAGGACTGGATGTTCTGTATTCTGGTGATGTGAGAACACTGTACTTGTCACTTGAGAACAGACTGTTGGCAGAGACCTGGTGGAGGATGTTGACCAGGACCTGAGAAAGGAGCAGAAGCAGATGCAGATGAGGGAAGAAGGCATCAGCATTATCACCCTCATCCTATCATGTCACACTCAGTGTTATAGCCAAGCAAGAGATGATGGTCCAGTTTCCGAGGGCTTTGCCTTGTGACCATCAACACTAGAGCATCCATGACAATTGCCATGTCAGGCATCACTGTAGGAGTCCCCAAGAGAAAGCCCAGTTGGCTGTACCTTCTGCAGATGGCACTGCGGCAGGAGACACTCCCTGTTTTGAAGGAAGTACTGGTCGAGCTTATCCTGGGCCAGTGTCTTCTGCTAGTTTGGATTCTAGTCTGAGAGATCATTGTTGAATTCACCCTAGGTCCAGATGTCCTATGACAGTAGATTGAATTTGAAGCATGTGCTATGATATTGCAAAGATGAAGTGTCATTATGGTATTCCAGGGCACAGCCATGAATGTTATCTCACATGATGGCCAGCAATGAGGTAATTTGCTCACTGTGAGATGTAACTGTGTGGCTGTAGGACCCCTTGGAAGCAGTGAGGATCCTAGTGGGACCAAGTTCAAAATCTACTGACTGAGAAAGCATGCGCAGGATTGGTTGGTTTGCATGATAATTTTTTAAAATGTTACTTGCAGAATGTAACCCTGCAGTTCTAGTCTTTTACAGAAGCATTCTGAGCAAGGTACCATTTTCTCCTGATAGTTGTGCTTCAAGGTTTATATATATGTGTGTGTTGCTTTTTCAGGGGAAGGAAATTTGCAAGATGGTGCTGCACAGTTACTTTTGAGCCGAATGCTGCCACACCTACAGGAGTTGTCTTGTTTTGTTAAACGTTGTGAACAGGTAGTTGTACAGATAGTAGAGCAGCTGGCAGCACTTTACAGTTCCTCCAGAGATGCTACATATGTTATCAATGCCACAGGCATCCATTTTCAGGTATGTCTTCACACACACACAATGCAGATTTATGGTTTGTATGATTCTAATGTAACACTTTGAATTATTTGAAATTTGGACTGTCAGTAGTTGTCTCTGCAGACACGATTCCAGACAGTTTCATTCTTTACTCTGTGCTTTATAGTAATAGTTCCTTCATGTAACCTTTCTTCTTTCTATGCAAAGCTCCAAAAAAAGAAAAGTGCAAGAACACTGGGATTTGTTAACAGTTTGTCACAAAGGAGCAGATAAGATTCCTCTGTTGTATACTGTATTTGTAATGCATCTGTGTAATCTGCTAAGAACATGCTATTAAGTGTAATGTCAGAATACTGATTCTGTGGCCTAATGGTCAGAGTTCCTGGCTACAGATCCAGAGGTTCCAGGTTTGATTCCTGGCGCTACCAGATTTCTCAGAAGTAGTGGTGTATTAATTTTACTCACTTCATTCATAAATATATAATTTGACAAAGGTGTAGTCCCATTACCTTCACATCACAGTGCACCACAAGATGATACCAAATGTAAAACAACCCCTTAATAGGAAGATTGTCTGTAAAGAAGAATTAATTTCATACTCTTACTGCAAACATGTGAAAGAAAATAAATATTAAAAGAGTTATATGCAACGTTTACTGAGAGTTTCCTTTGTGAGATCACTAGCCTTTATTCAGGCTTACTGCTTTTCACTTCACCTTCCTAGTACGAAGGATATCTGGGAAGTAAAGATACAAGGTCCAGAAAATATTTGTAAAGCATTTTTTTTTATTCACTTCTAGCACTTTTACAACACACCTTTATTTACTTTTCAACATACTCACCATGGATCGCAATGCACTTAGTGAGCCTGGGAATTAATTTTTTTATTCCAGTATCGTAGAAATCTCGTGCCTGCTCCCTTAGGCATGGAGAACAGTTCTTGACACTTCTGGACATTGCTGATGAAGTTCATCGATGGTTAAACGTCTGTCAGCACAGTGTTTTCATCATTTTTTGTATGATTTCATCAGTGACAACGGATGGCCTTCTGCTCCTACGTCATCATGAACATTACTTCTTCCCACTTCAAATTCCCACTTCAAATTCATGACACCATTTTGACACATTTTGCCTGTTCATAACATCTTCGCCGTAAACAGAAACAAGTTGGAGATGAATTTCAGCAGCAGTTTCTCCTTTTGCGTGAAGAAATAGAATTACTGCATGAACCTCACCTCTGGCAGGATTTTGAATCGACACGGCCATTTTAAACACACATTGCGAGCGCAACGTTGCTGTGACTGTGGCTGGTGAACTCAGCCCTGTCATACGGTTCGTATCTCTCATGGCAGAACTGTCATTTCTGAGAAAAAGGAAAATCCCTTGCAATTTTACTGAATTTGTATCTTTGCTTTCTGGATATCCCTCATATTTATCTTAGTTTCACTCTGTTAAAAATTCACATCTTTATAGTTATTAACTATTCAGTTCAACAGAAATCTCATAGATGGAACATGTACTGCATGAGGTAATGTATTCATGTCACACAGAGGGAGGTGGTGTGTAATATATCTCATTTGATACAGTAGAGTGGTTAATTTCAATCATATTAGGAAGGGACTGGCACATTGACCTCATATACAAGAATGGTATACCAGCCATTGTAATTCATTCTTTATTCAGTTTTTGGACTACATACCATTTTACAGATTGCAGGTTCAGATCTGAAATAGATGAACATATTTTACTGAGATTCATCATTAAAGGTTTGCTGTATTTCACTCCAACTTATATGATCTTGAAATGTGTTACAGGATGTATTTGAACACCTTGGAGACATTCTGGTTGTATTATTGACATTAGACGAAGTGCTTGGTAACCACAGCACACTCCATGATCATTGGATTATTTACAAACGAACAGTGAAGTCAGTACAGCATGATCCCTCAAAATTTGGAGTTGAGTGGGAGAAATTGAAAAACTTTGAAAACCTCTTATCAAAACTTGAAAATCATTTGCTAACTGGGAAGATTTTCCAGGTATATTAAGAGTTTCATAGTTTAATTTTCAGCTTCATCAACTGTGTCCCTAACTGCAAAGGAAAGTCAGCAAACAGGTCACAAATGGAAGTGAAACAGTTGTAATGGACATAATAGCTTATTATATGCAGTCACTAGGTAACAGCACAGTCCAGCTTCGTGGCAGTCTAGGTAGCAGGTGCACATGAGCATGTTCAGAGGCTGATTTCAATAGTCAAAATGGCAACCGTGCTTGAGAATTGTACTACCGAAAAGCAGCATTCTGTTGCACGTTTATTATGGGCAAAGGGACTCGATGCAAAGGATATTCATAAAAAAGTGTTTCCTGTTTATGGTGGGAAGTGTTTGTTGCATAGAGCTGTTTACAACTGGGTCAGTAAATTTTCTCAAAGATGTTCAAATCTGCAGATGATGTCCGACCAGGTTGCCCTTTTGAGATTGCGACAGAGGCAGCTGTGCAGTGGGTGGAAGAGTTGATTTGACCTGACAGGAGGATAATAATGATGCGGGAGGACAGTTATCCTAAGATGATTGTATTGTTCTTAGTCTCTTGTATCATTTTGTACATTTTTAAGCGTTGCTGAGTTGTAGTGTTTTAGATGGTCTGAAGTGACTTGTCCAATTGTACTTGTGTAAGAGTTTATGGATGTAAATAAATTATGAATTAACAGTAGACAGTGTAGCAATTGCACTCCCATGGTTTAGCATACAGCATAATGCATGATGGTTTGATGTTTTGGAAAGTGTGTGCACAGTGGGAGCACAAAGAACTGAAGGATCAAGAAAAAGTTTACTGAGTGGGTCTGTCCATGCAAAATATCTTAACAGTGTGCAGATGAAGGAGAAGGTATGCTTAATAGGATTGTTACTGGGGACTAGTTGTGGGTGCATCACTACCAGTCCAAATCAGTGCAATGGAAACATCTCAGATCACCTTCAACCAAAAAGTTGTGACAAAAGTCTTTTATATGCTGCGGGTTTCGATGCACTAGTAGAGCAGTGGGACAAGTGTATCAGTGTTAGTGGGGGATATGTCGAGAAATGTTTTTCCAGGTTCAAATATTGTATGTTTTACATTTTACATCCTTTTGTTACCTATTTACTGACTCCCTCATATTACTCTGTATTACTGTTGCTTGTACATGTTACAAAGGCAGTATAAATTGTCATGTCAAGAGATGCATAGCATTTACAACGATCACATCATTATTTGGAAGTGAAAAATGTGAACTAGACCTGGCCTGATTTCAAAGTGCAGTAGCTCAGTCATTATAGTGATGGGCTGTGTGCTGGATGGCTGGGCTTCGATTCCCATACTCCTCTTGGGCCTACACAGCCACCTATCCATTGGTACTGGGGGCTCTTTCCCCCAGGGTAAAGCAGCTGGGGCTTGAAGATGGCCACTCACCTCCATGCCTTTATGCTGTTAAAGAAAAGGAAATTAGTTAATTAATTTAATGTGTTATTCTGATTTACTTTGGTCTGCACCCATGTAACATTTGGCTTGTGTTCTTGTTCTTTTATTTCAAATTCAAGCAGATCCAGAAGTAGATTCACAAATCATTGGATAGAGAATGTGTCACATATCAGAACAAATGTTCCAGTTAATCATTGGATCAAGTCTAGCTAACATAATATGAAATATACATAACACAGACATAGAACATAAATAAATATGATTACAAAAAATGGAATGCAAGTGAAAAACGTATTAACCATTTATACAATAAATATTTTTCCAGTTTGTAAAAACAGTGTAACACCAGTGTAGTGTAATGGTCCCGAAATGATTTACACTTTACAGTAATATCTCTTTTGTTTTACCACTACCTAATTTTTATTTATTCTCTTTATTTAATTACTGCATTTCACCTTAAATAAGTATTTACCCATACCCTTACATAAGATTTGTTGGTGCAGTTTAGTGTTTCCGAGTTTGGTAAGTAATTATTAACCATTGATTCTGTAATAGTTTATCTGTCCAATTTCCTGATAATTACAGTGTAAAGAAACATGTACTGCTTCCCTCCCACCAGGCATGTGGAACATCTTCCATTCTCAGCTTCCTCTAATTTTGCCTCTTCCAGTATCCACCTTTTTTCTCATTCCTTGTACAGCAATCCTTGCGAATTTTGTTTTTCCTTTGCACTACAGCCCCAGTGGGCCTAGGCCTACCTCCATGAACTCCGTTCACTTCAGTTTTTCTAGATCTTACACATACGGTAGGACTCCTTGGGCGAGTGATCAGCTCGTCACAAGGCCTCTACCTTGTGAAAATTACTTTAAACAATTGTAATGTAAATATGGCTATGTATGCAGATATGGGTGAAACCTTCCTGATGCTGTTACACGTTTATAAAGTTTACCTTGGTAACAATATTAGTGTACTTTAAATTGAGGAAAATCCTAAATGATATATGTTACATTAAGTCTAAAAACAATAGAAAATATATTATATGCCTAATGTATCTGCTTTCAGTCATGCTTTCTTTTAGCACTAGCATTGAGTCCTAATTCCTCTTTTCAGCACTGTACACACTCTGCATGTAGTAGTTCTGAAACCTTATCTAGAGGAGTACATAATATTTTTATACTATGTATGGATGGATTTTATTAATTTTCTGGGTGTTAAAAGTACTTCCTATCGCACATACAGATGGAAACATTTGATGTATGTGTGTGTGTATAAACAGCTTACCAACTTTGCTTCCAGTGTGAAACATGGTTTATGCATAAGAGTATAAGCCTACAGGTGTCCCAGTTTTGATTTGTGTCTGGTATTACAGAAAATGGTAGAACATTCATTTGATGGCGCAAAAGGATTTATCAGCAAAAATGTCACTCTGGCTGAAGAATTTAATTCCTACTTGAGGAATTCAATCACTGATTTAGAAATGAAAACAGCAGAGCAGCTGGACCCAGAACATTTGATGCTCTGGGTGAAACTCAGTGCTGTCTATGTACTTAATTTCAACTTGTTCGGAACAATTGACAAAAAATTGTTCAAACAATTGTGGGATCTAAATAAAAAGGTAATTTGCTTTTTTTTTCTGTTTCTGTAGTATTTTAGATCTTAATATAACTATAGATATTGGATACACATATGTAAGTAAAACAGATACAAGAAACTATATAATTTCCTGCTTTCACAAGCTCCAGAGGAGCCACATAGATGAATTTTAAGGAATTACCTAGCAACTTCAGCCTGAGAAATTTGTTCACATTTAAAATATGCTCATAGGAAGTTGATAAGACATTGACATATTCACTCCCTTATTTGTATCATAGTTATCTCATGGTTAATATATTAATCTTTAGCAACCCATCAGCACTTCGCACATTTTGCAGTGAATGCATCAACTGGGAACAAATTATACTAGAATGAAACTGTAGGGGTTTATAATTTTAGTGATTCTGTATGATGTTGACATTAGCCCAGGATTCTTATGTTACGATTCTAGATCATTTTGTCATCATCAAGACACACAACATTTTATTGTAGGTCAGGCTGCAAATATCTTCTAATCATTTACATATGATGCAAGTTTAGAGGTTTTTAAGGTAATGTCTCTTCAGATTGTGGTCTCGGTTGTGTCACCATGCCTCCTTGTAAGTGTATACCAATATTCTGGGGAACTTTCAGTCCTCATCTTCATATTCAAAGTGAGAGTTCTAAGGATACAGTTGGTTGTAAGGGATGTGGTCACTCAGATCCATTGTGGGTGGGGGACCAATCTAAATAGCAATAGTTAACAGGAAATGTAACAGAATGATTCTTTTTTGGGGATTCCGTTATTAATCATGACAGGAAGGGCATGGTCAGGCACTCAGATCTGTTATGGATTGGAGAGAAGGAATGCTTGGCATGGCCTGATGTGAATTATGAGAAAAATGGCCCATTTCAGGACCTTGTTGTTCACAGGAAGGAATGGGAATTTTGAGAAAATATATAGCCTTTTCAGTGTCACTCTATATGGGAAGTGAAAAGTTAAGCACTGTGACTGGCTCATGAGAGAAGTGACAGAGATTGAAGAAAAGGCCATCAGAACGCAGCATTGACTTCAGTTGTCACATATTGCTTAACAGCGCCAACATATTAGCCAATAAATACAGGAGTAGTGGTTGACTCAATGGGAGGTGACAGAGATCCACCCTAACAGTATGAACAGGGACAATGGCTTCTCCGTGACTTTTATTCATGCCCTAGAGGAAAGCAAGAAGAACATTCTGTCGAAGGACAAGCTAGTAACTTTGCCCAGAGACAACAACTGCCTCACCGCCTTACTTGGGTCCTCAGAAAAAGGATTTTTTTGTCACATCCCACCACCTGCATGCAATATCCCTAAAAAGGTGCATGTTTTCTCTCAAGTTTCATTCCATCCTGTGGCAAATATGAGGGTCTTGAAAAGAACCTAATTTTTATCTAAAGTGTTTCTGTTCATCATTTCAGTTAGCCTGAACAAAATTGTATCCCTTCTCCCCATTGAATTGAGTGACCATTTCCTTTCTCCTTTCATATCCATCCTGTGATGACTAATATTGGTTCCCTGTTCACTGCTCCTATTCGCCTGGTCTGGGCTGTCTCCCCCCACCCCCACCCTGCTTTGGAGCAACCTAAGTGTGTCCTCGCCTTACTCAGTTTGGAACTGAAAATGGAGCAGATTGTTGCTCTGAAACATTGGCATCACCTGCAAGGCTGGAAAAGCTATTACGTATTCTTTGTGATTTTCAGATACCAGCAGTTACCTTGGTGGGAAACATGCTGTGGTTCCCAGAGCAGTTTCTTTTAGCCCATTTGACAAATATGGCTAAATTAATAGACAAGAAAGCACAGCAAACTGTGCAGAGCCGCCGGCAGACATATCTTCAACAGAAATCTCAAAGTCTACCAAAGGAAGCTCGGACATTTTGCCTTCAGGTATGATCGGAATTTTCATTCTCACAACTTTCAGACAATACTGTTGAAATGGGAATCCTGTTGTTAAGTGGAATATACGATGTTTTGATATTTGATAATTCCAATTTGAACCTTCAGGCAGATGAAGGAAAAGTAAAAAGATGGATCAGTAGGTCTGTTGATAATGTTTTTGGTCAAAATGGTCGTAGTGAGAATGTCCAGAGATCAGACTGTGACACTACATGCATTTCTAGATGGTAAAAGGGTAATGTAAATGAATGAGCTTCAGTATTTTGGCTGTGAAATTCAGCTGATTAATTAGAAGTTAATTTGTATAGTCTGTAGCTCAAAAATCACATCAGATGTTGCAAACATTTAAAATGTAAATATTTGTTGCTTTATCTTCTAATGTTATGAGAATGTAAAACTACATGAAGCACATGAAACTGGTGTGAATGTGGACAAAGTGGTGCTGGGGCGGGTTTTCTCCAAATACTTCGGTTTATCCTGCCAATTTTCATTCCACCATATTCTCCATCATCATAATCACCCAGGGCAGGTACAGTAGACCAATCAGTGGCTGCCATGCCGAGTGGATCCAGCTGGGCTCCACCCCCACTAAGTGAATTAAAATTAATAGGGACAACTTTGCCCTTTCTTTTACTTATGATGTTATCAGTTTAATAAACATTTGGGAATATCATTTATGTGAGAACACAATTTTTATTTGTGGGAAGAATCAGATTTTCGTTTAGCTGTGGATTTCTGTTCTATACATGCAGAAGAATATGAAAATTATTTCCAGTATGAACATGTAATAAAAATGATGTCACAGAAGTAATTTGAAGTTACGCTGTTATTCTCATAATTCATGGTACTAAATACTTTAGTTTACATTCAAAACATTGTTCAACAGGGGAATCTTAATGCCAATGTCGTTGTATAGTGTTTGTTTCCTAGTTTGTAGTTAGTGTTGCTTTAATTATTTTCAGGCTTGTTTGTGGATGATTCAGATGGAAACAACATTGAAGCAGGACTCTACTGTACTGAAGTTGGATGATTTGAACCAGAGGTGTGGCTTATTTTTACAGGTTTGTGTTGGATTTCTGTTTTTAATATTCCTCTTTTATTATATTTTTAAATTGAAGTGAAGATTACTTTCTGAATTGCTTGAACTCTGGAGATACAAAACAAAAAATAATCAAGGTTGGACAAGTGCGATCAATACCGGAGTGCACACAGTTTTGCACATGCATTCTTCGGAACTTGACATTCAGAATGGTCTTAACTGTACAAAATAGCTTTGTTGAACATGTTAACAATATGAATTCTAATCTTGAAAAAATGACCTTCAGTAATCTGAAGATTTCTATTAATGTCAATATGAATTGAAATTCTTAAAAAGAAAATTGTTTTGTCTATCATTCTGCTGTAAAATGTGAAAGTCATATATAGACTTTACTACTGTTAGTTGAATGATACATACACTGTGTTTTCACTCTTTAAAAATTTTTTGTTGGGGCATATGTGCATTTCCTAATGCTTGAAAATTTGTTGTTATGGCTGCTTTCATTTCTGTGGTAAGTATTGTTACCATTGGTTACAGTGGTTAGAACATTTCAGAAGTAGAGCTAGTGCCACTGCCTCACCAGAAGTATATCCTTTGCCATATTATTACAGATTATAGATAATGAAAAAAGCTACGAGTTTCAGGTGGTGTTTGTTGGCATAGGAGTCAGAGTAGCTCATCAGTGTAGTGATGGACTACAGCCTGGATGGCCGGGGTTTGATTCCCAGTAGAGGCAAGATTTTTCTCCTCTCAACAATGTCCAGACCAGCTCTGGGGCCCACTCAGCCTCTTATCCACCGGGTACAGTGGGCTCTCTCACTGGGGTTAAAGCAAGGGAGACATGAAGCTGACCGTTCACCTCCTCCTTGTTCCGAGGTCAATAATGGTGGAGCTATACATCCACTCCCCCATATGTCTTCATGGCATAGTGGGGACAACTTTTACCTTACTTTTATCTATTGGCATAACATTCATGTCAGATTTCATCAAGGTCATTCAGCCTTGAAATATATCCAGACAGGTGAACATTTGCACCTGACTATCTCTATGTGAGTTTTTACCTGCACATTGTGCAAGGCACACATTATTCATGAAAATATAAGAACATAGTTGTTAAGGCAGGAGGAAGGGACACTCATTAGGTAGAAGGACATATTCTGAGTATGCATAGTTGGTAACACTGTTGTTACAGTTTCACCTTTGTAATTTCCTGTCTTTAGGATAATGCTACAACCTTTGATCTATGTTTGTTCAGGCTGCGCCATAGCTCAAGCAGTTAGTCGCTGGCTTCCCACCGCGGTGGCCTGGGTTCGATTCCAGGTCTAGTCAAGTGGGATTTGTGGTGGACAAAGTGGCGCTGGGGCAAGTTTTCTCTTAGTACTATGGTTTTCACTGCCAATCTTCATTCCACTAAATTCTCCATCATCATAATCACCCAGGCCAGGCTACAGTAGGCCAATCAGTGGTCGCTGTGCTGAGTGGACCCAGCTGGACTCCACCCCCCTCTAAGCGAATTAAAAAATATTAGGTTTGTTCAATTACAGTGCCTACTAGACTTCACAGTACTGTAAATCAGAAGACCATACTGTGAACACTATTTGTGTCTTGCACCAAAGCCTCAAGCTCTGCCCATATTATTGACATTATTCTGTTACAGGGAGTTCATAATGCTTGTGAAATTAGTTGTTTACTCAAAACCGTCACAAACCTCCATGTAACTCTTGAGAAACCAATGACTAAAACTGCTGTGTTGGCTCTGTGCAAATTAGTTGAACTTCTGAAAGGCATTCAGCACACGTATCATCGCCATTACATGACAGTTGCCGAGTCAATAAACCATGTGGTTCAGCACTTGGCATATCAAGCTCTCAGCATCATCGTTTCAGCCAAGGTAAGTTTCACTGAAATCTGGCTGTAGTAATTCAAGGGGACGTATAATAACAGAAAGTCTTCTCGAGGTTACTAGGTTTTTCGACTTGTCCATTGTCCAGTATTCAACAGAACACAGTGTTTCAGAAACAAATCCAGTTTCCAAAACTTTCTGTTCGTTAGAATACCAGATGATGGACAAAAACCTAGAACCTAGTATTCCAGAGTCTTATGCACCATTGTCTGAACCAATAAGAATCTAGAAATTTTCCTTATTGATTGTTAAATGTGGAATGAGCCATTACAGTTTCAGAAAATGTTATTTAATTTTAAAACAGTGTTTATTGATTGGATGAATGGCAACAAATGTTTGTAATGTACAGTGTTTAGAAATCACGAGACACTAATGTTAAATAGATTTTAATGATTGATATCCAAACCTCAAATATTATTTGATGTCAGTAATAGCAGTTTACAAGGTGAATTAATTTATACATTGGCTACAGTAGTGAACATATGGCAGTGATTGTTGATCAGGTTTCCATTTGTAAGAGTTATGGAGAATTATCAGATTATGTATAGGTTACAGCCAACTTTAAATTGTTAAAGTGAAAAACACATGTGTTACTCAGAAATCTCTTGTTTGCTTACAGCTGTGATGTGAATTTCTGTGGTAGTCATGTGCATGTGAACTCTGTTAATATGCATGATGATGTCATGTCCTATTCTAGAAGGGAGTCATCCAGGATAAGAGGTATAGTGAAAAGCATCTGGACATTCTGTCATCCCTTGTACTAGCTGAAAAAGCGTTGCATGGGCCAGGAACTAAAGAGAGACGCCTTGTTGCTCGCCTTGCGCTGTCTACTGCTAATCAGATGCGAACGTTTCGTGAAGATGAATGGGCAAGTTTGATTGGTCTACTCCACAAACTGGACATGATGTGCGATATTCAGGAGAAAATTGCAGCTGCCTGCAATTGTTCATTCTTTTACTGGCATAGAGTTATACTTCCAACATATTTTGCAAATTTATATGAAAATAAAATGGACTTGCACCGTTTAATGGTAAGAAATAAATTCCTTTTACTTTCCTAAATGATTTTAATAAGGCCCCCACTTCATATGCTCACAAGCCAAACATAAATCTAGTGCTGAAAAAATATGAATTACATGTTTGAAGAACCTTTTCTGTGTAAACATTATTTATGAAAATGATGACAGCTGATGACAGAGACTGATGGTAGATTCACCTACTTGCAGAATTAATGCTATATGCAGCTAGTGTGTGCGGTACATTATGTTACCATAATATAATACACCATCATTACAGTATTTTGTACAGGGAGACAAAGTTTCCAGTATATACTGGATACATGCCATATTTGCAAAATACCGGGAAGGTACATGTACAACACACAATTCCAGGATTCCGTTTCTCTTTCCAAAAGTGTACTTGCCTTTTAAATTGTGCTCCACTTTGGGTGTTGATTATGAAGTTGTTACCAGCCTGCAAGTTTGCAGTCTGTGCATGTGTGCACACATACACACACACACACACATACACACATACTCAATCTCCCCCCCCTCTTTCTACGATGAAAACCTGGAAAAGTTACTTGCTAGCCCTTAATGTGTGAGCTTTCATCTCACGTTTTTGTCTCATAATTTACATTTTTGTGTCCACTTTGTTTTTGTTTTCCTGAAATCCATCATTTAATTAGCATTTCTGTTAAAATTGTTACCAATCTAAATTGAATTATGGATACTTAAAAAATTGCATTTGTTATTCTGTGACTGCTTCTGTTGTCCAGTGGTCAGAGTTCCTGGCTACAGATCCAGAAGTCCTGGGTTCGATTCCTGGCACTACCAGATTTTCTGAGAAGTAATGGGTCTGGAACAGGGTCCACTCAGCCTCACGAGGGTAATTGAGGAGCTACTTGAATGGAAAAGTAGCGGCTCTGGTCTAGAAAACCGAAATTAACGGCCATGGGGATTCGTTGGGCTGACCATGTGACACCATCTATCCGCTAAAGTTAGTACTAACTTCAACAAGCGGCGGTCGCTTGGTCGGCATAGTTTGCTTGCAGACTACAGGCCATGGATTTTGTTTATATTGTGTAATCAGCCAAGTTCTGAATGAGAGATCAGTTTCCCAACTTAAAAATCAAGGATGTGATAATTTTCTGTGTGAAAGTTATCTTGTCCACACATTCAGGATTGCACTGTAGATGCAATTTGTTTGTACTGCATTATAATCATAGCAAACCCAAAATAACTTTCCAAGCTTCATGCTTCCAAATAATTTTGCTGCATTTAGTCTATTGGAAATATTTTCAGTACATGTTCTGTGCCCTGCAAGACTGTATTTTGGCAATGGAGCGGACCAAGCATAATTCCTCGCCACAAGTCTTGAAGAAGTCCTTCGATAAAGAAATATGTGGATATCTCAATGAACAGGTACACACATTAATTGAGTAGTGGAAGTTATTTGATGGTGTCTTTAGTTTAAACCAAATCAGGCAAACCAGATATTGTCTTTCCAGGTACTGCAGCCCTTGTGCCATGATATTGAGACAAACTTAAGGCTCCATGTCCATTCACATCTTCAGTTGGATGACAGGAATCCCTTTCGCGTGGGAATCATGGACTTTACTTTTTTGCTCAGGTTGAAGCCTTTACTGTTCTTCGATAGGTACATTGACATCAGAGGTAATGATTCGTAAATGTTATGTCCACCCTTTCTAAGATTTCTTATGTCTTGCTCAAATGCTTCATTGAATGTTCTAAAAATATTGATGACTAGTATTTTACGAAACTTCTTAATTTTTAGATGAAAATAATTTTGGGTTAATTCACAGTGGTTTCATTTTTTCAGGAATTTGTTGTGATAATGCCAAGAAAGTTATAAAGAAAAAAAATTGTATATAGAAGGAGACAGTCAAAAAGTTTGAATTGCATGAGGACAGGTGCTGTTTTTTTTTCTGCTTGGCAGTAGTACTCTCACTTCCAAAATGATATTTCAGCCTTAGAAAGTATTTTGTGTTCTCATATTTTACTTGGCTAATTTTGTGACATCTGTCCAGTGTGAAAACCATCCACCGAGTGCACATTTGATTCATGCGTGTGAGACTCTAATCAGAGGCACATACATGACTTCTTGTTTAGATACATCAAATGAAGGATTGAGTAGGTGTTTCAGAAATGTTACTAGTTTTCTGCCTAGATATTGAGAAACCATTTTTAAATGTAAAAACTAAGTATATCTGTTTTAATTTTAAAGCCAAAAATGTAAGAATTATTATTGAAATATATGTTTATTATGAATAAACATATTTTACTCCATTTCTTGAAAGTGATGCTTAATAAAATTTCATGAGCTTCGCAAAACGCCTTTTTTTATCTTATTTCATTATATTTCAGCAGCGTGGTCACTGGGTATTTTTGCAGTGAGAGTAGACTATTTTCTATTTAGATATTTAGTGCCATTTTCATCTGATAATACAAAGTTGTTACAACATTTTTTGCTAATGGAATTCACAGTTGTATTAAAGTGACCTTTTTCAAAATACCAGTAGATTATTGTGAATCTTATGAAGTTCTTCTGTTATCTCTTCCTAAATGATATCCTTAAGTAAAGTGTTGTAATAATTATACTGTAGTTTTTTAAGCATAAAACGTGCCACTTTAGAAATGTGAGGTTTCATTATAGTAATGTTATTGAATTTGTATGCATTCTTCTCTCCTCTGTCATGCAGGTTTTGTGGAACATTACTTAGAACAGACATTCTATAACCTGACAACAGTGGCCCTCCATGACTGGAAGACCTATGGGGAAATGCGTAGCCTTGCGCTACATAAGTATGGCTTGTCTACTGTCGAGGATCACTTGCCAAGTCAGACACTGGAACAGGTAAATTGTAGACATACTGATACATGCACTATGGGATCCGAGCAACAAAATTAATGTTCTGCTGAAGCAGCACAGTAAGAGAAATTTTACAGTAATGGAATACACTGAAAGCAATGGATAGTCAGAAGTATCATTTAGAAATAATTTATCATAATAAATTTAAGAAAATAATAATGCTGTATATATCAGAACGCCCAAATTTTGTAGCTCAGACTTGAACTTGACATATATCTTGCTTTGAGGTTTGACTCGTACTTAGGCTCATGTGATTTCGTTTTCTGGACCCATGCAATGTTCACATTATGTGAAGTATACCAGCTGTTGTTTATAATATTAAATATTTGTAGAGAGCCATTTATTCCCATTAAAATTTCATATATAAAAATCTTTTCATTCTGTCAAACTGATTAACCCTTTATATACTTCCAGTTCATTTCTTGACCACAAGTGCAGGGCTTTAAACAGGATGTGTGGTTAGTATATGAACCACAGTGAACCATGTGAAGGGGCAAGGAGTTAATATTTTAACTTCATAGTGTTACAAAAAATATCTTCAATTTTTGCAAACATAGTCTGGGTCCACTTTATGTGGAATGTAGTGTTACTTTTTAAGACTGACAGCTATGAGTTAATGACATAATATTGGTGTCTTTCACCTTATAAACTTGGACACATTGCATCTCTAAAGCAGTAATTTTGCTACTAGTGCTGTAACAAAATGTCCATGTTTTTGTAGGGCAGGTGACATTGAAAAGTTAGCTTTGATACTGATTCTGAAATACATTTTATCTCATACGACTCTAATATGGAGTCTACACATGATCTAGCTGAAGACAGTAGCAGTATTTATCCAACAACTCCAATATAGCACTGTAGCAGATGCAAAGACAGTGGTACGGCAGATCATTAACTGCTTTCAGTCTTGCCATGAATTGCATTGTTGCACATCGTGCCAGAGCAGATACCATTGTTCGATGACACACACACAATCAAACTAGTGCCAAGGTCAAGAAATCACAGATCTATATGTTTGCTCCTCCATATGTCTTTATGGCATAGTGCTTAATTAGTTAAGCACAAGGACCTTACCTTACTACCTTCATGTGATAGAATAATTGTAACTAAAAGCTGGACCAGAAGATGGAACACATGTGCCAAAACATGTGATCCTTGGCGGCAGCTGAACCTAGAAATAGTGTTATGTTGAGAGGAATGCAGAGAACATTACCTTCACTTTTTGATCTCTCGTGTTAGTTGTGTCAGTTGTAACATCTGTGTATATTTTTGAGATGAGAACATCTGTTTTGTCCTTCTACTTTGACATAGCCATGGCATGCTCACAGTTTTATTCACCTTTTGAGAATGGTGACTGAAGTCACTTGCATGGCGTTACTTTTACGACCAACATGTAATATTCTAATGTAATAGGTGTTCGTATGCAGCAATTGTAATGGTAGATCACTGCTGTTGTAAAAGCTATTCTTTTGTAGTAAGTGCCAAGCATGTAGCTTTCCATCCAACTTCATTACTATGTCTGTAGCAGATCATTTGCAACCTAGATATCTTGTTATCCTTTGCGAAGATATGAAGAATCAATCTTTTGGGTTCTGTCTGCATGTACATCCTTATGCCATACTTGTGCCTCATACCTTTGACACCCATCATTTTCTCCACGGAATCATGGATTTGTCCAGTGAAAGTTCTTTCCTTGGGCAGTACACACTGTCAGTGATATTGCTGAAGAGGTCTAGCAGAGGCCTTTTTTTCACTAATCGTCCATCAGGAACTGGTTTCCCATTACCTGATGACGTGATTGCTTCTTGAGAAGGACTCAGCTCCATGAAGTTGGTCGGTCGGACTGTCAGTCTGTCAGCTAGTTATTTGAAAATAGAAGCAAGAACCTTTTATTTACTTTGTTTCATAATTTCTTGTAAGTTCTCATGGACACTGAAACAGGAGAGCATACCCCAAAATTTTGTCACCAACTTCTTAAATATGAGACCTGAGGGAACTATAACTCTTTTATTGTAGATGATAATGGTGCAAACTGTGTTGTTAGCTTGTATTTCTGTTATTGCTATAAACAAGAAATATTTTACAGGGTTTGGATGTTCTAGAGATAATGCGGAATATCCACATCTTTGTTTCCAAGTACCTTTACAATCTCAACAACCAGATATTTGTGGAGCAGTCAAGCAATAATAAACACCTCAATACCATCAACATCCGACACGTAGCCAATTCCATCAGGACTCATGGCACTGGGATAATGAACACAACAGTAAATATCTGTTTTAGTAATTTTAAGTTCTACATATTTGTTATGATTACATTAAAGTCATATTGGGTTTGAGGTTGTCACAGTAGTGGCTATGAGGAGTTCACTCATCTGGGATACAGTGCCATATCCCAGAAGATAAAACTATTCACAGTACAGTTAAGTTGCAGAATGAGTAGTTAGTCGAAAAACAGAAATATTGTTTCCAGATTATTAACACCAGATGTATTGTTTTATAAATATTTCAGGTAAATTTTACATACCAATTTCTTAGGAAGAAATTCTTCATCTTCTCTCAGTTTATGTATGATGAACACATCAAGTCACGCCTAATTAAGGACATCCGATATTTTCGAGAGAATAAGACACGGCTGGAGCAGAAGTATTCGTATGATCGAGCTGACAAATTTAATAAGGGCATCCGCAAGCTGGGCCTCACCGCAGATGGACTCAGCTACCTGGACCAGTTCCGAATGCTGATCAGCCACATTGGTAAGATATGAATCACAGAACATAATCATGCACAGTGACCGTTTCCTTCTGGTTATCACTGGTTAACTTATTACAAGTTGTAAAAATTTAATTGCTCCACTGATGTAAGAAACCTGCAGACTGAGTTATGTTGTAACACTGTATGGACTTTTTCCTTTCCATTTTAATAGTCTTTAAATAAACATAGTCAGATATTGGCCGTGCCATAGCTCAAGCGGTTAGTTGCTGGCTTCCCACCGCGGCGGCCCGGGTTCGATCCCTGGTCTGGTCAAGTGGGATTTGTGGTGGACAGAGTGGCACTGTGGCAGGTTTTCTCCGAGTACTTCGCTTTCCCCTGCCAATCTTCATTCCACCAATTGCTCCACAATCACCCTCACCTATCATCTGGGGCTGTACAATGGGCCAGAAGTGGCCGCAGTACAAGGGACTTAGTCCCACCCCACTAGCAATAAAAAAAATAGTCAGATATTGACCTCCTAACTGTTGTTTTCATGTAAACATTGTAATTGAACGTGATTTTAAAAGAACAGTTCACAAACTTAAGTTTGTTACATAAAGTTACGGTAACCATAATACATTAATATTTAATGCATATTCTAATTCAGGCAATGCAATGGGCTACATCAGAATGATACGTTCTGGAGGTCTTCATTGCTGTTCGAATGCCATTTGCTTTATACCTGATTTGGAAGATATTGTGAGCTTTGAGGACCTATGCAAACAGGAGGGTCTGTCTAGTCCCTGCCAGGAAGCGGCTCATCGCCTCGATCAGGTCATAGGAACCTTAGCCCGCAACTTTGCTGAAGGAACAGAGTATTTCAAGGTATTATATGGCTAGCTGCAAGTAGTGGACATAAATATCAGTGAGTAGTGCATCTCTGTTATATGATACACCTGGTTTATTCTCAAAATTTTTAACCAAATAAATAAATTTGAGCTCCATTTAATACTATTTTACTTTGTAAATTTTTATGTTTACATAAATAAGAAATCAGAAAACAAACTCAAATAATGAGCTGCATTTATCTCATTTATAAGGTCTTGAATATTGGCATGTCCAAACCTTATTTATGCCATTTTTTAAACATTGAACTGTGCCTTGATGTATTAAATGTGGTGATACCAGTATATCCTTCAGGCTGGGGTTTAGATACAAGGCTGTCAACCTTGCTTTATAAAAAAAAAATATTGCTTCAAAATCTAAAGAAGTGAAAACTGGACAGTGCCCATATATCAGCTCCATAAACATGAAGAAATAAATTCCATTAGTGTCCATATATCAGCTCTATGTAGTACTTCTTCAATTGCTGAAACCTTATAAAATAAACGATAGTAAAGAATAACAGCGGCACGCACACAGGAAGACTACACAGGATAACACCTATACAGTGTGGAAACAAGAACTAGCCGCTGCAGCACTTTAGACATAGGGCGAGTAACCCTAACAATTTTAAATTTAAAATTTAGAGAAAAATTTTAAAAGATTTTAAAATTAGAACTAAAGATTTTATAGTGCTACTACAGGAACGTCAAAATTAACGTGTGTAAAATAATCTACAAACCAGACAGATATCAATGAAGTAGATGTTGATAATAACAAGGAAAGTGTTTTAAATGTTAAATTTTGGGCTGGGTGCAGTGTGACAGCAACGTGAGTGTTATACACCTGATGATGGCCGTCTGAGGCCAAAACATGTAGTGTAGAGGAGCAAGATCAAGGACACATAATATATTGTTTGCACTTGGGACGGAATTTGTATCATTATATCGTTTATCGTATGGAGTGCAACAGGATGCTTAAATATAATATTGTAAACCTTATGAAATATTAGTTATGATAAACATGGGAAAATAAATTCTATTAGTGTCCATATATCAGCTCTATGTAGTACTTTTTCAATTACTGAAACCTTATAACATATTAGTTATGATAAATACGTGAAAATAAATTCCATTAGTCAAGGTGAAGAGAGTTTCCCTAAGGGAAGGTGAGCACCAAATCGAATCTCCAGCCCTTCAAATTTGAAGCTGTGCATAAGGCTGCTTACATTCTGACATTAAACTGCATTTACTGAAAAGCTTCAAACATGATCATCACATACTTACAATACTTATAATATTATACATTATTCAGGAAAAATAATTTTGGTTAGTCAGTGATGAAAAAATTCCCAGAACAATTGAGTCGAACATTTTGAAGCAAGCAATATTGCTGCCTGCTTCATGGAGTCTGTAGAAGGGATTGAGTTTCACCGCTTTACCGTTAAAATAAAATGAAGCTAATAGAACAGTATGAGTTGTGTTACATTACCATGAATTATTTATTATTTATCTGGCTTGATAATGTGTGTTATATTTTAATTATAGGTTAACCACATCAAGAGTGATTATTTATTTATTGACAAATTCTAATCATTTGGGCAGAAGGATTTCAAGAATGATGTATTTAATGATGTGACTTGTTCAAGTGTTACTGTTGTAGCAATTATGAATGCCAAATAAAATGAATGAATGAATTTTGAGCAGCTGAGAATGCCATCTTTGGATACTGTGCTATAATGTAATTATGCCTTCATACTGAATCTTACTGTTTTATAGCTTCTGGTTGGTGTGTTTGCATCTGTATTTCGAGACCCAAAGAACGTACACCTTCGCAACTTCCACATCATTGTTCCACCACTTACCATCAACTTTGTTGAACACTCAATCACTTGCAAGGAAAAGATGAGCAAGAAGAACAAAGTGGGAGCAGCATTTACTGATGATGGATTTGCAATGGGTATATCTAAAAAATTAACATAAATATACTTTCAGAAGTCTGATTGTATCTCAACTTCCTGTTTCAAAATACCTCATTGTGATGGTATGGCTATAGCTGTTTTTATACAGGTGCTGTTGTTGGTATTTTAATGGGTCATTAGACCCATTATTTGGCATTAGACAAAATTAATCTATTAAACAGCAGTCCTTTCAAGTCGCGTTCCCCCCTCCCCTCCACCATGCAACGTAATGACATGCAAGACAGGACAGAAGTATACATGATCACGATGCATAAGAATGAAATGATAACAAGTGGCAAGATATACAGAACCTGTAAGGCTGCATATGTTCTGTATTGCAAAACATGGGGACTGTGGATTGATAAGGCATGATGCAACATTTCATCATGATCTCTCAGAAGTTCTGTGGGATGGGGTGGGGTGAGACTGAGATCACTTGGTATGTTGGCCATTAATTGACCTATTGTACCAGCCCGGAAGATGGATGAGTATGGAGCATTTGATGGAATGAGAATTGGCAGGAGAAACCAAAGTACTCGCAGGAAGCCTGCCCCCATACCACTCTGTCCACCACAAATCCCACATGACTTGACCTGGGATTAAACCTGGGTCACTGCTGTGGGAAGCCAGTGACTAACTGCCTAAGGTATGACACGGCCAGAGGACTAAGAAAGTATACATATATATGTTAATTTAGGCCATTGTCACGTGTTAGTAACTAGACACAGGGTGTGGATTGATAATTGGATTTATTGAATGGTTATAACTCGTAATTACAAGTAACTATGATAGTTTCACTGATTTACACACTGTAAAAATCACAGTAACTACAACACAGATAAGGTCTTCTGTGTTTCCATTAGTCATTGCTTGGTAATGGCTTTTAACAATGTAGATTTTTCTGCTTGTGAGCTTGTGTTCTTACTGGCCACTGGCTGTCTCACAGCTAATTTTCAGCTGTAACTCAGTGGCTTCGAAGTCAAAGTCACATTGCGACTGACGGTCAGTCAGTCAGTAAGTCTTGGTGTCGAGCCCCATCTGGTGCTCATGACCAGATATTTATTACTGTTTGACATTTACGGTCTTGCTTTTGTGGGGCGCCCTCTCTGACGAGAGGACGGGCCTGTCTTCTATATATGCTGCTGGCCCTTGTCGGTGCAGTCTTTCTCGGGTCTGAGTCCCTTGAGACTTGCGACCATATTTTACTGTCCCAGATTTGAGACTTCCCTGTCCTCTGACTCAGTGGCTTGTCCCATTGGTCCTTGTTATATAGCCTAAGGACAGACCACATAGAAAACACTGTGTCACAGTCATTGTTTACTGGCCATTGTGTAGCAATATCTGGAATGTTTACTGGCCAATTGCTTAGCAACGCCCACCTCTTCTCACTCCGTTATTGCAGCTTTCAGCCATTGTGTCACACTGGTAATTAAAGCGGACATAAAAATAAACCAGATGAAACAAAAATACCAAAGTAAATTTACTGTGCCAAGTGAAGTTTGAGGATCTCATGGCAGTTAATATGAAGATTGTGATCTTTCTGGATTGGCGGTGTGTACTTTTATAGATAGGTACCGACATTTGAGAAGAACCTGTTTTCCCCATCTTCCACTGAAATGTTGGTGCATGTTTACAAAATACATGGTGTCACATCTGATGAGACTGTAATCTTCTGTTATACCAAGTTCAAAAGAAGTCCATTCAGTAGTTAATGGTGTTGCTACTGGCAGATGAACATGACACATCTAAATCTGTGAGTTTTCAATTTTTTAAGAATTCTAATGAAAGAAAATTTACTGTTATATGTGATTGCAATTAGGAATATTTGGTACACTCTATTATTTTAATTTTAGAAAAAGGACTATTTTTGTGTGTTCTGCAGAGATCACTGAATGGTTTGTGCTAGTATTACATTGTGTGTCAGTGTTACGAATGTAGCTATTATTTATTTCATAGGTATAGCTTACATCTTAAAGCTTCTGGACCAATATGAGGAATTTGATTCGCTGCATTGGTTTCAATCAGTGAGAGAAAAGTACAGTATGGATAAAGCTTCTCTCGGCAAACACAAATCTGTGGTGTCAAAAGAGGATGAAAAGTTGCAGCAGACTATGACTCTCACCGCTAGGAGACTGGACATTTATCAACAAGTATGTCAAAGTTTGCTTTCTCTTCTTACATGAACGTGTAAAAGCTGCAAGGGGAAAGAAGAACCCTCTCCTCGTTTCACCATGTTTCCTTGGGGGAAGAGACTATATTTCAGTTATCTTACCAGACACCACTGTTGAGTGGTTAGCATTCCTACTTCATATTTGGGGGACCAGTAACCAGGTATCATGACTGAGGTTTTTCATGGTTTTCTTCAGCCCTTCCCAGCAAATGCAGAGATAGTGCCTTAAATTAGGCATAAGCATTTCCTTCCACTCCTTACTATTTCATTGTTCATTAGTTGTCCTGTCACTCAGCAGTGTATAATTGTAATGGTTAACTAACTTCATTTAGGTGAGTCCTTAAGAATCCGCCAGTTGCCCAGCTACACAAATATTGTCCAACATTTTCTGGAACCTGCAGGTTTATTACTATGTTCACAAGAACCTGCCACTGATCCCTATCCTGAGCCAGATCCATCCAGTCCATACCACCCCATCACATTTTTCTAAGCTCAAGTTTAATATTATCTTCTCACATGTATCTAGGTCTTCCTAATGGTTTCTTTCCTTCTGACTTTCCCACCAAAACCCTGTATACACTCTTCCCCATCGTCTCTACATGACCTTTCCATCTCATCCTCCTTGAACTGATCATTGTAATTATATGTGGCTCTTAAATCAACCAAAAATTAGTGAAAGTAACAAACATCGAATAAAATGGAAACAAAAATCATATCTTTTGGGATATAGTGCCATATAATCCTTTTGAAAGTCAACTGACATGTTCTACTGAAATTTCAGTTTACCGTCAACAGACTACATGGTTGTTATATCCCAGATGACAGAACTCTATGTTATGACTTTGTCATTCATTTTGGTTATGTGACATGCTTGTCCATCAAGTTTTTTTACAAATTCACCTTTCCAGGAATTTGATTTATTGTACTACAGTCTCAGCAGTGCAAGAATATTCTTCCAGAAGGAAACTGCCACTCAAGAAGATGACACTTTAAAGAGTGAAACTGGCTCAACAAACAATTTTCAGGCTTAGTGAGAATGATCAATCAACACTTGGAAGAAGATTTTGTTGTTAGCATCTGTCTCGTAAGCATGTTACATAGGATAATAACTGTTACTTGTACCTCTTTTTACATATTCAATTATTTATCATACACAGACATCATTTACTGATAATATTTTTATGAGCATTCCATTTTCTCTGGTTTTATTTCCAAAGATTTGTCTCTGAAATTGCACAGATAAGCAAAGCTGAAAAATTCCAGTCACTTGAACACTTTAGTACAGTATTCTCTGCAGGAAATGGGACCAGAGATGCTTCTCAGAAAAAAAAAAAAAAAGAGAGTACTTTCCACTTTATGCCCAGTGTGTTTACAATTTTCTTATATAATTCTGAACACTGTAATACTGCAAGTTATATAATTGAGAATTTACTGTAGACCTCAACAATTTTGATATGAGAAATAATTGCAAGTAGAGAATATGAAATTAAAAGTGAATTGGTAATTTTTATTATGAAGTATATTTGTTACATGTATGTTGACAGTGTATTTACTCATATTTAGTTCTGAAAAAAAGTTCTTAAAATAAACATCTTCACATGTAACTGTTTTTTAATTCTACATTTTACATGCTTCTCTGGCTCTGTGGACTAAGTTATTTTTTTCTTTTTATTTTCTTTTGATGCTATTTGTGTAAGTGTTGTATTAGTGTTTTTTTAGTATGTGTTATATTTTTAGTCATATTGATTGCATATCTGTTGAGAAGACTATTGAACATCTTTTTCCTTTATACACTTATCTATTGAGTCACTATTTTTCCTATAGTTTTTGAGAGTGTAAGATTTCTCAAAACATGAACTACAAACAGTGTCACTTGACAAAACTCATACATTCATAGACTCTGGCTTCTTTTGCTACCACTCCAAAACATGGTGATAAAGCATTTCCTTGCATTAGACAGTTCTGAATAGGAAATTTATCGGACAGATATTTACCTATATGTACTTCGCTACGGGTTTCATTGTTTCATTTAAACACATTTTAATAAGCCTAACTAGTTTCATGTGTACCCCAAAATGATTAAGAATGTTCTACTGCACTTTCCTCTTAGCCGAATCATGGGCCTTTTTGAAGTCCATGAATAGCTGATATACTGTACTCCAATTCTTTCTCCAGTATATGACAAATGCAAGAAATCAGATCATTACTTAATCTGTTACATCAAAAACCACACTGATGATCCCCAATATTTTCGTCTACATATGGACTTAACCTTCAGAGAAGGATGTTGGATAAAATGTTGTATGAAGTTCGTAACAGTGATATTTCTCAATAATTACCACAGTCCGTTTCATCACCCTTTTCTTAAATTTGTATAATATGTAATAGTATTATACTGTAACATCCTGCTGCACCTTACTTAGTATCAAATGTTACTGGTTCCACCATATCTGCAACACGCTTTCTATAAAACTTATTAAAAGTTTAAACATTAAACATTTAAAACTGGACTTTATTATGAATCGGTATGGTTGAAAATTAATTTGTGTGCAGTGTGCTCCTACATTATGAAGCAGGTAATGTATTATAAAAATATTGTTGAAGTAACCTCCCCTCCTCCCATTGACATACCATGAATGAATGATAGTGCGTAATGAATTGGAATAAATGCGGAAGCAGTCATAGTCTGATGAAAGGTGATATCCTTGTATTTGCCTCAAGGAACAGAGGGAAGCCATGAACACCCTTAGGATATTCAGTATTGAGTGGGCATGGCTTGTTAAGAATTTCTTAAAATTTATGAAGTCTTAAGGGCAAGCACGTTATTCACAAGTTTGAATAATAAAATAGAGCGTGGAAGTAAAATTTAACTCTCAGTTCTTCCAAATCCAAAGATGACAGTCATAGTCAAAAGGATATAAGCTGAATTGATGATTATATAATGTGCAAATGAAAATAAGATAAAATTGCCTAATTGAACTTCTTCCCACTCCTCATGTTGGTTACATAATGATGCTGTCATTAATGAGCCTACATAGGGTTGGATGATAAAGGTAAAGTTATGCCTGTGCTTAACTAATTAAGCACTACGCCATGAAGATGTATGGGGTAGGAGAGTGGTCAGCCTCCAGTACCCACTGGATAGGAGGCTGGGTAGACCCCAGCAGCAGTCTGGATTATGTGGAGAGAAGAGAATTCTTGACCCTACCAGGACTCGAACTTCAACCTTAATTAATGCATAGCAGTTGGTGGGATGATAACTGGCAGGGGAAATCAGCCCCACTGCTACTTTATCCATAATGGTAATCTGAACAGGCATAGAAGAATTGCAAGGTCTAACTGAGAACAGCATGGAAATGTTACATTTCTTTCATAATTATGTATTTCATTACACTGTACGTACGAAAATAAAGCAATTTGTTTTTAACTGTTCAGAAAATAATTTCTATTTAGTAACGCCATGCCACCAGAACTATTTCCAGTAAATCCAGCTCAGTAGTTGAGAAATGTTCGCGGCTTCATACACTGAAATACTTGAAAATACTTTTCATGTATAACCCACCTGGTGCATCCTCCCCTTCCTTCTGAATACCATTGACTCAGAAGAACTGAAAAGGTGAGAACTCTTACGAGGGTCTGTGTATAGATGCGACACTGTTTCACCATGAAGAATTTGCTGTTATCGCTTGGCTACTAGATGAAAAGCAGAGCATTAATAAACATAATCGGAAATGGATTCATGAAGCGTGGGAAAAAGAAAGGTTTAGGTTGAATGCGTTAGAATGTCACAGCAAACTATTTGCAGTCCAGATTATAAAAAAAGGATAAAATTGTCCCTGTGCTTAGCTAATTAAGCAGTATGCCATGAAGGCGTATGGGGGAGTGGATGTATAGATCCACATTTTATTGACCTCGGCACTAGGTGGAGATGACTGATCAGCTTTATGCCCCGGCAACTTTACCCCCGGGGAAAAATTCCGCGGTACCCATTGGATAGGATGGATGAACCCCTGAGCCGGTCTGGACGACATGGAGAAGTGAAAATTCTTGCCTCCACCTGAGGACACGAATCAGAAATCTACAAATGGACGTTGCTGCTTTACGTCCTAAGACTAGCTTCAACAATGCAGTCAGTTACGTGTATGACAATAATTACGAGGCAAATATCTTCATATTGATATTGAACTTTAAAATTGCCATTATATCGATACTGTTTAATGTTAAACGATGAACTCTCGTTAAATTTACATTACTAAATATTTCTTTCGTGTACATACCGGCTGCTTTAAAATAATTTATAGGCTTCATAATGAGGTATTACGCTGAAGTAGATGTGTACGTTCATTGAGGCGACTATCTGGTGGTGCTTGCCAACACAATATATTAGCACAAAATAACTGGAATTCCAGTGAATTTTCCGGTAGAGAGTTAAAGCTTATAAGATTAAATATTAATTCAGCTTTTCGGAAAGCAGCGCATTTCGTCGTCACTATTTTTCGTGCGTTTAAAGGATGTCGACCTTTCTATTACAGGACTATACTCTCTTGCGCATGCGTAAGAGTTGCAGCAACTAGGTCGCATTTCAAAAGGAAGTGTTTGACAGGTGCATAACGTGGATAGCGTTACAAACGGTTACAGATAGGAATGATCTACATTAGGCGTGTAATAAATATGTGCGAGTACATAGAACATTATACGTGTGAACAAGTGAATTAAATGGACAGTATAATTCTGGATGAAGACAGTCTGTTTAAAAATGGAAGCTACCTGACACCTGGTTGTCTAACCGTCAGATGTGAAATACAAGCAACATGGCTTCTTGGTTTGTGTGAGGTACTGAAAATGTATGCGAGAAAGCAGATGTCGAGAAGTACGGGGTGGATTAAGAGTATTTTGTTTCGTGGGAAAGGAAACTTCGTGCTGAAAGTTATGTCATAATGCTGAAATCTGGCCAGAAACGGCCTAATACCCCAAACAAGACGAAATCAGGAGTTATTGGTTCCCCTGATGCTGCAGAGCATTGGCGACAGGGTGTTCGCGAAACAGTAATCACTGCTCGACCCGACGGCAGTTTGAACTTTTCAGTGCATGGTGGATCTGATAAAGGAGAGTTTGCTTACGTGAGTCATATAGTGCAGAATAAAGTGAATTATGTGAGCGGAAAATTACACGAAGAGGATATTTTATTGGAAATTCAGGGACAGAAAGTAGCAGGGTACACTCAGCGAGATGTGGTGGCGTGGTTAAATCATTGCTGTAGAAATGGGAATCCTGTGGTGCTCAAGACAGTTGATGCCGGTGAGTACGAAGTAGAAAGAGTAATATTAATAGTAGAACGACTCTGTGTTTTGTTAGACACGGAAAGTTGTAATTGCACAGAATCACCGGCTTTTTGGACGTAGGTTAACATGTAGCACACTGCATTATACATTTGCACGTCTATTGAAGTATGAGGATGTATGTACAGTTTTGCCAGTCATTCCAGTATATAAGAAAACTATTACACTTTTCCAAGTTTCTGAGAAATATTTTGTGACAGTGCCACAAATATGTTGGATTTGTGTTTCAGTTAATGCTCTGTAGTACTGATTGTTGCTTCAGAGTAAGAATGGCAGTGTTTCAGTAATCACAATAAGAAATAGTCAGCTCAGGTTTATACGTAGTAATATGCATTTGAATTAAATTTCTTTTGTTGGCAAATGGAAACACTTAAACCAGTAGTTAATGAAAATTGTTCTGTATTTTTGTAGGAAAGAAAATAAAAATTTATTATCCTTGCAGCGGTCGCTCGATCAGTATAGTTCGCTTGCGGACTAAAGCCACAGAGTTTGTTTGTATTTTTGGTGTTTGTTGTGGATCATTGGATACCATAATTCTCCTTTTCTATAAGTACTGAATCATTTCATTTGTGATACACAAGTTTAAAAGATGGTAGAGATTATTTTATAAGAACAGTTTAACTGACAAGTTTCATTGAGACTGTTTGCAATTTTTGTGGATTAAAACTGAAATGGTAGCTAGATATATGTAATATAGTAGTGTTTAATTTCTCATATCATTAATCCCATATATCACAATTTACATGCTCTGGCGATATTGAAATATCGATAAGTAGCAGAAAAATGGCTACTTAGTCAGTATGTGAGGTAGCAGTTTCCCCTTCTCAGTCTCCATGAGTCATGCTGTGTGATAGAATACGTTTTTCTCTTTTAAGAATTTCTGAGTTAATATTTATTTTCCCCATATATTATATTACACTTCTCGCAGTTAACAAGAAAATCCAAGGTCAAGTAAAAGAATATATGGGTGCTTTTATTATTTGGGAATGTTTTACATTCTTATACCATTTCATTGGTTGAACAATGGATGGTCAAGTGTTCAAAATACTAATTTATGGTACTTCAGTAAACATTAGTTGCCACCTGACATACCTTTATTTCAAAATTAAATCTGTCTCTATATCTGAGTTAAAAGAAATTCACATGATTTTCATTCATTCATTAATATGATGAAAATCAGTCTTTTATTATGTGAACATAAATCTTTTCATTCCTTGTTGTAAGAGTGCAAAATGTCTATAAAGTTTTCGATATTTAAGTTGCTACATTTATGAATATAAATAGTGTACATGACATCATCCTAAACATTTTGCTTTGATGTGTACAGTGCTTGTCTGAGAACTGTCAGAACATCATATGACCATTCTGATAGGAGTGAGAAGCAATCTTTGTCTCAGCTCACATATATTGTAATGGACTTCACTGCCATCCAAATATATGCATGAAATTAGCCTAAGTAGCTGACTGATGTTTGGATATGCCTTACATGATTTCACTGTTATCTTTATACAAAATTTAAGAAACGAGAGTAGAAATATTTGACAGTTAAATAATGCAGGCAGTGTGGTTAAGTTTTGTTACGAAGTGAATTGAAACATAACAAATTGTAGGGCATTGTTCTTTTTTAGCTATGCTCAAAAATATTTGAGAAAGATGTGTATGAAAGAGTAACTCACTGTTTTAAACTCCAGTGGAATTTTAGTTAATTAACAGTTTGGTTTTAGAAGGGGACGTATGCACTAACAAAGCTGTACACAGCCTTCCTCTTGAAACACTGGAGTACTGTGTTACAGGAAACCTGTAGTAACAGTGATGTATCAGGAATTTTCTGTGATGTTAGTGAGACCTTTGGCGATGTTAATCATGGGATATTAATGACTGAACTACCTTACCATGGAATGAATGGAAATGATATTGGATAGTTTGCATATCATCAGACAAACTAAGATCTAAATAAATTTCCGGATACCTAGAAAAATTTGTTTGGTTGCATGTGGAATTCCTCACTGCTCTATATTTGGTCCAATCATTTTTCTCTTGTGTGTTAATTATCTACCACATAGTATTAACCCAGTTTTGGCACCTCTGTGGATGACACTAGTATAATAATTGCAGACCTCATATGAACCACCTAGCAGAATCATCCAAGCATATCTTTAAAGCCACAGACAAGTGGTTCATAGTAACGTTTAAATTTTGATAACAGTAACTTCTGATGTTTGTAACCAACAACAAGAAGTCAGTAACCAAATGAAGATAAGCTGTAATGATCAGTATAAATATAGAGTAGAAATAACACAGTTCCTTGATAGTCAACTAAATTGAAAAAATCCAGTAGAACTTGGTTTTCTGAAATGTGCAGCATGTTTTGTGGTTAAGTGTCTTGTATTTTTAAACAGTAAAGATATCCGAAAGTCATTGTATTTCCATACTTCCACAGAAGTACGTATGACATAACTAACTAATTCCACAGAGCTGAGCCCCTCTTGAGAAACTGCCAGTTGTGCANCCCAACTGAGTAGGTTAAACCTTCCCTATACACCTGAAGACGGAGACAGATCCAGTCTCCGAAACGTTGTGGTTTTTTGTCTTTTTATATACCGGACGATGGGTGAAGTCCAAAATAAGCCAAAAGAAGTACAGTATACACCATCGTCAGAATCCTTTCAAGTCAACCTGAAGGTTCATTACCACATTTGTAAGAGCCCTTCATTGGTCCTTATCCTCAGACAGATCAATCCAGTCCATACCACCCCATATTGTCTCTTTAAGATCCATCTTAATGTTATCCTCCCACCTACATCCAGGTCTTCCTAATGGTCTCGTGTGGCATCCCCACCAAAATAATATATGCATTCTTCATCTCCGTGATGCATGCTACGTGCCCTGCTACTCTCATCCTCATTCTCTTGATCATTCTGATTATACTTGGAGAAGAGTACTAGTTGTGAAGCTCATTATGCAGTTTTCGCCAACCTCGTATCACTTCCTCAGCACCCTGTTCTCAAACACCCCGAGTCTGTGTTCCTCCCCTAATGTCAAAAGACCAAGTTTCACACCCATACACAACCACAGCAAAATTATAGTTCTGTATATACTCAAAAAATATTTAAAAAGAATTTAATCCGTTCAGTTCTCCCGGTATAGCCGTGTTTATAATGCGAAAAATCGCGTTTTCGGCTGAAATGGAGGTTTGCATTATCTCCTAAATCTCGATAACTATTGAAGCTAGAGACCCCAATAAAAAAACGATTTGTTCCTCATCGTATGGACTACAGTTCATGTCATTACAAGTTTTTACTCAACTCACTTCCTCTAGGTCTAATTAAGCTTGAAACTTGTTTGTCGATTTTGGGAAAGAAGCTATTTTTGACCTTCAAAAACCAGTGGGAGGGGGAAAGTATCAGATCTGTGGTTTGTACCCTTTGTTGTTGTCTACATGGGGAATACAATCACGTAGTTTTGAACCCCTCATCTATTTTACAAAATTTTCCATGCGCTTCCAAACTTTGCTAATGCCGAGGTCAGCACTGCTGGAGCTGAAGTTCCACTTTCCCATACGTCTACATGGCATCTTGCTTACTTAATAAAGCGCACGGATAATTTTACCTTTACCATTTAAGTTAAATATTTAAAACACGGCGGTAGCTGTAACTACCACCTGTTTTAACACTAATTCTGCATTTCACCTGCAGAATGGATTTATATGTTTCATGTATTTCTTGAATAAACAGTATTTCCCAACACAGCATTTAGCGACTGGTCTTTGTAAAAGGAATGCAACTTCACTGTGAGCTACGAACTAACTATTAGTTAGGTTAACTTCTGTCATCAGAGGTTCGTGTTTTCCTGAGAATTATCCCGTAACATATTTTTCTCCCTTTTCAAGACAGTGAATAAGCTGTATAGCAACAATGCTCTAGGCTTGTATTCAAATCACATCGAGGATACCGATATAATGACTGAGTTTTATCATGATTTTCCTCACCTCCTGGGGGCGGACCCCGGGACGGAATCTTGCAATAAGCCGCGACAGCACTATTGTTGTGATTATTGATTCAGACAAATCATCGCCTGTTGAGAGAAAGGTTTCTGCCTTATATCAAGTGCGCAAGAGATTCTTTAAGTCATTGGTCTACAATTTTGTTTCGGCAAACTTAAAATTTCTCACGTCATTCGAGAGATGGTGTTATTTTTGTACCATATTTCCAATCGGACACATTATGAGATTTCAGTATCTTTTGTACTTCGTTTTCAAGTAATCATTATCCTTTTCTTCGCTGTGCCTTAGGCGCAAATGAAATATGTAACATTGTCAACATGTTTGATAATCATTTCTCTAACATTAACTTTCATGTTAATTTGCTTATTCGGTTTTTACAGTATTTTGTTGCGTTTAGTGTCATTATGAGGCGATGTTTGACCTGCATCTATTATGCAGTACTGCATAATTACTTAAAAGTAATTAAGCACTGCTCCATGATGGCGTATTGTGGAGTGGATGTACAGATTCACATTTTCTTGACCTCGGCACTAGCTGGAGGTGAGTGGTCAACCCCACGCCCCTACCGCTTTACCCCCGAGGAAAGAGCTCCCCGGTACCCATTGGGTAGGAGGTTGCGTGGACCCCAAAACCGGTCTGGACGACATGGAGAAGTAAAAATTCTTGCCCCCTTCGGGACTCGAACTCCGACCCCTTGGTCGTCCAGCCCGTAGCCAGTCGCTATACCGACTGCGCTATCCCGGATCTTGCCTTGGGCTTTTGGGTGAGAAAACAGCGAAGAACCCCAAGATAGCCGATGTTCGGGTCGAGATTTGAGCATAAGGATGGGTAATTCGGCTTAATTAGATAAGTAGTAATTATTGGGATAGTCCAGGTTTCAAGTAGGCGCGACGACTGTTGTCTCGTTGGTTTTCACGGGGAAGGATGGCGTAGAGGCCACTAACAAAGCCGCTGAT